AGAAGATAAAATGTCAAATTATCTTTGACGACTGTCAACGACAAATATCTCTTATCTTGTTTCCGTGGCGACGGGATGAGATGAGCAAGGGTTGGACGCAGCGTCATTTTGTAAATCCTGCTCAGATTGGCTAGTGCATAATTTGTGTGTGCCCTGAAGGATTTGTGAGATCTCAGTATAATGGGCAAAAATCAATGACCTTTCTGAAAATCACGGCCACAAAGAGTTGTTGAGAAGTCACATCAATAATTAGGCTTTGTGTGAATAACACCTTTTTCCTATTTTTTATTTTTTTTATTTTTAGATGGCTGCACGACTGGCATAAGTAACTCCATTCACACGTATAGTTCAGTGAGATCTCTTACAATGACTAATGACATTTTGGATGAAACTTGATTTCATAGGGCTTGTTTTCATGCTTATGTGAAGCTGAGGAGAAAAGCTCCCTGTAGACTGTTAGTTGCGGATACCGCCATCTTTGCGATCACATGGTAGTCTCAGGAGACATTTCATTGCAAATACGTGCCATCGTGCTCTGGATACAGTGGCATGATGGAAGGTAGACTGTTACCCGCCCCCCCCCCCCTTGAAATATGGGGGACCGGTAACTAGCTCCCATTTAAAGCCATTGATTGGATCACTTTTTTCATTCATTCATTCATTCATAAAGGTTTATTAAAAATTGTCATCACAGCAAAAACAACTGAATTGCAACAATTATTACAATATTGAAAAAACATGAAGAAATAACATTCAATATATATTTAAAACATTCTGCACTAATATACGCCATGCATATCATTTGCATATCATTTGCATACATTACACAGATTTCCGTGTAAATGTAAGATTCACCGCTAGTTACCGGACGCGGTGTTTTTATTTGCAGCGCAAATCGTCAATGGATCATGATTATTCAGCTATTCGATGTTTATTCATAAGAAAATAACAATAACGTCACACCATCGCTATCAATAAGTCAAACATGTACGTTAGAGCATTTCTAAGAACGGCTGTCGTCGAGCTGCCACAGTGGCCTAGTGCGGATAGTGGAATGATGGATCGCAAGATCTGTGGTTCGAACCCACGCCCATTTTCATCAAATGTTTTTGTTGGTTGGGATAAGTTTAATTGAAGGGAAAACACTGCGAGAATCTAAGTGTCTTCCATCCACACAGAAGCATAAATACGATTGGTTAAAATACGATGTATACTGCAGAAAGAAAAATGCGCTTACCGGTCCGCATTTTTGAACTTCCGAAGGACAATGGGGCCGGGGAACCAAACCGTGATGAACGCAGCGGCAATGCCCCCCTTCGATTACCACGTGATCACGAAGTGACCATATCCGTGAAACGGTCCATGTTGTGAACTATCTTTTCAAAGAAAAAACTCTAGTACACAAAAATAGCTCAATATTGCTGATTATAAAACCCTCAACTTCGACTCGAGAGGACAATAATAATTTCATATCCATGTCCACCGACAAACATTATCATTCGCAAAGAAGCGCAAAATTTAACTCTTGTTAGACAGCGTCTTCATGAAACAGCCGTCGAATGTTGCCGTTGGAGAAGGTCAGCGTTGATTCTTTTAAGCTGACCTCCCATTGGACCAGCTGTTCCCAGATTGGATTGGTATTGATCCGAGTTCCATTGTGTCAAGTTCGAGGGGGGTATCCATTGCAACCCCTCTACTAAAAAAAACCATAAGGGTGAACTCGTCGTGTTCCCATCTTTAACCTACGGCGTTGAATGGAAATGAAACGTAGTAATGGGCAATTTTCCGCTTAACGTTGCCTTTGAACATGAATCAGATTATTGAAGAAAAAAATCAGGTTTGTTCTGACTTCATACGGATGTTTACGCCAAGTAAAATTGAGTGAGTATACGAAAATAATTCATGGGTGCCGAACCGACGAAGGTTTTGTAGTGAATGCTCCATGAGGTCAACTTCAGCATTCACTTTCATTAAGAGTAAAACAACATGTAATGCAACCGTGTTGTAGCAAATTTCTCTGTTTTGTTTCCCGACATGAGATGACATTAACAAAATGTGGCTTCCTAAGTTGAAAGAGACACTATGCAGTTATACAGCCAAGACAAACTATCGACTAGATAGCTGTATATATATATCTCGAGTGGTGATCTACATCTATCAAATAAAATGACACAGTACAATATTAATGAACATTTAAAGAGAAATAGAAAGAAAAACCTCTCCCCACCCCCTCCATCCGGTAACAGCATTCACGCCTGCAGGCTGGTTTAACATTTAAGCCGGGACGGAATCCGTTTTTCGACAATAATGTCATATTTCCTGTGACGGTCACTGACATCTTTTTCGGCTAATGCATTGCGCGCGCAGAGACTTGCTTTCCCGCGCAATGTGTTATAGTGGTAGAATGTGGTAGAATATGGTAAAAGAAAAGTTCTTTGCTGTATTGGAATGTGCTTTTTGATATTATTTACCCTGAATTGTTTTACGGGGATGGCAAAAATCACGAAATACAGATAGGGCCTAGGCCTATCTCACTTTTATAGGCTACGTGTCTGGAGTCAGTGGAATACACGACGTTGATTATTGTATTATTTGGGAGACTGGAATATTGGTTTTAAATGATGCTAATCTGAATATTAAGCATTATTAATCCTTTTGGTTTTCTGAGGTATTTTCTTTTATCCGTGTTTTCATAATACATGTAGGCCTAGTAGCTGTTTGATCTATACACTTGAAAATCATAAAGATTAAGAGTCCTCGTCTGAATTATTAATCAATACCTGTACAACACCCAGTTTGACATAATGACGTAGTCTTCGTTCCATTATTGTGAGCCATAGTCTGAAGAGCAATTTAAGCAATCAAAAGAAAGACGTTGTCCTCTCCTATAGCAACCTGAATTCTTGGATGCCTATATATACTCTGCATTCAGACAACACTTCTCACGTTCCGGATGCGTACTCTCGAAACACCTATCATCATAAAAAGATGTATTCAAAAAAAAATAACCATGTGGTTTAGCTAACAAAGAAATTAATCTTAATCTGAATGAGTTTACTCCAGTTTAACTCGGAACGAAAAGAAAGGAATCTCACTGGCGTGTTATAGCAACCGTTCTTTCTGTGATTCCTGCGCAAGAAGTGCCAGTCCCAAGTAGAAGATGGCGTTTTCTCCTCGCACGTTACCAGATCGATAAAGAGATTGCAGCAGGACCTCGGGATGTAGACTTTTGTGATTTCTGTGTTGTGTGCTGAATGTCTAGCGGGTGTTCCAAAACCGGAGCAAAGCCCGACCCAATTTCGCTTTAAATTTGAAAATCCGAAATGAACGTGCTTTATTATGACCGACTTAAAGGTCACGCGTAAGTAAACGTAGCGATCAAGCATAACATTTATGATGGAACGTGTTGAACGGAAACGCAATGCCGGACTCGGCAACGTTGAAGCACATTATGTAGGTCTAACGCATTTGAAGCGATGATCAGTAACAGTGCGGGTTTGCTTTGTGCACCATTGATGCAGCTACCAGAAGAAAGTCCTGAGCGTGTTGCCTCGACTTTCAGTTCCATACTGCCCTGGAACTGACATAGGAGGGCGCTCGACAACATAATTCTCACTGCGTAACGAGGACCCAACCTCGTCCCAGGCTGTTGGGCAGTACGCGCCCACCACTACCTGGATCATTTACATGCGCAAAATTTTGAGCAAAAACATAATCAATTCGTCGCGCTGTGAGTTACGATTATTTTCGAAGTTAAAATGTTACTATCTAATCACACCAATATGCAGTATCACATTTCATATTAATATGACCAAATTGGAAAGGAAAGGAATATTTTTTGAGAAGGCGTGGACGTTATAATTACAATTATCGTGAAAACACGTAATGCACATTGGAAATAACACCACCAGGTACACGATATAAATCCATTACTAGCCAATTGCGGTATCGAATCAGGATACAGGAAGAAAGTTTCCTATCCAGGTCTTGGAAACGAGGATGGAAATAAAGTAAGCACTGGGGACGAGGTTGACGAGGACCAGACTCGACCGGAAAAGTCTAGTACCAACCTCATGATAGATTACGAGAGAAAGTTGTTGCGGTCCGAAGTTTTTACCAAACTATTTGATGTCCGAAACAAGGACGACAGGAGGGTCTAGGCCCTATGGGAACGAGATTAGGTCATTTCAGATATTCATGATTAAGATGACTGTTTTTAAATTGATCATACTTATTCTGTTTCCCTGTATGGATTCGTGAAATATTAATAGAAAGTAGGGGAAGGAGTCCCATACTTTTCGCCCCAACTCTTTTTGAAATTCGCAGTGGCCGGCCACTCCCCCGCCCCATCCCCAAAATCTGGTTCTTGATCCGCTTTTGGGTTCATAATATACCTTTTGTAGCAGCCATCTTAGAGGGCAATGTCTTTGTTCTGCTGGAATATGCATGAGTGAACTTTTTGTGCATTTATTGTTAGTGAATTAACAAAATAACAAAGGATGCCCTCTAAGATGGCAGCAACGCATAAGGTATTACAACCGCGTGCCGTGCACTTCAATGTCCACCTCCCCCCTCCCCCCCCCCCCCAATTTAAATTTGTTTGTCTCTAGATGCCTGTGATCACGATTTTCCAACAATGCTTTGCATCCCGATTCCATTCCCTGAAACCTGTTCGTGTTGCCCTCCTTGGTTAGGCGTTGGGTAGTAGGAATGTAGTAAAGCCTGTCAAGTGGCAACATGGTCCATCAGGCCGGCGTTTATCTTCGGTTTCCTTGGCATGAAATGACTGAGAATATTTCTATTCCCCCTGGATGGGATGCCAGTCCATCGCAGGTACTCCCCAGCTAATGCCGGCACCCATTCATACTCCTAGGTGGAGAGAGGGAAGTGGGGGTGAAGTGGCTTGCCCAAGGACTCAACATAATTGCCACATATGGCGACGAGTATAGAAATATAAAACCTGTGTACATTGCATATGGCAAATTATTGAGACTCCATAGTTGAGACATGCTCTTGCATAAACAGCATTTATTCATTTGTCAAAAACTTTTCTACAATTTTTCATCTAAATAAATATTGACATTTTAATTAATTTCTATAATTAAATTCTTTAATTCTTTAATTAAATTCTGATATAACAAACAATTTGGCTAGGTCCGAACGAGTTTGTTATAACCAGACTCGACTGTAATTTGTACCCTTTTTCTGCTACGATACCTTCCTATCAAATCCATCCGTCTTAGATAGCCAACAGTGTGTGCTGACTGTGCTCTGCTTGGGCCCTCCGCTGGCCTACAAAATGTTAGCAAAACCGGCAGTGTATTCACGAATCTTGACTGAGGCTAGCGTGGTACTAATCATCATAACTACAAATCACACATTCAAACTTGTGATAGGCCCTACTCATTATACCCACGCTCCACTGGAAAACGCAACACAGAATAAAACACTGGTTTTTTTAACAAAAACATTATGGGCCATACTCGAAGGCTTATTATCTCCTACAAAAGAAAAGCATCAATTCGATTTGAAAAACACTGACAGACTGATTCCACAACCGAAAAAGCAATTTAAAATCCGACGATTAGTATCTTTTAATTTGTCGGATGCTATTTTATATAAGTCCTAATCATTTGTCATTATCATAATTAGGCCTTTAGTGAAATATTCAGCCTTTTTTTCTTTCTTGTTTTGGCACGCAAAAGGAATGCATGGATCACTAACGTAGCTACCATGCCACAAGGTATAAACATCATTGACAAATCCAGATGGTCACAGAATCTTGATCTACTTTAAGTTACCAGAAAAAAAATAACTGAACACGCAAGATTTAGTTTCAGCAAAAACAACAACATTTTCACCTTCGAAAACTAGTCTGTTAACGGCCTGTCTGGTCATATTTCGAACGGTGAGGGCGCTGTACGACGCCATTGTGTTGGTACAAATATAATGAATCCAAGGTTACTTGTTTTTCCAATCAAAAAGTTTGCTTTAAAAAAAAAATGTATTTTAAGATTCAAATGAAGTCGCTACATTGCTTCAATAAACATGAAATCTCTAATAGTAGTACCAAAAAAATGACGACTTTAAAGCGCCCTCTTTCGCTCAAAAAAAAAATTGCTGAGCGCAATATCTCTTTGGCAAAAGAAGGGTACCAGTTTCAAATTACACGATTTTTTTAATTTTCTTGTGGCTGGTTCCCAGCACATGCCCTTGTGCTTTCCCCTGAGCAACTCAATACATTTATACCAAATGTCAGCAAGGTACTCTAGTCGAACAGGGAGACATCGCTAGTGAATCCAGAGTCTACCATGGCAAACAGGTTGTATGCCATCATACCAAGGTTGGGCAGCATGCCGATACACAGGGCGAAGCCACGGTACATGGGACGCAGATAGTACGAGAACCAGTAGACAAAACTGTCAACCGAAAAAGAAAATAAAATAATATTAGCAACTTACTGTTTTGATAGAATTCTCATGTCTGCCAATTTGCTTGGTTTTTTTTCTTCAGCTAAGCCGCTTTGTCCTTTAAAATTACTGGTCGCCGTGTGTTCTTCATTACACTGAAGGATTTAGGTTTTTCTGATTAATAAATTGTTGTCCTGTTGTGTTCGACAAAAGTGCCCAAAAATATTGGGGTCGGATGCCACCCGGGTTATTTTAGGGAGAAAATAAAAACAAAAATATAAATTTAGAGAAAATCATTTGTCGCAACTCACCGTCCGATGACCCAGATGCCAATGAAGACGGGGATCATCTTGATGTACTCCTCAGTGATGAAGGTTGCCATGACAACGGTGTTGACCAGCAGCATGATGTACTGCTCCAGGGAGTGGCGCACGTAGTGCTCCGTGTTCTCTAGGTCTTTGGCCTCCTTACAGCGCAGGCGCCCGATCAGCAAGTACAGAATTCCTGCAACATGAGGTGGATGATTATAAACTTTGTGAGTGATGACGAAGCGCCCTCTACTGTTCATGGACGATGTCCATATCATGAATAGGCGCATTCCACGTAGACTGATTCCCGGACTTCGGACTTCGGATGAAGGGACGGGTAGCTAGTAATGAATCCCAAACATTTCATGAGGGTTTCCTCCTAATGTATGCAAATTATATGGAGGACTGGTCTAAGGCTGATTCCCGCCCCTTGTATGCAGAATCTCAACGATAGTGATAACGCGGAACCAGCCTTCTGCAAAATAGCAACAAGGTGTACCACTTATGTGCAATTTGTGTGGTGATGTGCTTCAGTTTTCACTGAGTTTTTTGGTACAAATGTAAATCTGGCACTTCTTTTCCGTATATTTGAAATCTATCACGCCCATGCGTTGAAATGCTTGAAATTGTCTACGTTGAGTCACTGACGATTCTGGCAACTCATTTGTGTAAAGAGTGAGTTTTTAGCCATAATGGGTATGTGTTTAAATGTCATCCCCGCACAAACTGCTAACATCGTTTTTATAAATAAACAATAATGTTGCCCACACGCAGAGGTGATCCAATAAATGGCTTAATGAGAACTATAGCTGTAACGGTCCCCATTTTTGTTTAAGAAGGTGGGGGACCAGTCTGCATTTCATGATGCAGTGTGCAACCCAGGGGTTATGGCAGAGAGCCACAAGATTATAAGATTCCCTCTCCATCCTGGTATCAATTATGCAGGGGTGTTTTCGAAGAACTATTTTTAAATAAAGGTGGCAAAAAGACCCCTATTTGTTTAATCAAGTAAAAATTGAAAAAAAAAGATGTGATAGATCAAAGGAGCAGAAAAAAGGGAAAGTTACAGAGTGCCTGACTATGTTTCAGAATGAATAGGGAGTAGGAAAATGGAAACATAATCCTAATTAAGAATTGTTTTAAGCTAGGTAAAGTTTTTAATTGTCCCTGAGATTGGGATTGAAGGATTGTTCATTTCAAACCCGCCAGAAAAAAAAAATGAGATGATTCTTTAATGTTTGCGTGTTACTCCATGACGATGAAGACAACTGTGACAAAAATGGCCGACTTACCCATCGCAAAGGGGATTATGGCCACGCCTTGGCACCTGATCGCAAAGACCAGCCGGCCACTCATGCCGTGCAGCGGTGGGATCTCGATGGGCAGGTAGACGGCACCCACGTAGACCATCAGCGGCACTACGAAGAACGTACTAGCCGTCAATACCAAGTTGAAGACGTTCAGTCGGGCCTTGGCTTTGAACTGGAAGGACCGGTCAAGATCCGGGTTCGTGTCGGGCCGTGGTGGGTCGGTCTCGCCGTCCTCACTGTCACGGACTTTCCTCAGGAGATTGTTGGGCCTAGTCATGATGGTTGTGATGATGATGAAAGCAGAATGGACGGAACTCTGAAGAGGGGATCAAATATTATATCCAAATACATCATCTAGGCTCTATGACTCTGCTTTTCGCAAGCGTTGAATTTTGATAACAACCGAATGAAATTATGAAACGGCTATACCGTATTTTATGGGTTATCTAGAAAATGAGCATGCGTGCCTCCTATTATCTAATGATTCTGTGCTGAAGTGTATCGCAGAACTTTCTTCCTTGCGGACGGTCTAAGCGCAGATGCTCGTCATAGTTAAAGAACACATGCAGGTTATAAGTTGGTGCCATAAAGTGGTGCATGCCTATGCTCCCCACAATACCGATGTTCCCCAATACCGATGTTCCCCGAAATCCTTACCATATAACCCTAACCCTAATCCTAAGTATTTTGGGGAACATCGGTATTGGGGAACATAGGTATAGGGGAAAACTGGGTAGATCCCCCAAAAAGTTAGGTTCGGTAGAGGTAAGAGGGATGTTCGACCTTAGATAACGTCACGTTTGTTTGTTTTTTTTTCTGCAGATTAGGTTGGTGACTTTCTAGAGTTTCGGATGATCCGAAGTAACCGTTAGGTAACCAGGCCTTGAGCGGATCTAGGTTTGCTTAAGAGGGGAGTTTGCCTATCAAGAGGGAGTTTAACAAGCATGTGCTATTTTCTCTGTTATTTTCCCTTATTTGCGGTCGGTGGGGGTTAAACCTAACTTAAGAAGAGGTCTAACGAGATCCGATTGGAAGAACTCCATAAGTCAATCCTTTTGTATAAAAAAAAAAGTTTATAATTTACAGCCTATTAAAAGACTCTGTGAGTTATTTCAATAAAATAACGCTTTGATGGTCAGTATAGGCCTACATCGTTTTGCTGACGGCAAATGACTGAAACACAAGGTGTACCACTGCGTCACTCAGCTGAATGACAGATAATAGTTTCTTTTTTTGGGAGGGAGGGTATTCGACTTAACTTGTTAGGAATAAAATAAAAAGACTACCATCCATATGAGAAATCACCAAAACTATATTGGAAGACATAATGATTTCAAATCTTACCTTAATGAGGTGTTTTTGTCGACAGCAAAGATTGTAGAGAATGTCCCAGTGTTCTGATGTCTGTAACTGTATAAAACTGCCTTGTTGGGAAGAACGCAACGCTAATCGATAACATTAATCGATACCGGTAGCCGCGATACCATTCCAAAATAGCCCCCTCTAAAACACCCTTGAAAGCCCCAATATCGATTATCCAACGGACGATACAATAGGCGAAGAACTGCTACAAGAAGTGAAGAACTGCTACATTTTGTGGATGTATTGTTTTCTTTGTGATGATGGTTCGTCATTCCTCTAACTTTAACAGCTCCCCCTTCATTTAGATGAGTTTATATTTTTCTTGAATGTCTTTCGTTTACTTCAGGTCCTAAATTCTCCCTTTCTACCCCTCACAATACGGTTTTACCATTGTTCGAAAAAGAGTACATTCTCCACATGTGTAATAATAGTTTACGTTTCTTACTACTCATTACATACTTGAATGTCCTATTGTTTTATTGTGACATTTGTTTTTTTTTTACCTGACTTTTTTGCTTCAAATGTCGGCTGATGACCGCAAATGGTGCCCGACTAAACTTAGTGCAAATATATGGGAGTCCAGAGAGGCCACATAAAGCTTATTCTCGACCATAACCTAATCTAAAAACACGTTAAAATTGTGCAGCAGCAGGATTCCAGTCAAACCAGTAAGTTTGGCGGTTTTGAGACATCATCTTTCATTGAAAAAAAAACTTTTTCATTTTGCCGACGCGCATGGCTACGGCGTCGCGCGCGCATACCAGAAACCGGAGACTTTTTTGGGGGGCCTTATATAAGTGTATATACTTTTGAAATGTTAATAAACAAAAGGAGGGTATTTGTCGATATTCAATTAAGATCAGTTAAACTCCTGAACACTGTTTTGCTCAATACATTTTGTTATTCGTCACATCATGTTATAAACAAACAACGTTTTACATCAATTGATAAAGAATAGCCTCATTTTTTCAGCATGCGCATAAAAATATTAGAAACTAAAGATAACTAATCTTATTCAAACTATAAGGATAAACCATTTTCCTAATTAGGAATTCTAAACAATTACAATTCAAATTGAAAGTTTTTTTTTTCGAAAGTATTAAATAAAAGACTCAATGTCCTATTTTCCCCCGAAAATTATGAAAATAATAATTCGTCGTTATTGTTTTTCTTTATAGGGGGCGACAAATATGCTGGCAGCCCATCGAGTCCGTACAGACCTTTCTACGCTTGGTTGGTAACCTGCATTTTTGCCAACCACGGGTTGCAAAACTATGGAAGGTCCAACACTGCAAAAATGAAAACGAATTATTACAGATAACCAAAATATTATTTGATTGTTGGAAATACAACATTGTCAACAAAGCTACAACATAATTCCTAACCATGCTTTTTTACTTTGTATTGAGGGCGTTATGGGGACTTTTTTTGGAAAAACATGTTACCAACCACGGCTTTAATTTATGCGCTTGCGGCAGCCCATATAAAATGGCGCCAATGTTTACAGACAAAAGAAAGGCCTTATTCTTTCGTTTGTAAAGAATGAGCGCCATTTTGTATGGGCTGCCACAAGGTCATAAATTACAGCCGTGGTTGGCCACAGATTTTGCCCAATTTTATCTCAACACTCTCATTATTTAATAAAAAAGTTTGTTTTTGTAAAGTATTTGTTTTTTTAGCATTTGTCGGTTATGTTGTATTTTCAACAATCCGACAATATTTTTGAAAACATTAATGACTATCATTTATGCAGTGTTGGGCCTTCCATATTTTGGCAACCCGTGGTTGGCAAAATGTGCCAACCACGCATCGGCGATATAATAGAAAGGTCTATACTGAAGATGGCCAGGAATGCTTCCCGCTGACTACTGGGGGCGCTCTTCAAAGAGGACAATGTTCATTTTGTTTATGTTCGCAAAGTTCGTTAATAAGCGGGTAAGGGCGCTACTATAGTGGCGGTTGTGAGGCGATGATTAATTTAACACAACATGTATTATTATTGACGTCATCCCTCTTGTCTTTTTTTTTTCATTTTTGTTTTCATTTTCAATTAGGGGGGGGGGGGGAGTTGACCCTTTGCCTCCCCTCGGAATGTCCATGATTTGAACTTTATACTACGAATGATACTGTTATATGGCAAGTTCAGCCTCAATTGTTATATTTTAACTTCCTCTCATAACATACATATCTTTTTCGTGAATAAACGAAGTTGGTTTCAAGCCTACTATTGGAGGTTATTCTTAGAGTGAAGGCACGAGGTGGGGGTTGTAAGTTACCCAAGCCTCCTTCTCAACTTAATATTTAATGACAATTATCAATAAAAATGAATATCACCACAGCGTATAGCTTTTGCTAAGCTAAGTGATGCACGTGTCTTATGTTTGAACTTTACCACCCCATCATATTGTGTCAGCCAAGAAACAAATGGAGGGCTCACATCGCAAGAATATCGCCCTATTAGCCAAGACCTTAAACTATACACTTGTGCGGCATATCAGCCGTGGCGTAAAAATGTTTCTTAAAATATCAAGGCTTTTTCTATACACTTTATCAAGTGCTTATTTTAAATATACAATATTTAAAACTTCAGCAAGAAAACCAACATGAAGAAAAATATTAACCGACTACTGTTCAGCCAAACTGCCCTCGTCGAGTCATAATTTGGAAATTATTAACGAAACACGTAATTCTTCAACTCTAACACAGTCAACGATACATCGGAATTGAAATTCAGCCATGCATAATTATGGAAAAACAAGATAATTTCTGTTAGATTTTTAAAAGGCCACGTTGAACACACACATTCTTATTTACAAAATAGACAAATCGTCGTGCGTTTAAAGATGACAGGTGCACTTGTGGATCCTTCAGCCAATCAATAGTCTCTTCATCGAACTGCCTCAGGCCATACCCGTGAGACTTTTGTGCCGACACATTGAGGTCAAACATAGACCAGTAAAGATATCACAAAATATTACGAACAATGACTGGCTGTTATTATAGTTGTTCTGTTTGGGGGTTTTAGTATTAATAATTTTGTTTATATTTATCTTTGTTTTTTATTTGTATTCTGTTTTTATTTATATTTTTTTAAAATTAATTCGAATGCCCTTGCAAAATACATGAAGATGTTGTACGAGACGTCATTCGTGCCAGGCCCGATTTGAAGCAGAAAATCAGAATGCACACTCACCAAGTACTTCCAAATGCTTACAGGCTTCATTTCTTGGGACAATAACAAATACAACATCCTTCCAAATGCTGACAATGATTTCTCATGAACTATCACAGTTACGAAATATACTCACAGGTAAGAATAGATCCATTATAATAGGCTCAAAGGTAAGGAAGAGCTGTTTTCTAAATTTCCCATTATACAACAAGAAAAACGCAGTCTCGTGGGACATTTATAGCCTACTGTTTACATCGGCGTTTTGTCAAAATCTGTCGTCAACATACATCAGCGGCATGCAGCCGATATAACATCGGTGGTAACCAATATCTTTGTAGCCTTTGACAAGATCATCGCGAATTCGGACATATAACCCAGTGGTGGAGACGAGATGCGACTGGAGGGAGACTACACATGCCGAGAGAGCTGAGTCCGTTAACGCACTGGTTTATACTCGGAACTATGGCTGCATCCGAATCAGTTGTCTAGAGCTAGGTCTAGGTCCATGCCAATTGAAAATACGCGGGGACGCGCTGACAATAGACGTAGCCGTAGCTCTGGAAGCCCGTTTCGGACACGGCCTATGCTCGGCATACATTGTTTAGTCTCCGCTCTATTTGCCCCGAGGCATCGCCGCTCGGTTTTGAAATAAAAAAATCACGATGGCCTTGTCAAAAGGCTGATAACTTAGTAATTCTGCAAAGAAACACCCGGGTCCTCTTCGGGAAAGATCTTGACATTCTGCACCTTGGAGCTGCGCCTGTTGTTGCCGCGGAGTCCGTTGTACAGCCGGCTGGCGAGGAGTGCAAGGAACGTGCCGCAGTGCTCGAATAACTCGAAGACGGTCAGAAGAGACAGGCCTAGCCACAGCCCTAGCAGCCCGCCGATGTCACTGACCAAATTAACAAACTGTCCGAAAAGAAAATATTTGAGAATCATTCAAGTTGGTCTGCAAAACATGTGTCTTTCGGCAATAATGCACAGCGAATAACGCGACTATAATTCGAAGTCTATGGAAGGCCCCATGCACGCTAAGGGTCTGTGATATGCAAGCAGATTCAGCGATTAGTTACGCAAAACAAGACTGCGTCTTGACCTCGAGATTCTGACCATTTAACAGGCGCCTTCTATCGGGTCTTCCGTAACCAGTTGTTGTTTTACAAGAATATGGCAGTCAAATTGACCAATCAACAGCTAAGTTCTGATCGAAATGACGTCGCCGTTTCTAAAGTCGACTCCGAATGGCTGGCGCGCTGGGTCGCATTACATTTGCACGCTGGGATGGTCAGACGTTCGTTCGTGTGGCTCTTCACACATGAATGTCTGATCGTCAGACTAACAGCAAGGAGGGTCTGTCAGCAAATGTGTTGTCCCCCTCCCCATTCAAAATGGGTTGTGGGACGTCTGTTGCGCATGCGGTCACCAGCGCCATTGGGTATCGTATACCCCCAATCAGCCTAAGCTATCTCTGTATATTCACGGAGGCCCCTTTCAATGACAAAAACATTTTGCCAACTGTACAGTAGACTGTAGTCCCCAGTGGACTAACTTCTTTAGAAGACTGACATCCCAAGTAGACTGACGTGCCCAGTAAACTCGTCATGTCCCCAGTAGAGTAGACTGACGTCCCCAGTAGACAGACGTCCCCAGTACACTGACATCACCAGAAGACTGACGTTTCCATTAGAATGACGCCCCCAGTACACCGACGTCCCCAGTAGACTGACATCCCGAGTAGACTGACGTCCCATGTAGACTGACGTCCCCAGTAGACTGACGTCTTCAGTAGACATACGTCCCTAGTAGACTGACGTCTTCAGTAGACAGACGTCTTCAGTAAACAGACGTCCCAAGTAGACTGACATCTCCAGTAGACTGACATCGCCAGTAGACTGACGTCCCCTGTGGACTTACATCCACAGTAGACTAACATCCCCAATAGACTGTCGTCCCCAGTAGACAGACAATCCCAGTAGACTGACATCCCCAGTAGACTGACATCTCCAGTAGACAGACGTCCCCAGTGGACTGACGTCCCCAGTAGACTGACATCCCTAGTAGACTGACGTCCCCAGCAGACTTACATCCCCAGTAGACAAACATCCCCAGTAGACTGACGTCCCTAGTGGACTGACGTCCCCAGTAGACTGACGTCCCTAGTAGACTGACATCCCCACTAGACTGACGTCCCCAGTAGACTGACGTCCCCAGTAGACCAACGTCCCCAGTAGACTGACATCCCCAGTAGACTGACGTCCCCAGTAGACAGACGACCCCAGTAGACTGACGTCCCCAGTAGACAGACGACCCCAGTAGACTGACGTGCCCAGTAGACTGACGTCCCCAGTAGACTGACATCCCCAGTAGACTGACATCCCCATTAGACAGACGTCCCCAGTAGGCTGACATCCCCAGGAGACAGACATCCCCAGTAGAGTGACATCCCCAGTAAACTGGCATCCCCAGTAGACTGACGTGCCCAGTAGACTGACATCCCAAATAGACTGACGTCCCCAGTAGACTGACTTCCCCAGTAGACTGACGTCCACTGTAGAAAGACGTCTTCAGTAGACTGACGTCCCCAGTAGACTGACATCCCCAGTAGACTGACGTACGGACTGCTTTAATGTGACCATGGTACCTGTTTGTTTCGCGCAGATGATCCGGATCGCGGTCGGTGATCCGACACGTCGATAGCTGCTACGTTTTAACGGATCCTGCAAGATCCAAGGTGCGCAAGATCAAAGACGTGCGCGACGGACGGAGAGTTTTTCAATGCAGCTTAATGAAAGTATGTTCGGTTGAACCTTACCTGTGCTCGCTGGATCATGGAACTCAGGAGTCCGTGTCTTTGGGAGCATTTACGTGCGGGCCCGTGTCCGTAGGTGTGCAAGCATGAACAGGGGTCCGCACGCGCGCGTGCGCATGCACTCAAATCGGAATTAATCCATGCCCCCTCCTCCACCATACGTGACCCGCAATCGTAAATTTGTCATTCGCGCTGTATGTGTTATTCAATTTCAAGGATGACTAATTATATTTCATGTTGATGACTCACGCTGCTCTCGATGGCCTCCTTTTCCTTTTGGTTGCAAACTTTCAAATATCTCCCAAATTGCCAACGCCGAGCAAAAACATAATAGACAGTTTTGAAGCTTCAGTACTTGATGGTTTGTAGCAAGGTTCCCAGCTCTGAACCCGCCTTTGAACTTGTATCTTTGACAAGTCTGGGTTAAAATTGGACTCGATGGTGGCGCTATTTACAACGAAGTGAGGGGATCATTATTTTCAAAATGGCGACGGGCTTCAGGACTACGTACGTAACTTTGGGGTTATCAACTTCATCGATAAACCACAAAACAATATACAAAAAAGTAAAGGATACAATCAAGCTTTCATTTAACGTGTATCTTGAACTCTTGTGAGAATTCTGCGTATTTTACAGTAATGTAGGCCTATGTACTGGTCTGAATCCATAAGGTACGAGCGAAAAGTAGTGCGTCACCTAGAGGTTAGCCAAGTCTCATGGTGTTAGGGGGGGGGGGGAAGGTTGACATCTTTGTGCAACACCCTATTCCTTCTGTTTTGTTTTAGTTTGAATTAATTTTTAAAAAACAATCTGGGGGAGGTTTATGATTAAAGTTGTTCTTGAACGAGGATGACTTAATCTACGCAACACCTATAATTGTGATTTATTAATCTAGGACAACCCTTAGACCCTATACTTTAGTACCCCTCAAAACAAACGTAATGCAAAGTCACAAAAAGCTAATTAATAGGATATCGTGTCTCACGATGCATCGACCCGAAGCCAAATTATTTTTGTCTGGCACATAGTAACGTTAATTACAATAAACGAGCAAGTTAAATAGAAACGACTGTCTGTACGTCATGCAGTGGGACCATAATAGGAATGAGCCTCAGGCACTATTTATTTTTCAGGAAAAGTAAAGATTAACTCGTCTGACAATTCCTTCAGGTATGCGGAGCATTGATTTTTGCTCTTCAGTGTAATCTTGGCGAGTCATGTTTGTCGATGTTCGATATATGTCTGTGTTATGCACAAATGTCGAAGGGGGTTACGTATTACTGTTTATAATGACTACAAAATGTCCCTTATATCTGCAGGCGGTGCTTAGTGCTGTGTGACGTTGGCAGATGGATTCGGTACCTCTTCGTACCAGGCTGAAGCGACAATGAGGTTTGGAGTACAAACACTGTACTTCGAACAGACAGATATCGAGTGAAAATGAAACTTTGACTGGGAAACGGTCGAAAATGCTACATTAGTGAATAGGCTAACTATAGTTGACCTCGAGACTGTACCGGGGTTTTTTGGCGACTATCTTCCACTGTCCTTTAAAACAATTTCCTGAAAACCTTTTTTTCGTCGATTGTCTAATGGAAAAAAATTGGGTGACTTTTTTTCTTGGTTTTTGGCACTGATAATTATACCAAAATAGCAACTTTTAATAAAATTGTTATCTGTCAATATTGTAGCAGAAGTTAATTTAGAGCTTGAAATTGGAGTTCCATGTCCTTCGAATGATGGCCAAAGCGTGGTTTAAGCATTCGTGAATTTACTGAAATGCATTTATAATTGAAAAATCCCATGCCTGTGACATGGACTTCAATTTTTGTGTTTAGATTAATTTCAGAACATTGCAGGCGAGTTGCCCTGTGATTACCATACTGTTTGATGGATAGCCATAGGCTTAAACTGATTCTAGCAGTATTACAGTCGGCAAAAAACTAATATTTGATTACACCTACCAGGTAGGCCGGCGACTGTTTGATGTACTGAAAGTTGAACTCCTGGAAGTACACCTCAACCTTAGCGACGTTCTTTCTGCAAAAATAGGGTCGTGCGAAATTCAAACATTAAATTGTCACTAATGTCGTCGTATTAAAGTTTCTTACGGCATGTACTTCCATTCCCATGAGGTTTAAACGGCTGTTTAAATCAAAGGAGGCTCCAACAGTGGCTGATGCATCGTATCCCTTAACCTACTGATCAGAACAGTCGTCACGATGCAGTAGGCTTACTCAGTGCTTTAAACACCGCTCTGTGAGTGACCAGTAATTCGTTCACTGATTGGTACCATTCAGGCCAAGTAAAAAAAAAAGGGTGGAATCGTCCACGCTCTTCCTTTTTCGCGCCCGCCTCCTTTTTAAAATTCGCAGATTTAGAATATAGTTTGCAAATATATTGTCAAGTTATTGTCCTTTTTATACATTTTCAACAACACTGTAGCCATGTAGAAAGGGTGACGGGTCCGTTGGACACAATTTTTTATCAGCAAAAGAGTCATTTTTTATTTCACCACAACCGAGAGACCGAGGCCCTTGTTTTCAATGCTCATTAGGCAATTAACAATTTGTCTAACTGTAAAGTGCAAGAAACAACTTACAAGACCCAATCTCGGGGCGATGCTTGCCGCAGCATCTCTCTAACGTCATTGTTACGATCGTTGATATCACGAAACAACTTGTCCTGCGTCAAGAAAATGAAACCAAACAAAATTGCACACTCTTACTTCCAAAGAAAGAAAATATTCAAGTGTAAGTGCCTAAATTAACTACAACAGACTGAAACTAAAGACTATTCGTTCACTGGAATTTATCTATTTTTCACTCGTATCCATTCCCCTTGTCGAAGTATTTCCTTCTAAATTAGAATGATTTTTACTCTAAATAGTGATCGTGTGGTATATAACATTTCTTAAACAAAAGATTGTTCTTGTAAATATAATGAAAAACCAATGAAATTGGGGTATTTTTCTGCAGAAAAAAAAGCTTTTTCAGTCAACTTCGGAGGATATTTATTTCCCTCAGTAATTCTTTTCTTTGATACTGCGCCAAAAACAGCCACTTTAAAGTCCAGAACTTTATTGAATTACATCGAATCTCACGAAACGGGTCTTCAGGGCAATTTTTACTCATTATTTGTTTTTTCCACATGCAGTCAAATGAGCACAGCCTGCCTTTCGTTTGGATACTGATGTTGGCATCTAGCAGATGCTGTGAGTGACAATATTGACTGTTTCTCTGATTTCCGTTGTGCCAGATTTCCTTTTTTTAGAAATACCTATTACCCTAAAGTAGCTGTGCCAGCTTTCGATTTTGTTGGGTCGGTCAAAACTTCTTTCTTTATACCTGAAATTGATCCGAGGGCCAGAGAGATGAACTCGCTGCAGTTAGGTACGTGGTCTCGCTGAAATATAATGAAAAAAGTGCAGAGTGACAAAAATGACAAACAAATGACAAGAGTCGCAGTATTTACAAAATGAATGTCAATAAAACCATTATAATTGCACAGTTTATTGGCAATTTGGCAGGTTGTCTTTAAGTGAAATCCAAAGTCTTTGACGAAATCAGTAATATTTGTTTAATATTGTCAAACGTTTCATTCTAAAACATGTGAGATTCGTAATTGTCCAAAAACCGGGATTTTTTTTTAAAAGCTTTTTGGTACATCGGCGTTCTATACTATATGACAGAAAAGGAAACCTGTATGTTGGTTGAATTTAATCGTGATGAATTTGAAGATTGATTATTTCACATTTTGTCCTGATTTTCAAATTTTCAAATTGGAAAAACTATTCCTAAGGACGTTGTTAATCGTTGTTAATTTACATTAATATTTGCAACTGCATAAGGCCTACTTAGTCATTTTGATTATTCAATAAAATACCACATCCAAAATTGTAAAGAACTGAGATGCCCCTTGTCACATCTCTACGAAGGAAAACTGGTTGAGCAGTTCCTTAATGAGTAACTTTACAGATAACTGACTCACTTGCACCGCTGGAAACAGTTGCAGTTCAACGTGCCTTCCTTGTATTTCTCCTCCAAAGACGACATGCAAGCCTGAGCTGCAAATGGGGGACAGGTTTTCAAAATCCATTTTAATTTCGAGAGAAACATGCCTGGTCTTTTTCCTCACTTCATTCGTTTCTTGAATGTTGTCCATAAAGTTTTGTTTTTGCTTAATAATTGACTAAATATGGAGCTGGAACAACAATCACTGGAAGCCAGTTCAGTGTTAGTTTGAGCTCGAAAATACCACTGAAAAATAAAGTTCTAAGCTTTAAATAATGAGAAGAGGGGGCTATTAAAATCTTGTAAACTATGTTATGCTGCAAAGTGTTTTGGCCGAGGTTTGTAGCTTAAGCTGTAAGAATCGATACGTAACATTGACAACACACGTAAAGTATCAGTATCGATACTACATTGATGTAATGATTTTACACGCGGTGTCATATGAAAATCAGACTCGTATGAAAATCGGACTCTTTTTCCTTTTTATTGGTTAAACCCTCTCACGTGACCGGTCCCTCTCCTAATTATCTATGCATGAGCATGCGCAATACCACCAATGAGTCCGTATTTCATAAAACCTAGATTCATGCTACAGCGGCAACGATACCTGCGTCATCATCGATATCGCAAGGGTGGGTGGTGCCGTTGAGGGTATTCGGGTAATGAGGATCGAAACATTCGCACTCTTTAATCACTTTCTTCTGGTAACAGCTACGCTCACAAGCCTGGCGATAAAAACAAAATGAGGGTGTGTTATTGTCAATGATGACGTCCTTAAACGAATACTTACGGAATCGTAATCTTTTTAAAACATGTCCAAGGAGAAGTGGCACCGTTTGTTCTATTTATGACATACTTGTACATTGGTGTGTTTTTTCAATTGTGTCCTTATTACCTCCGCCAAGGAGGTTATGTTTTCGTTGGAGTTGATTGGTTGGTTGGTTGGTTGGTTTGTCTATTAACAGGATAACTCCAAAAGTTCTGGACGGATTTTCATGAAATTGTTTTTATAAGTACAAATCGATTAGATTTTGGAAGTGATCCGATGTGGTTCTGGATGTGGATGAAGGCTATTTTTTAAGGATTCATCACCATGTTGTACGTTCGAATATGCTATGTGTAAAGACTTGTGTGGGTAACACAGCGTGCAGTCTGTGAGCGCATAGCACAAACATAATTGAAACAAACAGGTCAATGGACTCGACCATTTTATACTATGGGGGAGTGGGGAATGTGTAATAAAATGAGGTCCAGTGCATGCGAGTATTTCTATTGGCTGTACTGACAATAATGGCGGGGAATTGTTCAGCCTTGGCGGAGGTTTGCGCTCTCTGAGTGCTTTCTAGTTTTGAACATGCAAAATATACATTCTTTTGTAAATATTCAAATTATCCAAATGCAATAGCTTGCTGCAGCAGCTACGATTCGGTCATCAGCTTCCTCTACATACGAATTGTGTTCTGCTCTATTCAGTAATGCAATTTTACTTAGGTTTTCAAAAGTAATTTACCTTTAGGCTGTACTCGACTCCGTAGCGGTCTCTGAAGATATTACCCTTGTCTGTTACCTCCTGCGTACAATTACCATACGGATCACCCAGACGTTCAATAGTCACCTGCCAAGGGGTACAACGTGATAGGCAGGTTCAACAGGAGCAGCTTCACAGCTTACCTTATCACTTTTGGAATATTTCTAATTTCGAGAAACACGTAATTTACCAGTAGGCCTATAACTTCAAACATTAATGGCAGGTTTGGAATATCAGCGCCTGATGTGCATTTGTTACTAATCAATCCTAGTCAGGTTTTCCATCGATTCGTAAACTATTTCCGCCGAAGGCATGGAAGACGAGAATATTGTCTCGCCAAATTTGTATTTCTTTTTTAAGTATTAAAGACTACATTTTCATCATGAAAATTTAAGTCTTTTAAGTAAATTGTGGAGTGCCGTGGCCTCGTGGTCTGGGGCATTGAATTCGTGGTCTGCGGGTAATTCTGCAGGTTTTGGGTTTTCGAGTCCAGCCTGGGGTTATGTTGTGTGTGCCCTTAGACAAGGCCCTATCACTCATTGGAGTGAATGGGCAGCTGTGAAGACAGAGATAGTTATTGCGGTTGATTTTAGCTGCTTTGCGCCCAAATGGCAGCATGGAGCTGTATACTCCCCAGGGAGCTGAGATGATGGCCTTATGAGCAGGTAATACCGTAATAGCGTTTTAAGCACCAAGACTGGTGGATACGTGCCTTTTATGTACACACAAGTGCACTTCGGGAAATCAAGAGATGTTTCAAATGTACACTGTTTTCGAAGCTCTACTTTCGCTTTTGTCGTTATCCAAATACTGCTATACAATAATCTTCAAAAACTCTTTTGTTACAGTTGTTATCCACCACAGTTTTTCCCCATGCACTGTTACTCACGACGCGGACGTTGATGGCGGTCTTCGAGCCCGGCGCGACGGAGATGCCATCGTCCTCTGGGAAGGGCATGACGTCACGGTCGTGGACCACCAGCCTGAAGCCCGCTGCCTCGGTGATCTCGGGCATATACTCGTCTTGCTCAAGGAAAAGCTCCATTGTCAGGCCTAAAGAGCGAAAGATTGAATATTGATTGTGGAATTAAAGGATTCATAATTCATGACGAAGTATTCTTTTGAACAAATTTTGTTCAACTTTCTACTCCTCTTAAATGTATGAAAACTATTTGACATCCCTTCTTGGTTAATTTATTGAATTCCTTAAGACCTTTAAACTCTTCCATGCTTTTCCAAACAACTAAGGGCGCTGTTGCCGTGATGTCATTTCAGGAAGATGTGAAGACACTGCTCAGTTCATGGGTTTTTCTGTTAAAATTGCGAACCCCAAAATTTGCTCATTGAAAACATTTGTGAGAAAAGTCTGCTCATTGGCGTACTTTCATGTACTGCCATCACCAAAGAAAACAACTGCAAAATGTCCATTATTCTGGCAACTCTTGGTACAGAAATAGTTGTAAACATTGAGGGTTTTTGCCTGAAATGACATCACAATATTGCACAGGAATATGAAAATTTGCGTTAGCATAAAAACTCAAAAGCACCAAAATAAACCTTGAAAATGACATTATGGAAATTGATAAAGAAACTTAATCGGACACGAATGTGTATTTTCAAGGAACGTTAGAAAACAATTACATAACATGGGAACCTTAGGGATATACAAGGACACTATAGAGCACTTCACAAAAATCGCTGAAGCCTTGAGCCGTTGGATGGAAAGCCCTACGTGCGTGTTTTAATTACTGGATAGAACAAGCTAGATCCAGAACAAATACCCAACCCCGCAAAAAAGAAGGGGAAAAAACAATCACTGAGACAGTTATAGTCGCTGAATCATCAGCAACCCTCATGAAATAAGTGCTTGAATTACTTTAAAATAATTTGTCCAGTAATTAAGGTCACAGAAGGATTTTAACAATATTTTACAAGGGAATGCTTCACAGTTTTGAGGGACACGTTAACAATTAAATGAAGTGCCCCGTCATTATTAAGAAAAATCTTGAACATGGATCGATTCTTGGTTCAATGGCTCGATTCAGGGTGAAATTCTCGGGAACTGCATCTTTTAAAAACTCAAAATTGCGATCGGTACTTACAGTTATAGAATAAGCCAAAAGCAGTTACAAGTCGAAGCAGATAATTTCTTTTCGTTTTAACCCTGGACGGAGTGACTTGATGCCCCTGGGGCATCAGGTGACCGAATTGTTTGAATAAAAAAAAAATGAGGACCAATGACGGTCACCTCCTATCTAATCCTCATTCAACCCTTGCCAAATCAGCTGGTTCAATGAACTTTGCAGCCAGGGCTACACCCAGGCCGTGTCAACAAACTTTCGACCAGGCCTCCTGCCAAGTCTCATTGAAACATCAACAAAGACCTGTAACTTGACACAGCCATCTCCTTTCATAATTACACCCTACTGTCCTCTGATCTTACTAACTGACCGGACGAGTGAGTCAGTAAGTAATGTAGCGTATAGACCAGGACTCTACGCAATATTACACCTGCAATATGATATTTACCATACAAAGGGCCCGGTCGGTTCGTCTTCAGCGAATCTCCAAACTGGAATGAGTTGAACGTGTAGCAGTTGCCAAACTTGTAGTGGTAGAATGATGTAAAATTTCTAAAGAAAGAACCAAAATTGTGGGGAAAAGTTTGTACCTTAATCAACTGACCTGGATAAGCTAAATGAACCCTTGATCGGTAAGTCAAAATCAATATTTCCATGTGCATGGAACAAACCGGGCACACTAACACTTCTATCACGGAGGCGCCCTTCAATGGCGCAAGCAATGTGTAGCTATATTGTTCCGATGAGCCGACACGGGGCAGTTGCTTTGTTCAATAGCGTGCACAATGGTTTCTCCATTGAAAGAGGACATCCTGCCCGGATTCGGTTACAACAAATGCGAGTCTTCACTAAATAACCGCATGTTCAGTGATGAAATCTATTAACTCATAAATTCTTTTCAAAAGATGCAGTTTGCGTCGGGGTGATGTAAATCAATATTAGGTTTTGCCCTTCACCGACGTATTTCCTGATTATACGTCGGCGAAGGGCAAAACCTAATATTGAGTCATAAATTGTTATATTAGGTTGTGACGTGAATGGGCATCGCCGGGTGAATCTCGCAATTTCGTTTTAGGCACAGGTGTCGGGTTCTCAATTGCAGAAAAAGGCAAGTCAAATTGACTTTTCTGATTTTCAATCTTAAAATTGGTCATGATTATCTTTGCACGGCAGGAGAAGAAAGTAGCTATTGAGCCGAAAACTTTGAAGAACACAATACAGGGTGAGTCAAAAAAGAAGAGGAAACCCAAATGGTGCCTCTTATATTTTGAAGAAGTTCGGCATATAGCGCTTTCCAGATCTAGGACATGAAAGCCCAATTAATAAACTTTTCTTTAGTGAAAGAACCATTCAAGTCGCTGACGTATTTTTCTAGTTATGGCATTTGAACACAAACACCGTTTTTAAGCTTGTCCACGGATTACATTTAAGGTGCACATGATATTTCAGTAAAAATGAAACCATGTATCCTGAAAAGATATCACTATAATCCATGAGTCTCCAGAGTAGCCAAGTAGAAGGCAGGGCAAGACTTTAAAGTCCTGATAAAGCATGCTATTATGCAACATTGAAAGCAGCAGGGTTTTAAGATAAATGTTATGAAAATTGCCAGTTATCATGGTTATGAGAGTTTTCTGCTGTGTTTTGTGAAATGTGAATAGTTCTCGTTTTGCTGAACTATCACTGGCACTTATTGTGATTCGTGGACAAGGTTAAAAAACGGTGTTTGTGTTCGAAATTTCACAACTGTAAAAGTACGTAAGCGAAATGAATGATTCTTTCACTATAAAGAAAACTTATTAATTGGGCTTTCATATCCTAGATTTGGAAAGCGTTACACATGCAGAACTTCTTTAAAAAAAAATTTTTTTTAAATAGGGGGCTCAAATTAAAAAAAAAAAAAAAAGCACTTCGCCAAATGGTGAGGTTCGCTTACCGTGGGGAGCAGGGGTAACCTTTCCACTGGCATTCCAGCAGCATTGACCTCAGGGAGTGACCCATGTCCTTACGCTCGTCATCGGTCAGGTTGGCAAGGTGGGAGATGAGTCGCTGCTCCTTCAGGTAATCGTGGTCTTGCTTCATGAAGAAGTTACCTGCCTCTCGCGCGTCCCAGCCAACGATTCCCTCCTGGTTAAAAAAAAGAAGTGTCAAGTCGCTGCTGGTGTAAATATAGCTTGTCCCTCGTCTTATGAATAATTCCTAATAATAATAATACTTTATTTAAGCAAATTAACACATAAAAAAAGTAAATACACTCAGGTTTATATTACTGACAAAAATAACTTTACAACTTACAAGACACAGAGGAAAAAAAATAAAAGGACAACAAAAACCAAACAAACACCCCAGCGAACATACAGGACAAAGGACAGTGAAGGGCTGACTAGGAAAAAGGCTAAAATGTGTATTAAACACTGTCGCCAAACATAGAACACAAACACATACACAGACCAGACATAATGGATAAAAACACAAAATTGCACAGGGGTAGAAAAGGTGGAGAGGAAGATACGGGAGATAAAAGTAGGGCGGAGGTTTAAAAAGAGGGTAAGAGAAGTGGGTGGGACAGGAACAACATAGAACTGGTAACAAAGGTAATAACCAAATAAACGGAGAAAGGAGGGCACAACAGCACCAAGGAGAAAAGGGAGGAAGCGGGGAAGAAGAGGGGACGGAGGAGGTGGGGATAAACGGAAACGGTACAAATTAGGCCATTACAATTAACCATACAATTTCAGAAACTGGTATGAGATTAAAAAAAAAAGCCAACCAGGTCAATTACAGAGAAAATAAAATTGTCAGCAAGATGATACATCATCTGCTATGACTAATACAGACATGACAACTTTACACATTGAGGTAGCGTCCTAGCTCTCACAAGAATACAGAAAAGGGAGCACTTATTAAGTTACTTAATCATCAGGGTAAGAACTCCAGATCCTAACAAACTGACAGGGAATAGAATATTTAAGTAGGCCAGTACGAGCTAAGATGGCAGTCGTAGCTTGATAAAACCGCTTTAGCCAAATTACCAAAATGCCTATAGATATCCAACCAACCATCACATAATAAAGCATCAACGGCAATTGGACCGATAATATTTACCACTAGCGTTAATCTTAAAACCTTCCCATATCGCTCCAATATGAACAAACACAAGGGAAACCTATCTTACTTTTCTTCGAAATATAACATTTAAAAAAAAAATCAGCGAAACTGTTTAGAATACAAATTTTAGATACAAGTTCTTCAAGAAATAGAATAAGTTTTACTGACCACGGACAGCTTCGCGAAAGGTTGATATTACACGAGAAACACCGAGGAATTTCTACTGTTGCTTCTCATTTAATTTAAAAAGAAGAGTGTAAACAGAGCAGATTTTCTTCATTTAGTACAGAGCACTCAATTAATCGACACAGAGGACTTGACGTGTCATTAAGTCGCTGGAATAATTTCCGTACCACTGCGTACCCGTCACTGGCTTTTTCGATATAATGATTTCTGTCACTTCAGTTTTTCCCTAGTTTGTTGACAATGTGCATTACCTTAATGGCTTTCTCTGTTGATTAATTAATCAAATAATTAGCCGATCCGAACTCAGTGACGCGGCCAAGCACGGAATGGTACCGACATAGCAGCCGCGCTTGGTACGAGATGGCACGTAATGGTGCTTTCATAACGCGTTAAAGACTCGTTATTACATCCGGTTTAAGCTGGAGAACGTTTAATTGAACGCGTGTTTGTGATATATCCATTTCTTTTACTAATTCCAGGTTCAGGAGGAGGCACAAATTGTTATCACAGCCAATTAATCTTCGGTTCTCCCTGTAATGATATAGACGCAATTTTTAAAACCAAAACCGACATTTAGGCCTATAGATAATGGTTTTGTAGACCTTCCTATGAATTCGGTATGGGCCTTATTGTATTTCTTTCTGGTAATGAAACCAAGGATTCTTCAATAGTGCCCCAGGCACTGTAGCCCGAAAGCCTGAAGAAACCTGCAGACAGGGGACAATGAGAAGAAATTACAGTTTTTAGAGGTGGGAGCTAGGAAAAGCCCAGAAGAATATTCTGGGGAAAACCCACGGAATCAGGTAGGGACTGAAAACCCAATCCACATATTGGCCCAGGCGGGATTCGAACCCGGGTCACAGAGGTGGAAGGCGAGGAAAGTACCGCTACGCCAACCTGACTCCCCAACCTGAATTCCACTGAAGCCTTCTTTAGTTCTTTGGTAGTCCGGTTGGCTTACAGCCAATTTTGAGTGAGTTGTTAACATTTGCTGGATGAAAACGCCAAATTACGTACACTTATATCCGTATAAACATTCTAAAGGGGGCGGTTTTGGTGACATAGATCAAGGTTAGACAAAGGTCAAAGTTCATACGGTTTACTAAACTTACTAAACATGTATTGTATATGGTTGTAGTGAATTTCCACTGAAGTCTGAAATTTAAGTTTTGTATTGCCGAACAGGATGTTCTGGGAATAAGAACTCTTACCGGTATAGGCCCCCTAATATTATTTTTTTTAAAAGGTCCATCAAAATAACTTCGCGTGGCCTAACCATATCTAACCATATCACAAAATTCTGAGTCTTGTTGATTCAGCACTTTTTTTTTTAAACATACGCGTTCTGTTCCGTTACTCTTGGAGAAAAACAAACAAACTTTGTTTGGTTTTGCTTGGCAAAATGCAAGCATAAGGCTCTTCCTTTGAATTATTTATTACATTTCATGGTATTAAATTGATGTACACTGCCTGCATTATGTCTACATATAATCCTCACAGGGCACATAAATGTACGATCGATTCCCATTGTTCCAGTCTTTGTTCTTTAAACCCCATGGTCATTTATAGGCCAAGCTGTCTGACATATAACCAGCTATACTCTTGGCCTTGGATAAATCGTATCAATGTGCATGGTATGTGTAAATATATTTTGATCAGGCAAGGTATGACGTAAAGTATTCACCGTGCCTCATGAACGTACTGTGAAAGTCTTCACTTCTGTCGGCTATCGAAACAAGGTAAACCGATGACAACGAAACAGCACAGACATGACAGACATGACAGACGATCTCGAACAGGCTGCTGGATATTTTGGGGATTGTTTTCTCCCTTCTTCTTTCACAACTTTGTTTCCAGTACTTTAATTGAAAACTGAACTTCAATTTACAGTTATTTCCTTTGACCCACCCACAATTTCGAAAAAAATTTTGTTTGTACGGGTGCATACCTGTGTTCCCCAATACCTATGTTCCCCAATACCGATGTTCCCCGAAATCCCTAAACTATAACCCTAACCCTAACCCTAACCCTAGCCCTAACCCTAACCCTAACCCTAATCCTAAGAATTTCGGGGAACATCGGTATTGGGGAGCATAGGTACTTGGTAGACCCCGTTTGTACGACTGTGCAAACAAATTTGTCAAAGAAATCCATGTCAGGTTCAGGCGTTACCGTTTGATAGATGAAACGCCCACTAAAGCTAGGAGAGGTGGCCACCCCTATCGAGAAAACGCCTCCCGTTTGTTCTCTCTTAAAACCCTATTGTGACAGAAACGGCGCCACATTCTCAAGAAATGCTGATACAAGGATGCTGTATTTGCTAAGGAGCAATTCGATATACAAAAAGTAATTGGGGACGGCCGTTAACACCCGACAACATCATAGAAAATCACGAGAAGAATCTAGACAGGCCTGTGAGGGTATCATGAGGTAACTAAAAACAGTCTGGCATGGGAAAGGTCAATATAAACGGTCCTTAAAAGATTTACACTCAACCAAAAAAGAAAGTCACCCTTAATACTTTTTTGTCTAACTCAAAAACTAATGGGCACATCATACTCAAATTATGACTGATCAGTACAGAAATTCCTTAGCAATCCAGCCATATTCTTTTTTTGGCCCAAAACAGTGATAATATGTACAAAAATATGCAATTTATGACAAATGGTGCCGAAAAAAGTTACGCTTTTGTATACGTGCGAAGTGAGTGTGAACCACACTTTACACGTGTACAAAAGTGCGATTGCTTTCAGTATCATTTGTCATAAATTGCATAATTTCATACACATTATCTCTGTTTTGGGCCAAATAAAGAGTATGACTGAATTGCTAAGGAATATCTGTTCTGAATAGTCGTTATTTGAGCGAGAGGTGCTCAGTAGTTTTTGAGTTAGAGAAAAAAGTATTGGAAGTGGGGACTTTTTTTTTTGGTTGAGTGTAGTATTGGTTTCGCAGAAAAAAATCAGCGATTTTTCGACACACGATTCTCGGAAGGCTATTTGTTTTCTAAATACTTTGTTTTCTATTGAAAAAAAAACTGAATTGAAGTTAAAGATGAATAAAAACCCTTCGGGCGTCGCATATATTTGATTCTTAATCGAGGTGAATGATCTCTATACGGCAACATCGTTCTAATACCCAAAATCTAGCAATCTTGGAAAGTCTACTACCTATAGAAAATCAGAAGGTATTAAAATGTAGTGGGTTTAATGGTCCTTTCAATTCACAGAGTGTGCCAGACCCTCGAAAGCAAAAAGGCTACCAAAAAAAATTATTTGTATATAGTCTGGCACTTCTAAAAAGATTGGCAAAAATGTCAATATACGAGACCAAAATCTGCTCAAACTCATGAAATTTGGGACCCGTATAAACTTTACTAAAACATTAACAGTCTGATTTACGTAACACAAACAAGAGATGTTTCGAATTCGTTGTTCGTTAAATATAGCGTTATTTTTGTTTATTTTTGTGATAACAAGTTTTGCTTTTCTTTGCAACCTCGCTGTAACTTTAAGCCTGAAAAAAAAACCGGGATAAACTCACCTCCGTTGTCGCGTTACTCCCACTTGAAGTTGAGGTCAGACCTCCGTTGTCAGCCATCGTTGTCATTCCATGCGTGGGTACATCTGTTGGCGGAGCAGGTGCAGCGGTGGGTGCCCCAGGCCCGGCGCCCATGCCTGCACCGGCTGCTGCAGGTGTTGTCGGCTGTTGGCCCGCTTGTTGCGCGGTCCCTCCGATTCCGGATGCGGGACTCTTCGAGGCATCTGCCTGGCCAGATGGAATTCCCTGCCATGTGTTACCTTGGAAGGAGGACTGGGGAGGCATGTAGTTCACGTCGAAGAGCTCCCTGAACCCATCGCTTGCCATCTCCAGCTTGGAGTGACGGACCGGGTTGATGTTGCAGACAGTCACTGCAGGGAAGTCCAGAGAGCGGTCGAAACGAACATCCAGGCTGACCGAGTAACCGAACTCCAGAAAGGTCGAGAAGAGAATGCATACCTGGATGATGAGAAGGGTGACACCGCCGAAAAAGAGTAGGGTCCAGGCTGCCTTGCCGATCTGACTCTTCGACCGATGGATGTTGGGCAGCCCGTGGGCTGAACTTGTCTCCAGAAGGGTGTTCAGCGCTCCATGAAAGGTTTCTCCCTTACTTCCCATTCTCAACTCAATTAGAAACCTCAAATATAACTCTTCAAGACGCGCGCGTTGTTTCTACGAAATCTATAAGAATGAGGGTGCGGCTAAAAGTGGCACTGCTCACGTTTGCACAGCTCAAATACTTGTCTGCTGACGGAAATCGATCGTTTGAATTCATTGCAGCAAAGGCGGTTTGCGCGTGCGCAAGTTTTGAGTGAAGAACATGTCCAAGCAATGCAGTTTGCTGCAATACGCCATCGGCATTCAATGTGTCGAGAGGATTATAATGTCTATTAGCAACCTTAATTGAGGAGTAAATACTGCGTACCAGGTTGATTCATGCACCGGGTAATGCACGATTGATTAGCCTACGTGCGTATGATCACGGAGTAGGCTCGTGTCTACCTTGGCCATTAGAAGAGAAGTCAGAAGCAATGTTCCTATTGGATATTTTCTTCATACGTCACCTCACGTTTCAAGGTCTTGCAGGGCGTAGGCCCCCTAAACTGTTTAGCCCTTCTGAGTGGTGTACTATTTCTAATAAGGAACCGTCAGCACGCGGGGACATTGGTTATTCTAGCAGGCCTGTGTCATATATCCACTCATCTTGATAAGATGCATGTGCGATATGCCCCATTAAAAAAGCATAAAGTTCCTTTCATTAAAGACTCAAAGGATCATCTGCTTTCAGCGCATTTATTTTTCATTTACAGCAACATAATAACTGCTTTATTAAGTAGCATGCGTGACAATTCAGCGAAGTTACAGCTATTAAAGTGCTACCGCAAAAAAAAAAAACAGAGGAAGCATAGCCTATGCACATTGTTGAGGTTCTTGTTACTAGATTCCATTGCTAGCGCTTCAATTATGGTTTTCTTCCGAACGAAACTGTGTCAGGTAGACTAATTGCACAGGGATTTGGTACCATCCCAAAGTTCACTGTGATCCATTTTTTTAAAAAAAATCGGGAGATTTCTGGTAATTACAATTGTTCCTGCGTGTTTCTAATAGGCAACTTATTTCCCGATACTTCTTGGACCTTCTTGGACTAGTCCAGTATCCCTTCTACATTACATGTATCAACACTTTCCCCATCCATTGTAAAAAAAAAAACGTATCAGTGTTCATTACAATAATATTCGACTAGAGCTATCTTCGGCGTGTAAAATGATCTCCCAGCGAAACTTCAACATTCATTGCCTCCCACTCTTGCCAATTTTAAGCGCCTCTACAAGAACCTGATAGTTTAGTATTATATTGTACATGTATGTCTTGTCTTTGTCTTTTTACTACCACTCACCGTGATTGACCTTGTCTCATTTTAATACTGCTCATTAATCTTCTTAATCTCCTCTTTGTAATGTTTTATTGCTTGTTTTCTATTTTTATACTATTGTATGTTTGTTATAACTGCTGGCATCTTTGAAAACAGCGCTCCACTGAAAGGTCTTCCCAGGATAAACAAGAAATAAATAAATAATAAATAATAATAAAGGGGTGTTAGGAAGTCGATTTGTAGGTCTATGTGCTTCAGGGCGCGAAAACCGACAGAGGGCGCTAAGAATTTTGCGCAGCTTATATGTGGCTTTGTTTATTGGTTAACAGTTCATAGACACAGAGGGTTGCAGACACGGGAACCCTAGAAGGGGAGGGGCGTGGCAGGTGTTGCGCCCCCAACGACACTATTGATGGCCAAATCGTCATTCTGTCCTTAAATCTGCCATTAATAAAAAGCATCACCTATAGCTTCAGATGTAGTGGTACTGGCGTCAGTGTGTCGCGCCGTCTAATATTTAATTCAATATGTACAAAATTTGTGTTGGCGCCGTACGTATTAAACAACGCCCTCTTATGACCCATAATGACCATGAAATATTGTAAAAGCAAAATCGGGGCCTCTGTGTATACAGGGCAAGGGGAAAATGAAACTAAAGTGTGCAGTCCTAGTCATGCGTCAATAACTCAATTTAATGTACATTTACATTTTGGTACAAGTAACTGAGTGTGCTAGGACACCAACCTAGGTTTTTTGCTAATATAGTATATCTAACATCTGTTTATAGCTCCCTTTCCTAGTATTCATTAACTTTGCACAAACATCTATCTGGTTCATTGATACAATTTCACTTTCCTCAAAAGGTTCTAATGGTAGAAAGACGCAAAGCCTTAATATTGCCATTCAATCTAAGCCCCTCTTGTCTGTGTTAATGTTCTCTCTCGGCTACCAATTTCACACTGTTGACAACGATAACAAGTACAAGCACATTGTGATTACGACTATTTTCTGGAAAATGATTTACCTTTTAGCAATTTTCCTAATGATCCAATCGGAGGTGCTTTTGGGAAAAATTAAAAATGTTATAGCTTGTAACGACGTCTCAGTACAAGCAAATATGTTGCGGTAATTCATCTATTTACTCACGACAAATATCAGGCCTACTTCTAAATAAAAATGCACAATGATTACCAACTGACTTCAACTAAAATTCAAACGTGAGGCTCTGAAACAATCAGACACTCTGGACGTTGACAATCTGACCAGTTCAGGCAGATAACATGTACATGTAATTGATTAGTTACATGGATAACCCATCATAGATCCAGCGCCACATTGCGTCCGATGTGGAATTAGTACCGAATTGCTAATCGGAACTACGGTAAAATTTTAATTTGTTTCACATCTGAATAAATACACTACACATCTGTATGTGGTGCAGCAGCGTAGCCAGGGTTCATATCCTGGGGGGGGGGGGGGGGGGGGGGGGGTGCATGGATGTTACAGTGGGGGGAAGGGGCGTCGAATTTTATCCGTGCTGAAAGTTAGGCAGGGTTTTTTTTTCTCCGGACACCCGGCCTCCGTAAAATAAAAAGTGGTGGGTGGGGATCTTTCCATGGGGGCACTGTTCAAAGCCGACATCATGGTCAATGCCAGACAATAGGTGGCGCTATTCGCTTTCCACAGACGTTAAAATAAACAGCCAATCGCGAATTTTCGTGAAAAAGAATTATAGAAAACGTAAACAAAATAGGCACTTTACGTTAAACCCGCTAATCATGGCAAGACATACTGTGCTTTTCTCCGATTGCCAAATTTCCGTAGGGGGCCGGGGGATGGCGGGAGGGGGGGGGGGTAATTTTGTTAGGGCCCCCTCGTAGCTACGCCGCTGATGTAGTGTTGTAATTTCGATGTCTCCCAATAAGCTCTTTCGGTATTCCAAACTGCGCATGTGCATATCAAGATTTGGCAATTTTCCTTTCGTAGTAAACAACTTGCCGTATGCGTGCAAAATCATACATGTACACCAGCAACATCAAAGAAATTGTCTAGTTCTGAGGAAAGCACAACATTTAAAATAGAAAGTGACAGGGAAGTGTATGTCTGTATGCCCCAACTTTTGTTCAAACGAAAGTTTCCATATATCCAGTGTCTTTTTTGTCTGAAAAATTGCAGAATGCAGATTCGGTCCCCAATGACTTGCGTGCATTTTCTGCCGTTGAATCTTGTACGCACCTGCGCAGTTGGAATACTGATTTGGCTTATATACACGTAAGAAGACTCGGGAGGGCGCTATGACCGAATATAAAAGGTACATTTTAACAATGATCGATCTGGTATATCTGGTAAGGTTAAGCCATGAGGTACTGGTTGTAAGTTACAAGAGTAAAATGGTCCATTCAGTTGTTGTTCTAATTAATCTGTGGGTTCCGTCACGCTACTGCAGGCGTTGGCGACACCTTCTCTTTGACGAAAAGTTTCCGGCCGAGATATTTGAAGATGTGAAAGATCAAGGCAACGACTTCAGCAAGCGTCAGGAAGGACACGCCGATGTACAGGCCTAGCAGCCCGCCCACATTGCCCAGGAGGTTGGGGAACTGTGAATGAAATGGCGGACCAAAGGTGTTATTTTCTCTGTTGATAAATTTAATTACTTTTATTTAGGGGGGAGGGAATGGGATTAGGTCAACGTTCACGATATAGTTATGGGGCTCATTATAAACTTAATGTTTATGGGCAATTTGAGAAAGAAACAGAAGGTATGCCATTGAGTTCCAGTCCATGTCCTTCAAATCGAATATTAACATTAAATACTTTGCTTCCTTTCTAAAAAGAAATAATGTCTGTGGCAAAAAAAAACGGAGAAAATAATTCTCGGAATTTCTCGCGGACGTCGGAGGATTAACTCGTTTGTGCAAAGACTTGGTAACTATAGGTTTTCCCAGCCAATTTCCTAAACTGTTCATTCACTTCTGAAAATCGGTCATTCATTTTTGTCTGATCTTGAGAATCGCTCTGAACACGCGTTTCATTTTCTCTATTCGATTCCATTTCAGTTCAATCAATTATAAAGTGATTGAGCAGCACATTTCGTTTATGCTCATTCAGATTCGTTTACAAGATTTCCTTTTCGCTTTTAGAGGGCGATTTCAAACATAGCATTGGTCATTCTATTTCACTTTTAGTTTAATGTATGTGATGCAATCTGCTATTTTGAATGAGAAAAACGTACTTTTGATTGCACATTCACGAAATTGTATGCCAGAACTCTGCGCGAAAATGTATGCTTGCGTAAATGAATGCACAGGTAACGTAATTGGCCGTCTGTTTCTCAAAACCGATTGCACCGACAATGAAAACGATTGAACTTTCGTTGAATTGAAATGGGATTAAAGACGTGCATTCAAATTCAGACGAAAAGGAATGACCGATTTTCAGAAGTGAATGAACATTTTAGGAAATTGCTCAAAACAGTCTCACAGTTTGGAGTTCTTAGCACCTGATATACGAGAATGCGTAGCCTTATGACATGATTTGAGAAAAATATGGACACCGATGGCAAGTGCATATATATGATAGGTTGTATTCGTACTTACTGTATACAGAGGCCTTTCCAATATAGACTGGTAGTTTAGTTCTTCGAAGTACACACGGACTCGAACAAGGTTTTTGCTGCGAAAAAAAGTCAACGGTAAAACTCACATAATGGAATATCATAATTAGAGGGGGTAATTACAACGAATCACGTGATATAGCAACAGTGTCTTTGGTCTGGAGAATTCAAAGTTAAAACGTGCCAAGCATTTTGAGCAATGTAACAGATGTTATTCAAATTTAACTCGCAAATGGTATAGGTTATTCGCAGATGGCTTATTAATTAAGATACTTTGATAATGGTATAGGTTATTCGCAGATGGCTTATTAAGATACTTTGATAATTTCAATAAAAGGTTTTTAATATGTATACGTTTTTCATTTCATATACTTATTTCAGCGCCACATGTTCTAGTTCTAATGATCACTGTAGGGCCTATTAGTTTGATTCTTACTCACTTCGTGCTCTCCTCGCTAGACGCCATTCGTGCGGCAAAGGCACTGTCCGGGTCTTCTTGTAAGCGTCTCTGGAGATGCTCCTGCGCAAGAAGACAACAAAAATCTCTCATTTCAATATAAAATAACGTGTATTTGATTTGTTACCTGATTGAACAAAACATAAAGTCAATCAGCCTTCGCTTTTGGGTGACAGTGGCTGGCGGACTCAAGCTTCAACACAAGAACATTTCAAAATAAATACTCGGAATACAGAATTCCATAAATGCAGCTTTCATCTTCGGATACTAATGTATAATATGAAGCTTAACTTGGAAAATGCATCTTCAACGGTTTATTCATAGCTTTCAGGTACGTTTTCTGACGCTATATGGCCCGTAAAAGCTTATTCTTTTTTTGTTCAATGGAAACCCTCCAAAATTAAAGGTCCTCCCACCATGCTTCCTCCTTAAATATTGAAACCGCGAAAATAGTTGTCTACCTATTCATATACTTACCTCGTAGCGTTCGGAGGGCCAGTGTGTCGATGACACTGCTTTGGTGTAGGTTGTCTCACTATGTCAATTAGAAGCACACAATAAAAAAGTGGATATTAAATGTATTTCAAACAACGATTTGGTCTCATTACTTGTATTTCAAACAACGATTAGGCCTCATTACTTGTATTTCAAACAACGATTTGGTCTCATTACTTGTATTTCAAACAACGATTTGGTCTCATTACTTGTATTTCAAACAACGATTTGGCCTCATTATTTGTATTTCAAACAACGATTAGGCCTCATTACTTGTATTTCAAACAACGATTTGGCCTCATTATTGTATTTCAAACAACGATTTGGTCTCATTACTTGTATTTCAAACAACGATTAGGCATCATTTCTTTTCCCGAAACCTGCTTTAACGTGTGTTTTTTTCATGGAATAGCGATATTGTATTTTACTGAAACAATGCCTTCATTGATTTCAAGAGCCTTGAGGAGTACACTGAATAATCTTTCTTTTAAATCAATAAAATTATAACCGTATGCAGTTCCATGTCCTCAGGGGCCAAGCACTTTTAAACCAAGATATTGGCAAATAAAACTTTATATCGTTGCGGTTTGTGGTAACACCATGTGGTAATAACTACTACTTAGAAGATATTTAGTTCTTAAAAGAACTTGTCCTGCTTATTATCAACTTTCACTAAGTAGTTTTAGTCTAAAAGAACTTGTCTTTGGTCTCAACGTTTCGACAAGCCTGCTCTAGTCATCGTCAGGAGACTGATACTAAGCAGGACAAGTTCTTTTCAAAACTAAATATCTTCCAAGCAGTACCGGTAGTTATTTCCACATGGTGTTACCGCAAACCGACACGATACCGATACTCTACCATGCAAAACCAAATATCTTATAAAACTTTATAGTTCATATACGGTCACTTGAGGATTTGAAGGTTACAGTTTCATTAATTTGTTTGGACTTATTTCATTAATTAGTTCGACCTTTGGCAAATTCGGCCTTACTTGCAAGCGATGGGACACTCGCAGTTGAGTTTCTTCTGCTCGCCTAGGTACTTGACCAACTGCTGGCATTTTTCTGTGGGCAAATACAAACAGAAACCCTATCCGCTAAACCAGGTTGATAAAAGCAAGCTATCGAGTTAAAATTAATCAATGAAAGAAAACGGGTTTAATAAACACAGTGACCACACAAGGATCGGAGCTGAGTTATATGCTTTACTTGAAAAGGTCAGCTTTAAATTAATTGAAGGAAAAAATTGATTTCAAACCCACGAGACCCATTTTTATTTCGTGTATTTCTCCCAGTGAACGATGCTTAAAATATTATGCAGAATGAAACCATGTTAGCCTTAATAATTTCACAAGATTAATTAAAATACTGTTTACTTCTCACAAGAAATTTTGGGGGGTTATTATGTTATCAGTGCGTATTTAAAAAAAAAATGCAAACAAAATATAACGAAATGCCAGACGTAGAATGTGTATCCAACGTAGATAATTTTGGTGTGGTTTGAAAGATACGCCTTCCCACTTTAAAATGAGACATAAAACGTCCGAATATGACAATTTTTGACAAGGAAATGAGTACTTTCCAAAGAGAGGTCAAATTGACCATGGGACCATGTTTTCAATTTTAGGCATTGTGACAAAGGTAGCCAAAGAGGCTCTTTGTGGATAATTGCCTGGCCTACAAAAAAAATGTCTTTAGCAAGTAAACACAATTCTAAACACTTTCTTGCTATCAGTTTGTAATCATGTTTACATGCTAAACATTTTTAGCATGAAGTGATAGCAAGAAAGTGTTTAGAATTGTGTTTACTCTCTAAACACATTTTGCTGTATTGGTAAAGCAAAATCCACATGGTCATTTGACCTCTCTTGGAAAATCACTCATTATTCTGTCCAAAATTATCAGATTCGGACGTTTGATGTCTCATTATAAAAGTGGAAATCGTATCTTTCAAACCATACCTATATTATGCGATGTTGGTTCAACATTCTACGTCTGGCATTCCGTTATATTTTGTTTGCATTTTTGTTTTGATACACACTGTATATAGATATTTTTTAGATTGCAAAATCCCGTGGGGTATCCGCAAATGATTAATAGGATTCTGTTTTCTGTTTTCAGAGCCACGATTCGACAAGCTGACAGAATTATTCTTGTCAATCAAGCCAACTGAAGCAATAATTACCCTTGATTGAATACGACGTTACACACGTTTAATCATTATACATGTACATGGTGCCCGAATGTGGCTGCATTCTCGCAAAATCTCACCGACTTTTGAGGTCACTCGCGCCATCTGTATACCAAAAGAAAGAGGGTACGAGTACCATGCACATAGTATTGAGACATTTAAAAACTCACGTTGAGTGGCTTTGATGTAGCTACACTTAGTCTTGTTCTCCAGCAGGATGTCAGACACGCAGTGGCATCGTTTGTACATCTCTTCCTGCACGCACTCTTTATAGCAAGCCTTCCGTGAGTAGGTGTTGGATGTAAATGGCCGGCAGTCTTCAGTATTGTGGGGTCGGCCCAGCCGCTCAACATACACCTGCAGATGGAGTTTTTAAGGGACATCTTTATCCTTTCTAATCACACTGGTCGGAAGGACCAGGAATCCAGGTTCTGTATCGCCTTACCCTATTCCGAGTCAAAAAGGACACTTTTCCGGGTCAAACAATGACCCTTTTCCCGGTCAAATAATGACCCTTTTCCCGGTCAAATAATGATCCTTTTTCGTGTAAAAAAAATAACCTTTTCCTTGTCAAAAAAAAAAAACACACTTTTGCGTATCAAAAATATCACTTTTCCGTGTCAAAACTGACATTTTTTCGCACAATATTTAAACGGAAATCTTGGGGGAAAAAATGTAATTTTGGTCCGAAAAAGTGTCATTGTTGACCCGGAAAATGTTTAGGCCAATTAGAATTCGAATCCCTGGTCAATTTGACAAGGGTTTTTTTGAGAGTGTGCATGTGACTTGAATTGTGAATAGACTTGTGACTTATGATCGGACTTGTGATAGGCTTGTCTTGGACTCGACTACATGACTGATAGATAAACTCCGTAACTTGTCACTTGACTCCATTGTCATTCCGTTAATTTAAAGTGAAGATTCCATGCCGATAAAAAAAACAATTTGTTTGTCACGGAAGTTGGACAGGGATTGTACCTGTCGGAGGCCGATATTGGTGGCCATGCCGGGCGAGGCGGTTATACCGTCATCTTCAGGGAATGGCGGGGTAGTGTGGGAGTGGATGGCCACCCTGACTCCCGCCTCGGGCGACAGGATGCCAACGTACTCCGGCATCTCAAGGAACAGCGTCAGATGAAGCCCTGGAGAAGAACAAACCACAAGAAAGTATCATATATGAGAGACAGGAAAATTCACGGTAGCCGCGTCCTAAAGGTTACAGGCTAAGGAAGGCAGGATTCTCAAAACGTTTAATATGAATAATCAAAACTATGCATTGGGCAACTACAGGGCAAAATATATTTGTTCGATAGCCGATGGATTTTGAAATTTCAGTTTACCCATTGTTTGCTATTCTGTTTATACGTTCTAAGTGGTGACCCGTGATTAGAGAGAATCTGTAGATTGTTCTACTTCAAAAATTGAGATGGAGGTCTTACAAAGAGTAGTATAGAAGCAAGTGGAACAAGAATAGACAGTGTATAGGCATAGGTTACATTCTCTGGGCTACGTGTTATTCCGGGTTTCATCTTTACTTCCTTTTACATCCCCGTCGTTTCGCTTTTGACAAAGATCCTTGGATGGAAGCGTCGGACCTTTAACTTTGTTTGATTTCCATCCCTAAATAGGAACAAATGTTTGTTTAACTGACCGTATTGTGCTCCGGCATTCTTGGTGACATCTACCGCCGTCAGGTTTTGCCCGTGGTTGAAGGTGAAACAGTTGCCGTACTCTTTGTTCTGAAACTGGTAGAAATCTCTGGTGAAGAGTGAAATGGGCAAATATTGTTATCATTTTTTCAATTGATTTTTGTTTTCATCATTCAGATTATGATTTAAAACAATTCTAAAATTAATTATTTGTGAATTCAATTTCTTTCTTGGACTCGCAAGTTTTAAAGAAACTGCCTTTCTGTTGGAGTCGGCCATATTTGATTGAGAGTGAGGTACAATCTTCATTTTTGGAACATGTGTAGAGAAATGAAAGCAATGACGTCACATATTAATACCAGTCTGCTCTGATGAATAATTTAAAAGTTGTGATTAAACATACTCTAATGTTTAAGCTACATTTAAAAAAACGAAAGTGAGGCTAGAGTGAATAAATAGTCTGGCATTCAACAGTTCACAATTTATAGAATACATTCATGTATTAAACACGACAAAAATGCCCAACTTGTGCATAATGCCCAGAGTCATGCGTGTGCCATTTCTGCTACCGTTTTGTGTGGTTTCAATCTGGTTTCTTACAATGGATTTCGGGAAGGAATAGCCTGTAACTTTTTTTTTTATCAAAACAAGCCTTCTCGGTTTCCGAAGTTGATGAGCGCTGGCATTTAAACGGACAGACCAAAGTAATTAAAGACAATATTCTTTTGTGAAATATATGGCGATCAAAATCATCGTAAATTTGTAAATAATGTGATACATGTGTTTTCAACAAACGATGCAGACTGGGATACTCAATGTAAACAAGAAAACGGTAACCGGGACCAAACTGAACACCTACCTGTAGCTGCAGAGCTTCTTGTCGAAGGTACACTGGAGGATCATATCCTTAGCCTGATGGCCAAGCGTCTTGAGCTCTTCCCGCGTGGGGTTGACGATGTCGATGAAATCACTGTAATCGGGAGACGTGGAGCGCTCATAGAACGATGCCCAGTCGTTCTCGTCCTCCAAGTCGCCCCAGTCGAAGTATTGTTCGTACTGGAAGTCGAAGTCGGCGCTGTTACTGCCGCCGTCGTTCCACTCCTGATTAACCCAGGAGCCGAACTCTCCGATGACCTCCATGATGTTGTTCCCCGCGGATGCGCTGGTGGTCTCGATGCCGGCGTCGCGGATTTGCCGAAGCGAGCGTTTCTTACGCCCCGAGAACCCTGTTGTTTCTGGCGGTTGATGACTTGTAGGGGCGGTGTTGCCAGGCAGCTGTTGTGGGGTACCGGATTCTGTACCTGTATCGATTGTTGTCGTTGTTGCTGGTGGCGACTCGCTGTTGATGGCCTGGCTGGATGTCGAAGTGCCGAACGGTGCGTCAGAACTTGGGCTGGGATTGGTAGATAGGCCTACAGCAGTGATTCCATTCTCAACGCCTGAAGACGCCATGGTAGGCGTTTGCGTTGTGCCAGAATTAGACGTAGTAGATGTAACTGGGGTTAGGATTATAGGGCTGTTGACATTGGCTCCATCTGTAGAAGCTGTAGACTGAGTGGCTTTTGCTGGTGTTGTTTCAAAGGCAATTGTTTCATCTGTTGTAGTTTCATCGCGTAAATCAGATGTCATTACAGGCATTGTAGTGACGTCATTTACTGCGAAAGTAGCTGTAGGTGCTGAAGAAACGGTTGTGACAGTGATACCTTCTCCAACGCTCGGTTGGTTGAAGTCGAGGGTTGGAGAATAATCAAGGCTTGTGTCTGATGCTGATCCATCAAAACCAGCACCTGTCCCTGCCTCTGTGATATCTTCACCTTCGCTTCCATTGTCGTTAGTCAGGATAACCTGTTCAGAGGACCCAGACTGTGTTGATGTCGAGACATTGGTGATCCCGTTTGAAGCAGATATGGTTGTCCGTCCAGTAGGTGACGAGGCAGGGAGATCCGTGATTGCGACCACCGATGACTCAGCCTCTGTCTCGGTGTCTGGCATGGTTAATGTGCCCACCCCAAGCTGGTCAGACGTCTCATCGCCAGATAGACCGCTGCCCTCAGTTGGCACCGAAACTCCGTTTGTACCAACGCTCGATGTTTGTGCGGTGTTACTGGTTCCCATATAGGCACCCATGTACTCGTTGTACCACACGGAGTCCCAGTCGAACCACCAGGAGTAGTCGTTGTTGCCCCCGTCATCGGTCAACCCGCCGTCCAGGCGAATCAACCCGTCGAAGCGCGTGCCTGCGATCTTGGACCTCCGGAAGCGGTTCATGTTGCAGATGGTCACCGAGGGGAAGGTCAGCTCCGGGTTGGTGACCAATTTGACCTTGGTGGTGGAGGGAAAGCCCAAGTACTCGACCAGCACCGAAGTGCCCTGCCAGCAGAAGATGACTAACATGGTCAGGAACACGGCCAGCCAGAAGATCTTGGTCACAGCGCGTTTGGAGCGGGCGATCATGGGCACGCCGTGCGCCGTGGTGTTCTCGCCGAACTCTCGCAGGATCTCGCCAAGATTGCGTTGTGGTTTGACCGGGGTTTTGCTGGCCTCTTCCCATGGTGGGGGCTTCTTGGGGATGGGAGGGGCACCCCATGCCCCGTGATATGTAACCTCGCTGTTATTTCTACAAAATAATGAAACAACCCAAATTAATTCGAAAATTGATTTCCCAGGACAAATTTTGGACCCCGGGCCTCATGATGCAAAGAAATCCCACACCGTTATTTTGACGGATTAGCTTACGTCTATAACTTAGAAAGCTATAAAGCATGTTACACCCTATCCACAACAATCGGTGAAACCCAGAGGTTATTTGTTAAAGTTCCTATATCTTTGGGTTACACAAAGAAAGCGACACATTTAACTTCAATAAATTCAGTTCGACAAAATTAACATATTTCTAAACCATTTTGAGAATATCTTAAATTCCATTTCTCAAAGGTGTTTAGTCGTCGAATAAGAGAATGCTTAAATACTAACATATCGTAACATCAACAACAAAAAACAAAGTGAAAGCTAATTGCGTGAACTGTGACGACGATAATCTCAACTTGCAAAGAGACCATATCATAATTTTAAATAACCTCATAACTCAAAAAGGGGTTTGAAAATCAACATTTTGAAAGTTCAGATGATTATTACCATTCGGTGCAGATCAAATTTATCAGTGACTAGCAAGTATGTCATTATTTCTTTCAAAATGTATGGGTTTGGAAATTTTCTGTTCGCTCTTTTTTGTTGGCTTTACAAAAATAAATCTTACCTCATTTCAAGTACTCCACCAAAATCATTTGGTTAAAACGTAAGCTATTGGTGGTTGTCCAAACGTCCGTAGGATATGATGCCCTTTCCCGGTGGTTTAAGAGTTTCGTTCGGCCGTCGCGCGCACTATGTTTTTAGAAACTGCACGCAGAGAAAAACTAACAATTGTATACCACCTGATATCTATCCGCTGGGCTACGTCACAGGAAACTCGCGTGCCGTCAACGCCTGGCGAAGTGAACGAACTATTTATCACCATGCCAACGGGGCAACAAACAAAAATTAATGGATGTGTCAATTTGCATAAGGCCATCGATGATTTTGACCTCTAATGAATAAAAACGAGACAAGGAAATGCATTTACTCACCAGTGAGAGGCCGTAGGATTATATACAATCAATTATTTTCTTTAACCGCAATCATTACTTGGTGGTGACCTCAGAGATGATGATGGTGCAAATGACAGGTTTTAGAACCCATCGAGGAACACAGACGAGTGTCTACAAAATTGATTGACTTACCTTGATATTAATGAAGTTAGAGATTAGATAACAGTTCCCCTCCTTAAAAGGTCAGTTCTTAATGGATTTCAAACAATATGATCCGAACGACAAAGGGAACCGAAACGGATACGTTTTAATAAACCCGTAAGCCTACAGTGCATACTGATTAATGGTGAAGCAAGATGCACCATCCATTGTGTGAATTCCATTTGAACATTAGTATTATTAGTAGAAACATTTATTTCAATGTTGCCATTTCCACACTATAAAATGTTACAATGCCGTGTAAACATATTATACACAGAGCAAAATCCAATGAATTATGTAATTGTGTATAATATTGTACATGGATCAATACTAGAACAATTTTACGACAACATTTAGGTATAAGGTGAAGCCTCACGCATTTGTACCCTTACCTATCGACAGACAAGTGGACATGACCGAGAAAAACAGAGACAGTGACAAAGAACAAAATGGACAACAGTGAGACACACAAAGACACAACCTAGAAAAACACAAACTGGTATGAAACGAGGGCATACATCTAGATTCATAAATTCTAACTAGTTATTCGAATAAACGTAGAAAAAACACAAACTGGTATGAGACGAGAGCATACATCTAGATTCATAAATTTTAACTTGTTGTTCGAATAAGAATTGAGTAGATGTGATCTAAGGTTTTTAACAAAGACAGAGAAGGAGGGTGATGATTTTAAGAAGTCATCTAGACTATTCCAGTATGATGTACCACGTTGAATAACGCTATTTTTTAGACAATGTTGTTCTGTTAAATTGGACATATAACTTTCTCCTACTAGTGCTTGTATTGTGATTTGAATAAAGGGCCATGACATTGCAGTTCTTTCATTGGAACTCTTGAAATGTGTTTTAAATGTACCTCCATTTTCTTTCTTCACATTTTGGTATTGCCATTTTTCCCCTAACATATTTAATTCATTTTTTCGTGTTTGTACTTATTTATAAATTTTCATGTCCATGAGTTTTGTCGTTGTAGGAAGGACGTTTTAATTTAGTGTTGTCGCTACTTTATTAGCATCATAAACATGCAGCAACATTTTCAGATTTGTATCTTGATAAATTCTCTTATTTTGTCAGACACGTTTCTTTGTTGATTTGGTCCTATATAGCCAGCTATTGAGCGAAATTATGCACAGACGTCTTCGTAGGGGGTCTACCCGATGTTCCCCAATACCTATATGTTCCCCAATACCGATGTTCCCCAACATCCGTAGGGTGAGGGTTACGGTTAGGGTTAGGGTTAGGGTTGGGGAAGATGGGTATTGGGGAACATATAGGTATGCATCCCCTAGTTTATAGGCATGAACGGGTATGGACAGTGTATGGGGGGGGGGGGAATGAAGTGCACTTAATAATAAAAATTTAATCTGAAAAAAAGTATGGTAATTTCCATAACGTTAGAGAATTGAAATTTGCCAAAAAATACTTTTAAGAGTAAAGTTCAAATAAAAACCAACATTTAAAAATGACAGACCCTACAGAAATCACTCGGTTGAGCTATTGATCAGTTTCCTTTAAAGGGAATGTACTTCATTGGCTTTTGCTGTAATTTTCAGAAATGAACTATTTGAGGGGTTAGTATAATAGATCAAATATTGTTTAACTGACATGATTGAAGTTTTGTGTTTTGAAAATGCTTGAAAAACCAAGAAAAACAAAAAATGTTTAAGTAGTCTGGTTCCCTGACTCCACTAAAGATAAAATGGATCAATTTATAGTTGTCGGAAAATTGTAAGGTAAGGGAACCAGTCTAGCTGGCCTGCACCCGTTCATGAACATGTAACCAATAGCAAACAAAATTTGGACTGGGAAAAAAAAAATTGGAGCAGTAGTTGAAAAATAGTTAGGTTTTTCCAACGGTGGTCGGCCGACTACCGTTGGAAATGTATACCAAAATACAATTTTCTTGAAAATGACTTCACACCAGGTGCCATTATTTTACAGGATGCTTAAGACTGTCATTTACCAACATCCTAGTAAGGTACGTATTTCGTAAAAACTTGGTAGTTGTATTTTTCGATGTTTGCAAATGTTGTATATTGTCTTTAAAGATAGCAATTTTAACGACACCGATGTGCTGCCAACATTCATCTAAGGCCGCCATTGAGATGAATTGTATGGCTAAAACTTCTCAAGAAAACCTCAATGATTATTGGGGGGGGGGCCTTGCCAAAATGAAGCAAATTCCTTATCAGTGATTTGAACGAGAGATAGACGAGCGACGTGTTGATCGTTTTATTCTGTATAGGCCTCTAGGACTACCTATATTTGTTTGACGAGCAACATGATTTTAGGACCAATTTCAACTGTACGAAGTCGAAGAGTGTCCCTTTAAATACTGAAGGAGTTTGCAGTTTTTAAAGTCCCTTCATTAGTAGATAGCTTTACATCGTAGTAACTGAATTGCTCTTATGTAGGCCTACCCTGACCTTCAGTGCTAAACCCATTAGTTTAATTATATAAATAATGGACGTAATAAACCTTCACATATAATAATTACCACGGGAATAGGTGCAAATACATTGCCTGAATACGTGCACATCCATGCACGTCATGGATACTTGTATACATGGAATAACCTTCATCCTTGACAATATTCTTGAAGAACCAAGTGGCGGATTTACGGGAGGGGTTGGTGGTTTAACCCCACCCACCCCAAGCTATCCCCCTCCTTGAGTCAAAGCTGGATCCGCCCGACGTGGAACCGGCCTTACAAATAACAGTATAGCTAAAACTACCAAAACAAAAAGTCGTGTGTAATAGCTGTATCCGATCTGTTGTGTACAAAGACTGAATAACTTCCAATATGCAAACTAATCACAAATTGATCTTATAATTAGAAATCAAAAATTGAATTTTTTTTCACATCTCAAATTAAAAGATCGGATTTTCTTAACATCGATTCTTAATTTGGTTTTCTATAAGCGTTTAATTTAGTGGGTGGACGTGATCAATGCATGAGCAAATCATTGCACAACTGCTGCAATGAACCAAAGCTGCAATTTAACACACAAAAAACATCGAGATTAAATGCATGCATCGCAATAAGTGTCCTCCGATGTTAGGAAATTAGTGCACGGGAAAAGGTGCGTTATTTTCCTGTTTCAGAGGAAGGCATATATGGAAAAAATGGTTTCAATTCATTTCACGAACCAACATTGACGGAAAAATTATTCTTCCGTCTTATTGTTGAATATTTAGTGGACGACGGGCTTGACTTCATTTCCGTTGCATGTCTGACCCCAAAAGAAGAGTATCTTGATCAGTTTCAGGAGGAAGAGGACCACCTCGGAGATAGTGATGACAGAGAAGCCGATGTAGAGACCAAACAGACCGCCGAGACTTCCCAGGAGCGCCTCCACCTGAAATGGTAGAGAGAATACCGAGAAATAAGTCCTTTGCCGAATGGAAACCTGGATAAAGGAACTTAGGAATATTTAGTAGTTACCATGAAATGGACATGCAGATATAATGAGAACTTCGGTTTTTTTAATGAAGATAAGTCCAATGGTACCAAATACATCTGATTTTTCCCGCTGAAATGGTATCGTTCGAGAAAAAAAACACTCATTGAAGCAGGCACACTTATTTACTTGTCTTAGCAGCAGAATTCAGTTACGAGATCCCCCTAAAAACTTTGTAAACGTTTTCTTTTTTCCCCAAAAAATGTATAGTAGCCACTGTGCTAAAACTTTCACAGGTTAGTTGTTCTGTACTCTATTTAAGATTTTGAGCAAAATAAAATTCTTCAGAGCCATGAATCATGAAAAAAACAGGTGAACAGTTTTTTTTTTTCATCGATCAGTAGGACTTGATTAAGCACAATTTAAGAAAGAAAATCCACGTCTGGGGATAAAATGTAAAATTCTGGGGACTCGAACCCGCAACCTGCAGCTTGGTGGTCACTGAGCTAGAGTAGCAGGCCACAGTGTTACCACGATGTTTCGCCGTGGAATCTAAAGTATATGAAGTTATTTCCAATCGCATGACATATGTATTCAGTCACGCCCACGGGGAGGGTATTACTAATACTAACTGCCGTGAGGTGCTGCCGCTTTCGTTTCTATTAAAAAGAATTTAGGAAAAAATTGCCACCAGGGGCAAGTTGCCCCCCCCCCCCCTCTAGATACTCCCACCCTCCAGATACCCCCACCCCTCTCTATCCCCCTCTGGATCCCCCCCCGGATTCGCGACTGACAAAATCCGAATGATTTTAGTTATGCAAAGCTTTATGGTTATTTGTAAGATGGAATTGTGCGTCTTGCTGACGTACATATTAATATCGGGTTTTTGCTATTCACCAACGAAATTTTATGAGCACTTCTTTTTTTCTCTCACACGCTCTCGGACAGAACTGAGTACACAGGGCTAATAATTATACACGATAATGGAGGGAAAAACCGACCACTGCATTAAAATGGACATCTCCCGGACGTAAAAGCCCATCGTACAGAGAAAAGTGATTGATAGCTGAACCCGATGCAATATCAGATTCTAACGACCAACTGACCACGGAAAGCTACAATCCAAAAATTCGCTGGGAAGATGTTGTCTCTCATTGGGCGGTCTGTGCTCAAGCGCGAGATGACAACATCGACCGGGGAGCGGGAAGCGGGAAGCGGGATATCAGGGAGGGTATGCTCATTGTATAGACGTGTCCCTACCATTTTGGCCGGGATTGTAGATGGTTGAGTGGTCAAGGCTTGCACCGCTTGTTGTTGTTGTTTTTTTGAGTCGCATTGAAACTGCATGTCTGAATAACTTTGATGGGAACATGACTTTAAAATGATGTATGTTTGTTCTGTGTATTCTTACTGTTTTTTGCTGGTTATGGTGGAAGGGGGCAGCTTAATATCGCAACTTACCGTGTACTTTGGTGACTGTGTGATTGACTGGTAGTTCAGCTCTTCGAAATAAACCCTAAGGCGGACAAGATTTTTCCTGGAAACGAATAAGGGGAAAAACTTTTTCAATCAAATTCCAGCGATTTCCGTAACACAAAGGCAACTTGTGTAATTAACAACAAATATTATACGACTGACGCCAACCGAACATTTCAGATACAAAAATATGAACACTTACATTACAATTGATTTTAGGATGACTAGCTATTTTTTATTATCTGAAAGGTTTAGTTACCTTGTCTGCTCAACACTTTGCATCAGTCTTGCAGCCTTCTCGTTCGTAGCTGAGATGCGAGAATACAAATGCTCCTAATAGAACAAATAAAACCGGAATACATTATGTGAGCCAAGCACTTTTTCAATTATTTTATCAACAGGGAAACCTGTTGATGGGACTTCGGGGACATAAAGATTTGTGTTTCTTATTACGTACGTACGTATAATGTTATCACCTGCGTACGAGATAATATTACGTACGTACGTGATAATATTACATACGTACGTGATAATATTACGTACATACGTGATATTACGTGCATACGTAATAATCATCACGTACGTACGTATTAGTATCGCATACGTACGTATTATTTTGCACGTTGGAATACCAACATAACGACTATAGGCATACTCAGCTTCAGCGACCGTAGTCTACGAATACCCAGATCGTTTTGGTGTCAAAATTGAAAAAGAAAAGCTAAAAAAAGTACCAGAGCTAAGCAACTCTACTTTGGACACTGTTATTTAGGTGAATGTTCCATTGAGTTTGTAGTGAGCACATTGCCTTGTACTTTTTGAAGTTAAAGATGATTCATGGAGTTTATTTGTCAATTATACCGTATACATATACATGCTTGGATTATAAAAAATTTGTTTCTCTTTTCCGTCTTTGGTTTATGGTATTGCATTATAGGAGCTAATATTATTAGGTGGTATTTTTTTTGCATTTTTGTCCTTCACAAAATATTGCACAAAATTGAAATGCAACCCAGGAGTATTTGTCATAATTTCCTTAACCCTTGTATGGCCTGTCACCTACATACAGCCTATTATTTTAATAAAGAGCGCCCTCTGTTGTTGAATAGCTCACTATCATGACCAGAACACCATAGCGGCAAAGACTAAACAGGATTGAAAATGTGTACCACATGCAGACTGTAAATGTTTGTTTCATCGACGCAGTTACTTCTAACTTAAGACCCTTTTGCGCATTGCGTCCCAACCCAAGGAGACGTCCCCACCCATGAAGGGTGAGGACAGCGACTGTGTGTGAGTATACTTCAACCTATAGACGTGGCCGGATGGCAACATCGTCACCACCGAGGGGCACAGCAGGGTACACTCAAGCAGGTCTTGGTGGACGAGAGTAGGCATCTGAACGGGACAACTTGGAAACTTACAGGCGGATCTTGTTGGGGTCGGTAAGTAATGCACCCCCCCCCCCCCCCCCCCCCCATTTAGCCACGACTAATGCATACATGTAATATGGGTCAAAACACGATCAATGGAATGGTGAAGTTCTTAAATTTATTCTCAAACCGCCTTACAAGGCAGGACTCGCATCACAGATTTCAACATTTATGGGTCATACCCCGGACCCCCTTGCACAACGTTCTTCGGCATGCTATCACTCAACGCCCCTTCATTAGCAAACCCTAGCTTCATGAAAGCTAGATCCTCCTGTATATCTTTGTTTTTGCTGAACCAAGGTTGAACAGTTGGCAAAGTTATGTCAGTAATCATTTGAGCTTAATCGTTTAAATTCTAACGTTAATTATAATTGATTGTGTATAATAAAGTGAACGTTTGTAATTCTAGTGACTACTTATCTAAGCCCTTAGTTGTCATGAAAATTGGGGTTAATAAAAATATTTAATCATCCGAAATTCTTCCATTTCTATTCTTCGTAAAATTTATCTTTAAGTGGTTTTTAATCTGATGATTATAAATATCAAATTCTCCTAGCATTCCTGCATATGATTTGTATGAATTAACGTCAGAGTGTCAACCTTTAGTGTGTACATTTATTTCCAGTTTTCTGTAAATGCTTAATGATTTCTGGTACATATTTTGGTGCGAAAATGTTTGTGAATGTTTAATGAGCTAAGTTGTGGTTTAGACTCTATAATTTATACAGGTGGAATCTTGTGAAAATTAATGGGCTAAAATTTAGTGTTCTTGTACAATGGCAAGTTAAGGCCCCCTTTGACTGTGTACAAAATTGTGTGAATATGTAATGAGCTTTGAAATCATGTAAGTTTGGTATCCACTTATAAAACGTTGGCGAAGAGATAGACACAATGTCCGTTTAGTGTTTGTGTGGCTTAATATAGTATGGAGACCTTCATATCCATGCTCGGATCAATAAGTGTAATAACTTAGTGCCAAGGTACATGATATTGGTTGTGTATTCAAGGACCACGGGTTTTAAAAAGTCAACCCAATACATTTATTAATAATTGCTTGTGGAAGTTCCACAAAGACTAAGGCGAGCCCTCAAATTAGAATCCCTCCCCGGACCGTTCGGGGTTGAGCCCGCCCAGTATGTTGAAGGGATTGGGACCTTGCATGGAACCGATCGGCCTTGATTAACTCCACCAGGCTTCTGCACCATGGCTCTGGCTCATCACAAAGGAACCAATTTGCGACGCGCTAATCCTCCAGTAGGCAACAATGACTGTGATGCACTTCATAGAAGTTGCCACTGGTAATCCAAGTGGGCTGAATAATCCTCCAACAATGGCCAGACTTCAATTTATGTTGCCTATTGTGAAACCCTGAGTCACCAGTTTGGACCGATTGGGGCGTCACGCTTCAGTGACCGGGTGGCTTCTGGCTTCGTACCGATTGGGGTGAAAGAAATTAGCATACCGGACCCGGTACCCGAACGGTCTGTTATCTGATGGCTCGCCTAAATGATCATTGTTTCTTGGTGTTATCGACAATCCAGTTATCAGGTGTTCTTGGTACCATGTAATTCTAAAATTGACAGAGTTTCACAATCAGTTACAAACAATCGACGGTTGGCCTGAATTTCCCCAGAACGGACTTGCACCCTTAGGTTTTGAGGTCGCTTTGCCTGGGGAAGAAAATACGGCAACATCCTAAAGATTCTGACAACAGAATAAATATCGGGCCGAAATAGCGTGCACAATTATTTCAGAAGGTGGGTCGGTTTTTCGTTTGTTTGATGTCTCATTCAAAAGCGAATAAATTCTGTATTGCTATTAAAAAGAACAATTAAAATCTATTCACAGACAGTACATCTTTAATGAAAAAAATCTGAGACATTGTCAGGAAGACGTCTACATATACTCTACTCAGACGAATTTCAAATTGACATTGAAACCGAAGTTCCCAGTGCTCTCTTTTGTTGAGACGATGAAACAAAACAAATTTAAGGTCCTAAATTCATACAGTGACTTCAAACTGAGAGCCTGTGTGTGTTTCAATGCTAATTATTTTGACCGTCTATTCACCGTGACAAAAGAAACAGGGAAACAGACGCTAAAGATTTGCTTGAAGATCCTGATCCGAATTTTATTTGGATGTCTCCCTTTTAAAAGAAATTGTAATTTAGAACTTAATACCAACTGAAAATTATCATTAATATGAGCAACACCGTTAGCACACATTTTGAGTTGTTGTAGTAAATGGCTAGATCATTTTTTTCTCTATTATGATTGAAAGAGGAAATAATTTAATAATTAATAAAAGGACTCATTTCATTTGGCTTGTTTTCATCGCTTAACAGAAAGCGGTATTATCACAGTTCAAGCCGTCAGATTTCTGAGGGAAAACGAAAAAAAAGTTGCCTGTTAAATTTATATCCATACAATTTTGTTCTTATTGTCTGGAAATGCATGCAAGTGTTCGGGATTATAATAACTTTACGCAAATTACTTCCAATTAAGGAATATGATGACGACAATAGCCGTGCCGACAAGCTAACATGCACCGTACTCGAAGGTCACTCCACGTGGAAGCTCTTCGTTTTGAATAGCCCTGCAGAAGGCGCAGAGATTCCCGTAAATGACTCCATTGCTAGCACACAATGGGAAGAATTCCAGCGTGCAGCCCTCGATGTGCTCTTTAAATCGTTGGGCACATTCAGACCAGCCATTCTATGAGGGGAGATAAAAACAAATTAACAGTTTAACGCCACCACGAACTGACACTCATGTGCCCGTGAGGTGAGCGCGCTGCACGCACGCATATATACTGATCCGGTATAGTTTTGATTTCACGGGCTGACATTCTCCACAGTGCGGCACTTTCTGAGCGCACCCCGTACATTTTCGGTTTCACGAACTAACACTGATCTTAAGTTTACCGTTTAAAACGCTTTTAAATTAAAAATTGTGTATAAACACACAAGTACACGGATGGATTAAATTCGTGTCAAACCTTTCAAATCCTTTGTCTCCGTTCTGTATAGACCGCTTGCAGACGCGATCGATAATTGACGCGCGAAGTTGCACGACGCCATGTTATGGGACAAAATGTGCATGGATAGATATACGCCTGTCCCACAACATGGCGTCGCGCGCCTTCGCGCGTCGATTATCGAACGCATCTGCAAGCGGTCTATTGCCGCATCATACTTGGGTGCCTGTCAGTTCGTGAAAACGAAAATCTTCTTATTTTGCGTCAGTGTCGTTGTGCGCGCACACTACCGGGGCGTCAGTTCGTGAAACCGAAATCGGTGATAACGTGGTTTTCACGAACTGACACCCACTTGCGCGTGAGTGTCAGTTCGTGGTGCCGATGACGACTGTTTTTACGCGTAACGGTAATCACAAATTTCTTCCTTAGTTTTCAATAGCCCCGAGGCCTAATGACGTCACACTTTGTTTACATGTGCGCTTTCCTATGTGGCAGACGGTCCCTACTTCGTCTGGCGTCCCCACTTCGCTCCCATAGCAAAGTGCATATGTAAACAAAGGCATTACGTCATTAGGTCTTAGGTCCTTTCATATTAAAAGTAGTTTTGTGGTGTGTTATGTGAAATAATTTCACACTAAACATATCGGCCAAATAAAAAATCACTTTTAACTGTTGTGTGAACAACTGGAAAATTTGTGTCACTTCAAAAATGGATTTATGTTTTAAAAGCCTATTTACCCTATGCTGAAAAAAAAATATTAGGCTGTAAAGCTGTTAAGAATGTTTTAAAACAATTCGAAATGTAGACATGCATGGTTCATAATTAAAATAAAAGTGCTAACTGCTGATTCAAAACCTGATATAAGGGAGCTACTTTACCGGAGGCGGAGGAGCTACATTTCAACTTATAAAATAATCGTTACTTTTGATGTCTTGCAAGATAATCTGGAAAATTGTTCCACATTAAATTGTTGAAGGCGTCGGATAGAGCGTGCAAGTTGACATGAACAAAACAAAAACCTGTGAGATTTTACGAGAATACAGCACATCTGGGCACCATGTATAGGATCTACCACGTGTGTAATGTTTTGCATTTACTTTGCATGTTTACACCATATTGAAAATATTGCGAACGTATGACTATTATAAAGTTAAAATTGTTGACCACAATTTCCATTCAATGAACGAATGGGTTAATTCAATAAAGGGAGTCTGTGACTAGACTTTTCAGTGTTTGGTACCAAGACGTTCACATAAAAAAAATGAACGAGGACTTGGGAGACTTGCAAGTTCTATTGCCATCGCCGTCAAACGTCTATAATGACTGTGCGAGGAGATTCGTTATATTTCTACATGTAAAATCACACTTACCAGTTGCCTTTCAGCACAGTCCCCATCTTTCACAGTCACTGAAAGCACGGCTAAAACAAGAGAGAAGAAATCATCACAAAATATAACAGCCGAAATGTGTACAATCTTATAATTCATTTTTGAACATGGGATTAGGCCTAATCATCCAACAAGTAAATTAAGTTTGTAAATTTCTGACTTGAACACCTTGGGAATTAGAGACATCCTCACTGATGACATAGGGAGCAACAGCTCTGTGCTTTTTTTTGGGGGGGGGGAGGTTGGTGGAAAATTCAAGAATTGTCGCTTAAACTTAATCAATCTCCTTTCACGGGCAGTATTGATTTCTGCTATAAAATGAATGTTTCCCTTCATCTAAAACTGAAGAAAATGTTTTGTTGTAATAGTTTTAAGATTTGTATCTTAACTCAATTGATGTCCAAAGACTTTCAACTATCGGGAAAAATAATCACAATTTTGAGTTAAAATGAATCTTAGTATACACCCACCTGCCAAGCAGAGAATCCAAGCAGCAGAATACATGGTGACTTCAATCAATCAGAAATACACCGAGAATTTGAAGCGAAATATTGATGATGAATACAGCCGGAACGAGGACTATTCTGTGTTGAGCGTTCGCGTGTGAGCGTGGGCGAGCGGTGGAGCTGGTCGAAGCCAGCAACAGCTTTTATCATTTTTTTGGTAGGAACTGTGGGCATAAATTTAGAGTCTCGTCAAACTGCCGTGAAAGATTAGAAGGACAAGCTTGTCAGACGGCGGAGACTCGAGATGTAGCATCTGTGGATATAGTAACGAAAACCTGGTGGATGAGACCTTCACGAGTACCGACCATATTTACATGCTCATCACGCGACAACTAAATTAAAAAACAAAAAAAAGAGACAGATGGGTGGTTGCTTACTGGATTTCATATAGCATAAATTGTGTTACTTTATGCCACAATACTAATTTTGATCTCGACAACAAGAAAATGGGTCATCTGTAATAACATTTTTTTTAAAGAAACCCGCATCGCTTTGGATGACCGCTTATTTTTCGACAAAAAATACAGATCTGGGATTCTAGTCAAGCCCGGGTTTGAATTCTCAAAAAGCCTACATATGGTTTGAGTTGATTTCGGCAGGTTTTCAGTTTAAAAAAAAAATAGACGTTTTTCTCAACTCTCAACATCAGGTAATTCCATAACCTGATGTTGAGAGTTGAGAAAAAACTGTCAATTTTAACACAGTCAGTGGCCGTGTCACGCACAGAGTCTCAGTTTCTCGTCCCGAAGTCACGCACGCATGGCCCAAAAGCCTACGCGAGATTTTACGAAATTTATTCGAGACTACAGAAAAAGTGCCTGGATACATGCACTGTTTGGCCAAGATGGCTAGGTTAATAGTGAAAAGTTGGAATCGTCTGCTTTATTTTGATATAAAATATAACTGCTTTTGACAAAAATAAAGTGTTGTTACGACGTGTCAAACAAAAATCATACTTTATAGCAACAAAAGTGAGGGCCGGAAGTTTTTAGGTGTACATTCGATTCTTAAAAAAAGGCCGAAAGAAATGGCAAGATTCATTAGATAGATGATAGTCCATGCTTCATTTTCATGTGAAACACGTTCAGGAGACTTTTATATTTTTGGTCCAAATCGCCGGTTGTAAAGTGAAGACTTTTGCGAGATTTCATGATTTGCAATCACAAGTTTACGCGTGTAAACGTATAGGACTGAAATTGTATATAGCACGCGCGAACGTGCAATGAATGACTTATGAATATTAAGCAGGCCATCTCGAGCTCGACCAATCAGTGGGCATATGGGTCACAAGGTCATACCGTGTCTGGGTTCCTTGCTCTGTGCTTTTACAATGGCGACGATCTTTTCGCGATGTGAAAAATGGAAGTTGCTGGAAACATTAGGTGTACATCGAATTCTTAAAATATTAAAGACATCACGTTCACGAGATTTTTTGTAGATGAAGGTTTATTCCTTCCTTTGATTACCTCAACATTCGGAAGACTTTCGTTGTTGTCGAATAAAAACGGAGATTTCGTCACGTATTTTTTAGTCGATTTGTCCGTGAAATAATATCGTCAAAATGCATCGAAATCCTTTTTCTTTCTTTTTTTAAATACCTTGGCAGATGTATGTAGTTGTTTGTGTGGATCGGTTGTGGTTTGGCGTGAAAATTGTAAATTTTCTGAAGCCCTTTTTACGGCCATCGTTCGCTGGCCTCGAGTTGTTGTCAGTTGTGTGGACGAGAAAATAAAGCAGCTACGCGTGACACGGCAACTGACTGAACACTATTTATTCAATTTCGTATTCATGCTTGGTGTGACTGCTTAAATTGGAGAAAAAAAGTTTAGAAAAGCCTTTCAAAGTAGGTAATGTGTTTAAGCACATTACCTACATTGGAAAGCTTTTCAAATGAGCTTTTTTCAATGAATAAAGACCGTTTTCGTCAGTATGATATTCTTCCTATCAATTTCCACCATTTCACTTCCAAGATTTGCTTGCTTGTGCGTGTTTCCTCCAGTGAAGGATTCTTAATGAACTGACCAATTGACCTCAATACTCAACGTATATTTATACATCCCAAAATATAGGTGATGCAAATATTCTAAGCACAGGTTGTAATAACACTTTCGAATCAAAAGGCGTCGCTTTCCCCAGTGTCCGCAAGGAACAAATTTCAACCAGCATTTAATCCTCGTACAAATTTAGAAAATAACATCAAGTTTAAAGAATGCATAGAAATGCATTGTGCATTTACCCACCAGATTCAGCCGAGGTCCAACAAAAAAAATCTTCGTCAAATTACAGACAACTTGTTACCTTTGTCTTCTCCTAAAAAAAACCAATAACAGACAGCGCGCTATTTATGGCATGACAGATGGTACGCTACTCGAAAGGTATTGTGTTAAGAAAATAAGCCGTATTTTGTAAACATGTGACATTGCCGGTTCATTAATTTCCATACATCTTTCAGAACGTGCATATGTTATACCGACACATTGATTTACTGCACATATTACGTTTCAAAGTATTTATTTCACCCTTGACGAATACGTCCATATTCGTTAAATTTGTTTCTTACTATTACGAAATTATCAAGAGTTTTGATGACCTCTGAATATTTAGCCCCCAATATTTTGTAAAGACTGCCCTTTTCCATTCAAATACCCTTTGTTAACCAGCGCTTACCTCCCCGATATATGTAATGAGTACCCTTCTTTTGTACAAGTGCCCTATTGTTCTGAACAAGTGTCCTGTTTTTAAAAAAAATCGTGCCCTTTTTTGTACCATCGGCCGTTATCCGGGTGTCATATATTGTGCGTTAAATAGTGTGCATAATTGACGGTTTTGAACAGCACCCCTATCGACAAATACAAACGTAAAGATTGTGTTCAAATTATGATAGATTTGTTTTTATTTCATTGTTATGGTAATATGGCGCACGGTGATCTCACTTCTAATAGCCAATGGGCTATCCATGGGCTCCTTTTTAGCCAATTCGCTCAACCTACGTTGTGTTGTATTCAGGTAGCTGCATTTGGGAGCGTTGTCTATAAGGATGTCTGTGACAGCATTTAATCCTCGTACAAATTTAGAAAATAACATCAAGTTTAAAGAATGCATAGAAATGCATTGTGCATTTTCCCACCAGATTCAGCCGAGGTCCAACAAAAAAAATTTCGTCAAATTACAGACAACTTGCCACCTTTGTCTTCTCCTAAAAACAATAACAGACAGCGCGCTATTTATGGCATGACAGATGGTACGCTACTCGAAGGTATTGTGTTAACAAAATGAGCCGTGTTTTGGTAAACAAGTGACACTGCCGATTCATCAATTTCCATACATCTTTCAGAACGTACATATGTTATACCGACACATTGATTTACTGCACATATTACGTTTCAAAGTATTTATTTCACCCTTGACGAATACGTCCATATTCGTCAAATTTGTGTCTTACTATTACGAAATTATCAAGAGTTTTGATGACCTCTGAAAGGGAACACTTCAAGTTTTACTGCCAGTGCTTGAATGGAATTGGCGGAAGAGGACTCACGAATATCAAGATATCAGAATGATGATTATCGAACGAACGAAGTCAGATCCGGGATTCTTGAACTCGTGTGTTATTAATGTGCAATTATACGAGCATCATGGCGTAAATTTATCGGTGTTGGCGAGTAGGGTGTGTGTGTGTGGGGGGGGGGGGGTGATGACCGTATATATAGCGCAAAAGCCCTCAAATCGTAGGACCGTGGAATTTCGAAAAGCGACGGGGGATACAACAGGTGACACAAAGGGCGCTGTTAAGAATAAAAATGTAATTACCGTTATGAGTTATATTTGAAAATTTAGAAATTTAAAAGATAATTCAACTTCGGCATTTTTGTTTCTAACCGTCCGCTGCAGTCCACAAGCGACAAACCGACACTTTAAACATAAAAGTTTAGCAAATGGGTTGGTCATATCAACATGCAACATGCATACTCTCTTGGGCAAATTCTTCTCAATAGTTGGTAATGTTTTACCGGAATTAACCAACGATGAGTTTACTTCACACCAACGTTTGGCAAATTACATTGCCGAACAGTCTTCTACCAAACTTTTTGTGTTACACCGGGTGGTAGGTTGCCACTACGGCGGCCTATACCGTCGGTAACGCTGTTGTGCCCGAACCGCTCAACCGCTCTTTACTGCTGGTAGGTCGACGACCGTTTACTGACTGGGAATATATTAATTGCGCTTACCTCATATCGCTCTGAGGGCCAACGGGACGACGACACGCCAAGTTTGAAGGTTGTTTCTCTATACAAAAAATACAATAAGTTAGAATTAATGGAATAAATAAGAAAACATGGATTTCTCACAGTAACGCGAAAAAAGCCTTATAATTGTTATAGTTTCAGTATGTATTTCAATCTTCAGAGTTACAATTAAAGGATATGTTGTATTTGTCTTAATTTTGGAAGGAGGCAAAGGAGGTCCTTCTTTTCTCCAAACATGTCCGGATGTTCTGCTTAGGGTACAAGCTCATCTTTAATACCATTTATCAATTCTCCACACAATCATGCTTACTGTCTCATTTACTACTAATCACATAAATACCAGCTTGTTAGTCCCACGCCTGACATGTATAGCAAATTTAGAACTTCAGGACTGATCAAAATATGGAACGTTGGATAAGACTTGAAGTTTTGCATGGTAAAGTTAGCCATATGATAAAGTTTACGGTTGCACCACTTAACATAATTATCTCCTTTTTGAGTTTGTGAGGTTCTGAAAAGAACCGGGAAAATTGAGTACATAAAAACCCACCGCAACCGGCCTTAATCTCAGTTCTTTCACTCCATTTAGATTAAGCCTACCTGCATGCCGTAAAACAGTTGCACTGCAGTAAGTCATCCTCGAATAAGGCTTCTATGGCTCGTCTGCATGTTTCTGAGCAGGATTAAAAAAAAAACACTTAGACCATCATTATTTAATCACACCAAAACAAAAAAAATCTAACTTGAAAGCTTACGGTCAATCATGAGAGAGTAAATAATTATAATGCAGTTTATGACGTCATCAGGCACCTAGTGATTTTTTATAATTATGTGTTACCAGTTCCCCCTCCCTCGGTGGCTTTTTTTTGGGGGGGGATCTCCTCTCTCCCTCCCCCTCCCCCTTATGTATTTGAAGCTCAGTAAGCTCACGTTATAACACGCACACAAAGTCAACTTGATCATTACGCCAATAAAAATGGTCTGATGTCGCGACTTGCTCACATTTGTTAGGCCTAAGCACCAGAGAGGATATTTTGGTCACTTGCAAACATTTTTTTGTTACCATTGCCGCACTAAATGGAAAGGTAATAAATTAGCCCGCTCCACTCATGTATGTCGGAGAATTCTGCCCAGGGGTGAGGATTTGTCCATTCAAAGTTATTGGCGATCCCCACGTCCTGGGTGGGGCAAGCAGAAGCATAAGCGTAGCCGGGGGGGGGGGGGGGTAAGGGGGTATTTAGCGGTTTTAGCCCCCAGTATTTTGTAAAGAATGGCCCTTTTCCATTGAAATACCCTTTGTTAACCAGCGCTTACCTCCCTGTAATCTGTAATGAGTACCCTTCTTTTGTACAAGTGCCCTTTTTCTGAACAATTGCCCTATTTAAAAAAAAAAAAAAAAAAAAAAAAAAAACCTTGCCCTTTTATGTACCATCGGCCGTTATCCGGGTGCCGTTTTTTTTATTTCGCGCCTGTATCGCCCTGAAAAGCACCATATATTTTGCGTTAAATAGTGTGCAGAATTGACGGTTTTGAGCAGCGCCCCCATCGACAAACACAAACTAAAGATTGTGTTTAAATTATGATAGATTTGTTTACAATTTCATTGTTGTGGGAGTGGTAATATGGCGCACGGTGACCTCACTTCTAATAGTCAATGGGCTATCCATTGGCTCCTTTTTAGCCAATTCGCTCAACCTACGTTGTGTTGTATTCAGGTAGCTGCATTTGGGAGCGTTGTCTATAAGGATGTCTGTGACGCAGCCACAGCGATTCAACATCTCCCTCTGCAGGCAATACTTGGTGCAGGCACTCAGCGAGTAGTCGTAGTCACCAGCCGTCACATTGATTCCCTGCCCGAGACCCTCGGTGCAGTTGCCGAACGGATAGGGACTCCGGCTGATGAAGTCCTGGGGAACAGACCATGGTAGATGATTACAATTACCATATAACTTTACTTGCAAGAACTTCCACTCCCGTAAACAATCTTTTGTTTTGACTATTAAAAAGATTCCAAAAGTGGACAGCTAAACCTTGACCTATGTTTAATAAGGGAGGGGTCGTTTGACCTCTCGATTCAACCTTGACTACAGCCCTCAATCTTACATTAAGAATTTGAAGTTAAAATACTTTCGGGTCCATGAGGGATATTTTCTCTTTAAAAAAAAAAGATCGCCGGTGTGCCTCTTCTGTCGCCCGGCGGACCGTCTTGGGCCCAATATCTAGGAACTTTTTTGAGAAGAAAATATTAAGCCTTAATCAAAATGTGTGACTAACAACAAAATCAGTTGAGAATCAGCCGCAAGCCATATAAAACACGTGGCATTTTGGCTGGTAACCGTTTTGGCTGAGTAAATATTTCTTTCGTTGAGCGTATATCGATGACCTATAACACTGCCTATACCTGCCTAATCCCGATAGACGTCGCCAGGCCAGCAGCGATCGTGATGCCGTTGTCCTCGGGTAGAGGCATGGTGCGCTGCCCGTGGACCGTCAGCCGTACACCGGACTCCGGGGAGAAGATACCCACGTACTCGGGCTGCTCGATGAACAACGTCAGATGCAAGCCTGTAGACCAGTTTCAAATGAGCACTGATAATTACAAATTGAGCAATCAAACCGAGACACTCTCTTTTGTGGCGAGATTTTAAGAAATGTCGTACAAAGACTAAGTACTGATGATTGGTCTTAGTTTGTGTTTCTAAATTGATTTTGATGATTGAGATATCTTTCAATTAAACTGTCTTCTCCGTACTAGCCCCAACGTACTAGCAAGTAAAACAGCGAGGCTTTAACTTTCCTGAAACCAAAGAACTTTAAAGAGTGTATGGTACTATAGCGATTCCCTGTACAATGTCACGCACCCAACTCCATTCGGCAGCTCGAGTTGGATGTTCGTCATAAAATGAAGTCACAGGAAATGACGTTCCATTGTGCCAAGTTGACATTATGAACAGGAAAATGGGCTGCAAAATAACCATATCGTGTTTGGCACTATCTACCTCAAACACAAAGAGCGATGTGTGTCAAAGAGATAAATTCTACAACTTAACGTTTTACGAAATGAACTGTATATTTGAATAATTTGTGTAAATATTCATGACTCTAACTGTACAAAATTAAAGAGAGAAACTATTCTGAACTTGACACCCGAGGGCGCTGTTGTTGTCACGTGATTTGATGTCTCATAACGGCACTCTACAGATTAAGAATTTTCCATAAACAAACTTTGACGTTGATGCGTTTCCTCGCGCTAGTATAGGTCCATGAACCAGGAAACAAAATTGCAAAAAAATGTAGTTATTTTCTTCAGGCCGAATAAATTGCAACCCTGAGACATCCCTAAAGGTGCATTTCAAGGAGTGCATTAAAGAAAATGCATTGCGAGAGCCCTTTACAAGGATGCCTATCCTACCGTATTTTGCTCCCGATTTGCTGGTCGTGTGCATCGTTTTATTTCCCCTGCCGTGGTTGAAGGTGAAACAATTCCCATAATCTTTGTTTTGAAACACACGGAAATCCCTGTAGAGGGGGAAATTATGAGAACATTATGGAACTAACACAAGACAGTTTTTCGACGGAAAAGATGGTTGATGAAATTAACCGTTAACTTGTTAACCCAAGTTGTTTTCTCAAAGTAGGTCATGGAAAGAATATACATGTACCTACAAAACTGAGGAGTTTTCATTGCTAATCAACATAATAGTGATGTTAGAAGATTCAAACTGTTTTTGACGTTGTCATTACCTAATTACCAAATATACCATTAAGCCATGTGTTGTAAGCAATTCATCATAGGTCCTTCACATATGGTCACTACCCAATCACAAGTCCATTCACAATACCGGTCACAAAGAAACACGGGACGATCATTAACAAAAGACTGCCTTAATCACAGATCACTGATTAGCTTATGACTTGACTGTACATCTTGGATGACTTGCAATGGACTTGTGAGGACTTATGATGGACTCAATATTTATTGCAAGGTTTAAGGCCACAAACCTGTAACTGCAGTTCCTTTTGTCGAACGTGCACTGCAGAATGAAATCCTGGGCCTGGTGTCCCAGATTCTCCAATTCCTCGCGTGTGGGATTCGCCACGTCCACCAGGTCACTGAAGTCATCCGCCGTGGACTTGGCGTAGAATCCCCTCCAGTCGTTCTCATCGTTCACCCCTCCCCAGTCGTAGTAGTCTTCATACTCGAAATCGTAGCTGTCCCACCAGAAGTTGTCACTGGAGCTGGAGGAGGAGGACAGCGAGCGACGCTGTCGCGGCTGGTGTGAGCTGGTTGACCGCTTCCTGCGAGTGGAACCGAGCGAGGAGCTTGGACTGTCTCCGGGGTTCAGCGAATCAGACGCCCCATCAGTGTTACTGGCTGGCCCCGATGCCTCAGTTTCGCTCATCGTAGAATCAGTTACCCGTTGAGAGCTACCAGAATCGGTAGAGTCAACTGGTGTTACTGGAAACATTTCTGTTGGGGTGACAGCCTGAGTGCTAAGATGGTTGGGTAAAGCTGTGGAAGAAGCTTCCCTGGCATCATCGGTGGGTGCTGTAGAGCTCCCGCTCGGGAGGCTGCCCTCAGTATCAATGATACTCGACTCTCCGGTAGTACCACCATTGGTTTCATTATTTCCACCAGCCACGGTTGCACCTGCTTGACTTGAGGTTCCACTGTCACCAGTGCTGTCGCCTTCGTCACCCGGTATCGATGCCGATCCTCCCCCACCTAAACCATCGATGCTGTCACCAATAGATCCAGGCGTAACATCAGCGGAGCTGCTGGATTGCCACTCATCAAACCATTGCAGCGAGGACCAGTCAAAGAACCATGAGTAGTCGTAATCTCCCCCCTGGACTCCCCCATCGATGGCGATCAGTCCCTCGAAGCGCGTGCCAACCAGTTCCGAGCGCCGCATGCGGTTCATATTACACACAGTCACGGCAGGGAAGTCCAAGTTGGTCTTGGTGACCAGCTCGATACTTGTCGTCAAGGGCCTGACTTGAAAGTACTCTATCAAAAGCTGGGTGGACTGTAACACAGCGAGGCCGAAAGCAATCAGCCATATGACAGACCAGGCAATCCGGCCCACCGTGTAGGTACCGTTGATAATGAGAGGCAGGCCGTGGGCCGTGGTAGAATCTGCGAAGCTGGTTACTGCTTCGCGTAGCGCGCCCTTCTTCTTTTCTCTTGACATTTCTCTGTCTTCTTCGGTACGATTGAAGTAGTCTAACGAACCAGTCACAACAACTCGCCGTGTCAGTCTATAAAAACATCAAAAATGAAAAACATGACACACAGGACACACCAGTATGGATTCATGCTCAGCCATTTTTTCGTTAAAACAGAGAGAGGAAAGAAAGGCGAAGAATCTATCGGACAAGTAGTATTGTATAAACATCTTTATCAAAAGAAAAGTTGATTAAAGTTTGATGGAATTTGTGTGCTTTGTCATTACAAAGAAATCGGAAAAATTCTTTAGGTTTCAAAGAAATTCAGAAGTTTTTTGGAATATTCAATTTCATTTCTTATTACTCCTTTCTCTTCTTCGAATATTTTGAGTCAAAGAATCAAATTTATTGATACCAACAATAAAGATTTGAACATCCTTTAAAGTGGCTAAGAAAATGCGATACTATCTGCTCATGCCATTGTTAAATTATCGCAATCAACGTGAATTTTGGGATGATACATACCGACCGCCTTCAACGACCGTTGTCCCGTACTCCATCTTGACTCATCTTCTCTCCTTCAGACAATTCACACATCGTATGCACAGTTCGAAATACTACTTTCGCAATGTTTGAACTGTTTTTGTATGTGTAGAGGCAAGGCTGAAAGACAAACTACTCGATTTTTGTTGACAAAAGTTAGGACATAGCCTACATGTAGCTTAGGAACGAATATTCTAACACATTTCTATGAGGTCGCAATATGCTAATCCTTTACGCAAAGACAGATCAGCCGCCAGAACCATAGCCGTTTGGTCAATAGTTTATTTGTTTTCTACTTCGTGGAACTGTAGGAAAAGGAAATCGAACGACCCGAATTTAGAGATGTGTTTGGACATTGAAAAATAAGTAGGTGCTTGGGTCACTAGTTTAAGGACTGAAAAGACGAGTCGTGCCTGAGTACAGTAGACCTACATAGATTCCAAGTTCTGAAACTCTCTTACTGGAAAGATCTATATAGGCATAAGAATCTTTTCAAGAGCAAGATGCTATTTTAAACCAAAAGCATTCCCTAATAACAAAGTCGCTTTTAAAAAATAAATTTATAATGCACAATGCATTGACTCGGTTTCGATATAGCCTTTGTAGGGATATGAATCAAAAAAGAGGCCGCACTAGTGAGATTGGGCCAACTTAAACAAGTCTTCGTTTTGCAAGACCCAGGAACCTCGATATGGCGATTGTATAGGTATTCCCTTCATTACCATAATCATTTTTGTACACAAATTACAGTGCTTTTTCATCGCAGGTTGGTCGAATTCGTTTTAGACACTTGTAAATGTACGCTTTGAAATCAGTCCGGTCAGATGCGTGTGTTCTTGAAAATTATACGTTCAAAATACATCTGCGGGAGATTGTGTAAAATCGAGTACCGTCACTTAAGTGGCGTATAAACCCGGGGGCCAATTGCAGGGGGGGGGGGGCACTAAAGCGGCCTTATTTTCTGAAGTGGGGATGGAGGTACTCCATGTATGGGCTTATAATAGAGAGCTCATTTGGGCCTTTTGGGTGAGAGCATAGGGGAGAACAGGCCTTGAAGGGGGGAAAGAATTCTGAAGCCTTGCACCTGTCAAAACAAGAATTTTCTGCAGTGTATGGCGTTACTAGGCCTATAGGGGGCGCTTGACCCTTGGTGCAACCCACCCTCTACAGTTGTGTTCTCGGACTGTAAGAACATCCTATTTTTTCGGACGTTTGGAAATTTGAAAAGCGGGGGTCAAGATTCGCGTGTGTAGTCTCATTAGGCTGCCAGATTTCTAACCATCAATGTATGGGTTCAAAACCCAAGATATATTGAAGACTGCCCGAATATACACACAATTGATTTAAACTTCAGGGTTTTTTTTTTTTTAACGCAACTAGCCATGTAAATATTATATTCTATTTCAGTGCTGTCTATTTCACATATGGTGACAACAAATTTTAGTTCATGGCAAAATATTTACAAAAAAAGTTTCTACCAGTCCGATACACGGAGGACTATTCACTATTTAATACATAGGCCTAATCAGAAAGATCCCAATGCTCAGACTATAGAACCAAAACTATTTTTGTCAAAATATCAATACAACCCTCCCGCTAAATTGAAAGAAATTTATATACAATGTCTAAAGGACATTTTAAAGCTTTCTACATTTTATATTAAATAAAATACAAGAATAAAAAATACCAAAATTAAGTCCTATATATGTATACATCACTATGTTTTCAAGACAATTCGAATATTGGTCAAAGATTCCAAAATTACGTATGGTAAGTTACATTTTGTTCTTTCTTACTCTGTAAGACTGCTTAAAACACGTTATATGTGTGAAATATACAAATGTGCACTTTAATATACAAAACACGTGACAATCTACGTCTTTGAGGAGTGGAATGTAACCCCCCAAAAAATGAAAAATTGCATTTATACTGCTAGATTTTACATGATAATATGAAAATAGAAACAAAATTCACCGTTGCAAATACCGTCAAAATATCGTTTTGGTTTGCGGTAATAACATGTGGTAATAACTACTGCTCTCTAGATATTTAGTTCTGAGAAAAACTTGTCCTGCTTTTATCAACTTTCGCTAAGTAATTTTAGTTCAGATAAAAACAGTCCTGCTTTAAGTTCTAAAAGAACTTGTCTTTGGTCTCAACGTTTCGACAAGCCTGCTCTAGTCATCGTCAGGAGACTGGTAGATACAAAACACGTACCAATCTACGTCTCTGAGGAGTGGAATTTAACCTCCAAAAAGTGGGGAAAAACATTGCATTTATACTGCATTTGTACAGTCAAGATAGTGAGCCCACAGAAGTGCAAGGCAGTTTCACATCCATCTCGTATGCTGCCATTACTTCCATTTTTTTTTCTTCAATAAATTTCGTAATTATTGAATATTATTTTATTACCGACAATCGTTCAATGCATCTGTTTCTACTGGGTGAGTAAAAAAAAAAAGCAGAACCCAAACCCAATAAAATATATTTCATATTTAAAAAAATATGTTGCACCAAAAATAATAATGACTAGAAAGCAAATTGCTCAATTCGTTCAAAGAACATCACCATTTAAACACAATGACCTTAAAACCTGTCTCGTCCAAAAAGCAATTCATTGGGAGTTTTGACTGGAACAACAAAGAAAATGACGCAGAATACTTGTTTCAACAACTGTCACCAACTGTAGTACACAATATCTTTATTAACAACCCTGGTTAGGCAAACAATATGATTAATAAAATCTACTTAAATTTTTTAAAGGACGGGACTTCAAAGGGATTCTGTTGAATATTTTTAAACCGAGATTGTATCGCTGGTGATGTTTGAAGACAATTGCGACGATTCTTGAAATCGCATTTTTTTGACGAGACAGGTTTTCGGGTTATTGTGTTTAAATGGGGATATTTTCAGAACGGATTGACCAATTTCAGTCATTTTTTCATCTAAAAGTACCTTATGAAATGGGCTTTCCAGTCATTTATTATTTTTGGTGCTACGTATTTTTTTTAAATATGAACTATAATTTTGGGGGTTTGGGTTCCGCTTTTTTGACTTGCCCTGCATTATCTAAAACTAGAAAGAGAGGGAACGGTTATCACTGACGCGCGTACGTGGACCGATTTGTGTTCCCTCCATTTTATTTTTTGGAAGGTTTCCATTTTTTCCAGGGTTTCAGCTTACTTTGTTTTCCACTTTTTCCAGGGTCATCCGTGGTCCCAGCCTGGACCTTGGCATCGCCGTCTGAAGAGATACCCGCGGTGCTTTCAGATACGGACCCAGTAGTGCTCTTAACCGAGGCGGTCTCTGACTTCGTGTTGGCGGTGATCTTCGTCTTAGGCACGGCGGAGCTGCCTTGGTCGAATGACAGTCCGGCCTTCCCAGCAGTGGACTGGATAGTGCTATCCAGCGGATATTCAGCACTTCCCAGATCGCGAGCTTGCCGGGAGAGCATGTTTGCGAGCAGGCCTGGGCCACCCTGAGGCTTCCCGGTTGCCCAGGGAGGCGACTTGTTGGTACTAGTTCCGGGTCTCGCAGTCTCAGCTTCAGGCTTGCTGGTGCTCTGGTCTAAGTGGATCTTAGAAGGGAGACCTGTGGTCTTGTAGACGAGCGAATAGGAGTGGGCCATTCGGGACGTCTGAGCAGGAGGATCGGCAGTGCTGTCTGCGACAGGACCAGAACCAGCACCGTCGGTACTGCGTATGGGAGGCTTCACAACGGTTCCGCTGGGTGGTGGCTGGATGGTACGGCGAGAAATGAACGCTTCCTTGGCCGATTCTTCTTCCCCACTCTGCCCCAATTTCTTGCTCTTTGTTTGTCCCTTTCTGCACTCTGAGTCGATGATGATCCCCTCGTTACTTTGTGGCTGAAAAATTGTAAAACAAAAATCTCAATAGGCCTAATGAAGTTGTTGAAAAACTTCAAATATTGTCGATTTTTTTCTCTCCTGCACCGGATGGTTCGGTCTAACTGGAAATTTATTATGAGATTGAGACTAATTATTGTAAACAGTTGGAATTATCAACCTGAGACATTCTCATTTCGTTTTACACAAAAGTTCCAAATCGCAACCTCAGTATAGCCTTCTCAATTATGAAAGCAGGCTCGACAGTAAGATCATTTACTATGGACAGTGGACGTACTGACTTATCATGTCTAGCAAATGAAAATGTACCCCTTTCTCTCCAAGAGGGATCCCCTACTCCATCCCCTAAAAAAACCCCAGCTGAATCACAACAAAGCATCTTTTAAACATTACATGCATAATTTCTTCACGTTACGGGTTTGACCACCATTATGGGAGAATCGCATTTCTTTTTTTCTTTTCTTTTTTGCCCTTGTCAAACCGTTACTTGTCAAAAGCCTCACTTTAGTTTTGATGTCCACTTTGTCTGGTTCGTCGGCTGAGATCTTGGCAGGGACCTGGACGTCATTGGTATTGTCATCAGCCGCCGCCGCCTCAGATAAAGGCTTAGAAACACTTTGAACTGAAACTACACGTGTGTTTGCTTTAGGACTTGCAGAGACGGTGGCTGAAAGCACGACAGTACTCGACTTTTCAGCAGAGGGCTTTGAGACATCCTGGTCGGGAGGTATCTGGGTGATCAGGGCAGAGGGCTTGGCGGTGCTGACCGGTGGAGGTCCACCAGGAGACTTGATGGTGCGGTGAGCAGGGACCGCGTCCTTCGACCGTTCTTCCTGCTTGGTCTTGCTGATCCTCTCCTTACTCGATGTCTATAATATTTACAAAATGAAACATCTCACCAATTAACCCTAAAATAGCCGGCCTGGAATTTCCACTTCTGTTCATTATTTTCCCTGAATGATCGCCACGCGAATTTCTTTTTCGGGCCGAGCCTTTATTAGTTTATAGACTGATTTTTTTGTGAATGTCTGAAAACTATTAGTTTACGTCTATATAGTCTAATTGAACTAAACCTCTGGTTATTTCAAATGGTATACTGAACTAACGATCGGCCATTGTATTTTTGAAATCAGAAGGGCCCCTGGCTGTGAGATTACCATTTTTGTTAAAGAAAAATGACATACTAAAAACGTCAGAGCAAAATACGATAAAGCGCCCAGTTAAGGCCCATGCAGACTTCTCAATAGCCTGCATCCCTTCAAAGGATCTGGTATTAACGCGGATAATTTCAATTTTGTCGGGAATCTTTTCAGGGAGTTTGTTGTCTTCACTACAGTTTCAAGCCACTTACTTTTGTCTTGGTTTCCAATTTGTAAGAATCGTCGGTGTGTTCAGAGATTTTGGTTGAGGCCTCCCGAGGAGCGGTCGACGCGGTGCTCTGAGCAGCGGGCCCCGCAGCAGCCTTCGACGGAGGTTGTCTCATCGACACGCTGGTGCGGTACGGGGCAATCTTGACTGGGGAAAAAGCAGGGGTCGTTGGCGAACGCACGGTGGTACTTGTAGCAGGGGTCGTCCTGGGAACCGCGGCAGGGATCTTCCTGGGGACTCCGGCAGGGGTGACTTTGGTGGTTTTAACAGGGGACTTGGGGCTGGCCCGCTGGGGCGCATCAGGCTTCGTGATGGCCTGAGTACGGGTAGGGGGCTTGATGGTGCTGTCAGCATCCTTGGCCTCAAACTCAGTGTTCTTGCTTGGCGAGAGAGGTGACCTCTCTGCGACCGGGCTGCAGTCACTGGATTCTACCAAAGAAAATAGAAGTACAAAATATAACTAGATGTGGTTGTAACTGAACAACCACAGAGCTGTTCCCAACTTGTTTTTGATTGTCTATTGGATAATAGAAAATAATGAAATGATTTTTGCAAAAATATCTAACTTTTAAAATTGAAATTATTATCTTACATAATTGCACTTCCGGTAAAAACCGGAAGTAAAGGTCACGAGACCTTGACATATACATTTTCATTTATAACCCTTCCCTGTCTATATATTTACCAAGTTTGAGATCAATCGGTCGAATAGTTTTATAGTTAAAGGACTATAAAGATTGCCTCATTAAATATTCATGACGTCATAACATGAAAACATTAAACTGCCCATTAATAATAATGCTACATATTTATCCTTTAATGTTGCTTAATACTAATATAAGGTGTCAACCCAATTAAATTTCTAATTCATTAGATATGATAATTAGGGTCTTAATTTAACACTTCCGGTAACACCGGAAGTAGAGGTCACATGACCCGGATATACCAATATTTATCTGTAACACTTCCCAGTCTGTATACCTGCCAGGTTTGAGATCAATCGGTCAAATGGTTCTATAGTTATAGGACTGTAAAGATTGCCTCATTAAATATTCATGACGTCATAACATGACAATAATTAAGTGCAGAGTATAAATAATAATGCAATATAATTATCTGTCAATATAGCTTTGTATCAATGTGAAGTTTCAACCCAATCAGATTAATAATTCATGAGATATGATATAAGGGTCTAAAATAACCACTTCCGGTAAAACCGGAAGTGAAGGTCACGTGACCTTGACATATCAATTTTCATTTATAACACTTCCCTGTCTGTATAACTACCAAATTTGAGATCAATTGGTCAAATAGTTCTATAGTTATAAGGCTGTAAAAATTGAATCTATAAATAGATGTCACGTGACCCCTGATGACGTCACCATGACGAAATGTTTCGGCATACATCTTCAGATGATGGTTAATGACTATGCTGAGTTTAAAGTTGATCAGATTTAAAATAGTTCCCAAAGTGGCTTGTAGAATAAAAACGTGTGATATATATTTGAAAATGCATGTGTCCAACTTCCCCTAAAGCAGAACAAAAATCACTGAGACAAGTCTACTGATAGGCGAATGGGGGCGCCATTCACTTTATACGGTGTGCCGTTATATTTTTTTGGTGACGCGCAGCTGTCCTTATTTTGATCCCATAAAACTTAAGGCTCTGTGCCTTAAGTACAACCGTTAAAGTTATGTACTGCCCTCTTTTGGCGAGAATGAAGGGACGTAATGTACATTGAACGACGTTTCAAAGCCACGTGTACGTGCTATACACATTGTGGAAGTCCTGCGCATGTTTTAAAGCTCTCTACCGCAACTTGGGCAAGGGTATTTTTTGCCGACGTCGCGTCAACTGTGTGAACAATTTGACAAGCTGGGAACTTGGCACTGTTGAGGCAAATGTTTATGCTATCATTTAATGGGCGATTCAAGATTATATCTGTACGGATTGATTTTTCAGGAATTTTCTAAGGAAAAAAGGTCTTTTCATTATAACTTCCGGTCTGATGACGTCATACGCCTAAAACTTTGCACACGTCTTAAGTGGGTCAAGGTCATCATATACACCAATATTAAGGGGATTCCGACAAACTTCGCCACAGACATCTATTCAAAATACATTTTTGAAAATTTTCAACCTGTCGCTGGAGGGCGCTCGAAGATTGCATGACGTCATCGGTAGATGATTTGAAGAATACTATCAGTCAAGAGACTAACACCGTTGAAAGCAAGTTCATATCTATTACCACTTTTAAATAATAAGCCACTTCCGGTTTTGGCCTTTTTCGACCGGAAGCAAAGGTCACGTGATTTCACGCACACTGAATAAAATAAAGACCTTAACCTATTATACCACTTGCCGGCAACAGAATGCTGCGGACGCGTACGGTTGATTTCTTATGCATTTTTAAATATTAAAATTGTCACAATTTAATTGCCTATAAATAAACAACGGATGACGTCATCATGACGTCATCATTACACAATGTTGTTTGAATTAGGGTCTTTGCTTGGACAAAGATTGGTGTAAATGAATAACTGGCAAAGAGTCGAAAATGCCCTCTGAAAATTGACATTTTTTTTTTAATTTCTGTGTACAAAGTCTATGGGAAAAATTAAATATTCAAAATTCTATAATAAATCACGTGATGACGTCAGCATGACGAAAAGTTTCGGCATACATCCTCAGATGATGGTTAATAACTATGCTGAGTTTAAAGTTGATCGGATTTGAAATAATTGCCAAAGTGGCTTGTAGAATAAAAACGTGTACAAAACCTATGGGAAAAGTGGAAAAAGAAAAAAAAAGAAAAACTAGAAATTGTGGTTGTGAACAACCACAGAGCTGTTCCCAATATTGATTATCTGTTGGACCCATAGACATATAAGTTGAGATCTATGTCTGTTTGCAACAGAAGATAGGGCTTTTCCGCATGATGATTTGTTTTTATCAATAATACGTCCCCGAGTATGCATGAACATAAAATCTGTCAAAGTTAGCCGGAAATCGGCTAAAACGGTCACTGTGGACAGGATTTGACCTCAGCAACACGTGCGCTGCGCGCGGGCTCACTGACTACGATATGTACAACGTACGTGCATGTACATGTACATTGTGGACTGTGCATGTTTTAAAGCAGAGGTAGTGTCAACCTGAAGTTTTAAGCGTGCGCAGGGCATGTCCGAGTTTGCTTATTGCTTCAAAGCTTTGATATGTTTTAGACCTACCCTTAAATAGACAATTAAAGTAAAAACTAATATAAAAACTGCCATGGTTGATTTTTCAGGAATTTTCTAAGGAAAAAGAGTCTTTTCCTTATAACTTCCGGTCTGATGACGTCATTCACCTTAAACTTCGCACACGTCTTAAGTGGGTCAGGGTCATCATATACACCAATATTTAGGCGATTCCGACAAACTTCGCCACAGACATCTATTCAAAATACATTTTTGACAATTTTCAACCTGTCGCTAGAGGGCGCTCGAAGATTGCATGACGTCATCGGTAGATGGTTTGAAGAATACTATCAGCAAAGAGACTAACACCGTTAAAAGCAAGTTCATATCTATTACCACTTTCAAATAATAAGCCACTTCCGGTTTTGGCCTTTTTCGACCGGAAGCAAGGGTCACTTGATTTCACGCACACTGAATGAAATAAAGACCTTAACCTGCTCTACCTCTTGCCGGCAACAGAATGCTGCGGACGCGTACGGTTGATTTCTTATGCATTTTTAAAAATTAAAAGTGTCACTATTAAATTGCTTATAAATAAACACCGGATGACGTCATCATGACGTCATCATTACACAATGTTGTTTGAATGAGGGTCTTTGCTTGGACAAAGATTAGTGTAAATGAATTACTTGCAAAGAGTTGAAAATGCCCTCTGAAAATCGGCATTTAAAAAAAAAAAAATTGTGTACAAAGTCTATGGGAAAAATTAAATATTCAAAATTCTATAATAAATCACGTGATGACGTCAGCATGACAAAAAGTTTCGGCATGCATCCTCAGATGATGCTTAATAACTATGCTGAGTTTTAAGTTGATCGGATTTAAAATAATTGCCGAAGTGGCTTGTAGAATAAAAACGTGTACAAAACCTATGGGAAAAGTGGAAAAAGAAAAAAAAAAAAAAAAAAAAAAAAAAAAAAAAAAGGAAAAAAAAAAACTTTAACGAAAACAATAGCTGTTCCCAATTGAAATTGGGAACAGCTAACTAGATGTGGTTGTAACTGAACAACCACAGAGCTGTTCCCAACTTGTTTTTGATTGTCTATTGGATAGTAGAAAATAATGTAATGATTTTTGCAAAAATCTCTAACTTGTAAAATTGAAATTATTATCTTACATAATTGCACTTCCGGTAAAAACCGGAAGTAAAGGTCACGAGACCTTGACATATACATTTTCATTTATAACCCTTCCCGGTCTATATATTTACCAAGTTTCAGATCAATCGGTCAAATAGTTTTATAGTTAAAGGACTATAAAGATTGCCTCATTAAATATTCATGACGTCATAACATAAAAACATTAAACTGCCCATTAATAATAATGCTACATATTTATCTTTTGATGTTGCTTAATACTAATATAAGGTGTCAACCCAATTAAATTTCTAATTCATTAGATATGATAATTAGGGTCTTAAATTAACACTTCCGGTAACACCGGAAGTAGAGGTCACATGACCCGGATATACCAATATTCATGTGTAACACTTCCCAGTCTGTATACCTGCCAGGTTTGAGATCAATCGGTCAAATGGTTGTATAGTTATAGGACTGTAAAGATTGCCTCATTAAATATTCATGACATCATAACATAACAATAATTAAGTGCACAGTATAAAAAATAATGCAATATAATTATTTGTCAATATAGCTTCGTATCAATGTGAAGTTTCAACCCAATCAGATTAATAATTCATGAGATATGATATAGGGGTCTAAAATAACCACTTCCGGTAAAACCGGAAGTGAAGGTCATGTGACCTTGACTTATCAATTTTCATTTATAACACTTCCCTGTCTGTATACCTACCAAATTTGAGATCAATTGGTCAAATAGTTCTATAGTTATAAGGCTGTAAAAATTGAATCTATAAATAGATGTCACGTGACCCCTGATGACGTCACGATGACGAAAAGTTTCGGCATACATCTTTAAAATAGTTCCCAAAGTGGCTTGTAGAATAAAAACGTGTGATATATATTTGAAAATGCATGTGTCCAACTTCCCCTAAAGCAGATCAAAAATGACTGAGACAAGTCTACTTATAGGCGAATGGGGGCGCCATTCACTTTTTACGGTGTGCCGTTATATTTTTTTGGTGACGCGCAGCTGTCCTTATTTTGATCCCATAAAACTTAAGGCTCTGTGCCTTAAGTACAACTATTAAAGTTATGTACTGCCCTCTTTTGGCGAGAATGAAGGGACGTAATGTACATTGAACGACGTTTCAAAGCCACGTGTACGTGCTATACACATTGTGGAAGTCCTGTGCACGTTTTAAAGCTCTCTACCGCAACTTGGGCAAGGGAATTTTTTGCCGACGTCGCGTCAACTGTGTGAACAATTTGACAAGCTGGGAACTTGGCACTGTTGAGGCAAATGTTTATGCTATCATTTAATGGGCGATTCAAGATTATATCTGTACGGATTGATTTTTCAGGAATTTTCTAAGGAAAAAGGGCATTTTCATTATAACTTCCGGTCTGATGACGTCATACGCCTAAAACTTTGCACACGTCTTAAGTGGGTCAAGGTCATCATATACACCAATATTTAGGCGATTCCGACAACCTTCGCCACAGACATCTATTCAAAATAAATTTTTGCTAATTTTCAACCTGTCGCTAGAGGGCGCTCGAAGATTGCATGACGTCATCGGTAGATGATTTAAAGAATACTATCAGCCAAGAGACTGACACCGTTGAAAGCAAGTTCATATTTATTACCACTTTCAAATAATAAGCTACTTCCGGTTTTGGCCTTTTTCGACCGGAAGCAAGGGTCACGTGATTGCACGCACACTGAATAAAATAAAGATCTCAACCTACTCCACCACTTTCCGGCAACAGAATGCTTCGGACGCGTACGGTTGATTTCTTATGCATTTTTAAATATTAAAAGTGTCACTATTCAATTGCCTATAAATAAACACCGGATGACGTCATCATGACGTCATCATTACACAAAGTTGTTTGAATCAGGGTCTTTGCTTGGACAAAGAGTGGTGTAAATGAATTACTGGCAAAGAGTCGAAAATGCCCTCTGAAAATCGACTTCTTTTTTTTAAATTTCTGTGTACAAAGTCTATGGGAAAAATTAAATATTCAAAATTATATAATAAATCACGTGATGACGTCAGCATGACGAAAAGTTTCGGCATACATCCTCAGATGATGCTTAATAACTATGCTGAGTTTAAAGTTGATCGGATTTAAAATAATTGCCAAAGTGCCTTGTAGAATAAAAACGTGTACAAAACCTATGGGAAAAGTGGAAAAAGAAAAAAAAAGAAAACTAGAAATGTGTTTGTGGACAAACACTGAGCTGTTTCGACCGTTTTATTAATGACGGCAGTAAAGGAGTTTCATCCAGGTCGAATGAACATGTACATGCGTATTCTATACAAATAGTGTCTATGCTACGTCCCTGACTAAGCATGAACATGAAATCTGTCAAAGTCAGCCGGAAATCGGCTAAAACGGTCACTGTGGACAGGATTTGACCTCAGCAACACGTGCGCTGCGCTCGGGCTGACTGACATACGATATGTACAACGTACGTGCTTGTACATGTACATTGCGGACTGTGCATGTTTTAAAGCAGAGTTATTGTCAACCTGAAGTTTTAAGCGTGCGCAGGGCATGTCCAAGTTTGCTTATTGCCTCGAAGCTTTGAAATATTTTAGACCTACCCTTAAATAGACAATTAAAGTAAGAACTAATATAAAAACTGCCATGGTTGATTTTTCAGGAATTTTCTAAGGAAAAAGGGTCTTTTTATTATAACTTCCGGTCTGATGACGTCATACACCTTAAACTTCGCACACGTCTTAAGTGGGTCAAGGTCATCATATACACCAATATTTAGGCGATTCCGACAAACTTCGCCACAGACATCTATTCAAAATACATTTTTGAAAATTTTCAACCTGTCGCTAGAGGGCGCTCGAAGATTGTATGACGTCATCGGTAGAAGATTTGAAGAAAACTATCAGCCAAGAGACTAACACCGTTAAAAGCAAGTTCATATCTATTACCACTTTTAAATAATAAGCCACTTCCGGTTTGGGCCTTTTTCGACCGGAAGCAAGGGTCACGTGATTTTACGCACACTGAATGAAATAAAGGCCTCAACCTACTCTACCACTTGCAGGCAACAGAATGCTGCGGACGCGTACGGTTGATTTCTTATGCATTTTTAAATATTAAAAGTGTCACAATTTAATTGCCTATAAATAAACACCAGATGACGTCATCATGACGTCATCATTACACAATGTTGTTTGAATTAGGGTCATTGCTTGGACAAAGATTGGTGTAAATGAATTACTGGCAAAGTGTCGAAAATGCCCTTTGAAAATTGACATTTAAAAAAAAATTCTGTGTACAAAGTCTATGGGAAAAATTAAATATTCAAAATTCCATAATAAATCACATGATGACGTCAGCATGACGAAAAGTTTCGGCACACATCTTCAGATGGTGGTCTAAGTGTGTGCCAGGTTTGAAGTCGATCGGATTTGAAAAAAAGCCAAAAGTGACTTGTAGAACGAAAACACGTGTTATCCTATGAGAAAAAAGTCTGAAAAATAAAAGAGAAAAAAAAAATAACAGAAACAAGAGCTGTTTCGGTGTGTACACCGAAACAGCTAAAAAAAAAAAAAAAAAAGGAAAAAAAAAAACTTTAACGAAAACAAGAGCTGTTCCCAATTGAAATTGGGAACAGCTAAAAAAACTTTAACGAAAACAAGAGCTGTTCCCAATTGAAATTGGGAACAGCTAAAAACAATAACTCCGTAACTCTACATGTATATGACTGTTCTGTAAATCATTCATATTAAGATGTGTGAATAGAGAAGTTACCCTTTATTTCTTTTCTTTTTTGGGGAGGGGTAGTCATAACATCCTCACTCACCTCTTTCTAAAAATGTGTCCCTTTGCGGGGCAGTCAAGATTGTCGAAAAAAAATATAGAAGAATATAGTTGAATTAATTGTCAACAGGTGTGCACTCATAAACATACCATTATCGAAGTGTACCTGGCTCTGATTGTTCGTTAAATGGGTCCATTTCTATCGGCGAGAACTTACTGTTTCGAGAGACGAATATTATCCCCCTGGTATACTCCAGCAGCCTCACCGCAAGCACTATGTCATTCAGGGGATTCAGAACATAGAGGGCGCAGGTCACCAGGCCCACTTTATCGGACCGTTTCGTAGCAACCACGCCCCCTCCGTCAACCATCTCGAGAGGTTCGATTGTGCCGGTAGTGGGCGCCTTGCCCTGCAAGGAACGCAGCCAGTTTTGAAGCCAGCGGAGAATTGTTGCCTTTCGTATAAAAAAATATAGGATTATAAATTTAAATGTAACCAAGACATCCACTTTGCTCTAATCCACGTTGTAAAATTATCTGAAATCATCGGACCGGAAAGTGTATTGAATTATACTATAGGTTTTCCCGGCTATTTTTTAAAAAAAATTCTTTCAAATTCATCAACTCCAATATTTAGTTTCGTCTGAGAAAAATTTCACATGCTTTTAACAAAACCAATTTAGTCATTTACCATTCAAATTCAAAGTTAGGTCATCCTCTTTAGTCACCGGGTCGAGAATATTCGTCATTACAGATCGAATTCGTCTAAGCTGTTGCTCAATGGCCTCATTCAGAGATCAAATTCGTCTTATATAAATCAATTAGACGAATTTGATTTCTGAATAACAGAGTTTGGCATAAATGAGACGAAATCGAATATTCCTGAGCGAAAACGTGTGCTCATTGTTTGAATATGCATAAACTGAATTTGAAATTGTCTGACAAAAGATGAAATTAAACATTGGAAAAGCACGAAATCGATGTTGACGGACGAATTTGAATGTAAGAAACGGTGAATTCGAAGGATAAACGTTTTAAAATAGCCCGGGAAACCTGTAAAAAAAAGAAAAAGACAGAAAATGATGCAGAGCTTCCGGCCGTCACAATTACTTTTTCAATTTGGTTTTAATGGTTTTCATACCATTTTTTTTAATATCTTTGTTATTGTTCAATCATTTTCACGTGACCGGTTCGCGTTACTCACAGGACAAAGATTTTTAAGAAAAAAAATGAAATTCTATAATAAATTGGATTTTCTAACCCTAATAAATGTTTATTGACACGATTCGGGTTTTTTTTTTTGGCGGGGGGGGGGTCATCACCCGTGCGGCGGCATATTAATACTTTTAAAGCGCGCTCATCATCGGAAAGTTTGTAACAAAAAATCAGTGCCATTCAATTTTAACAAGACGTTAAAAAGAAAATTCGATACTTACAGATATTTGAGCTGCTCTAATCAGATATCCTTCATTTCTTGGTGCAGCGATCTTAATAGTCGTCTTTTCTGACTGTTGGGAAAAAAAGACGAATATCGTCAGCTTTCCTAGAATACAGTGGGTTTGTTTTTCATTTAACGTCTTAATGATATTTAGATTCATTGGAACTACGCAGTCACCACGAAAGTGGGGCTTAACACAGGAACATGTCGTATTCCCTTCAGAATATTACTTAGACTCGTTACCCATTTAGGTTTTAATAAATCACGCGAATTGCTTAGCTGGGGGAACTGGGATTCAGCCGGATAGACAAGTTTCACACGCTGTATATCAAGGGCCCATGTCATGGGAATTTAAAAATGCAATCCTTTCGTTGTACATTTGTGTTCCATTTAACTTTTTTTTATCTATTTATTGCCATTTTCCGGACGTTTTGGTGCCTTTTTGGTATTTATGCTAGTGCAAATCTCCAAATTCATGAGTAGAATTGTGATGTCAATCGAGGCAGAAACATCAGTTTCACAGCTGCTTCAGTATAAAAAAGTCACCAGAATTTTAGGGATTTGCTGTGATACAGGTTGGTGCATTTATCTATGTTCCCTAATACCGATGTCCCCCAACCCTAACTCTAACCCTTATCCTAACCTCAATCATAAGGATCTCGGGGAACATCGGTATTGGGGAACATCGGGTAGACCCCGATACGGGTTGTCACACAAAAAAAATCCTAACAGTCGAAAACCAATTAATAAAGGTATATTGCATGTAAGTCTTAGAATATCTTTTTTTTTTAAATACCTCTTGATCTTAAAGTCAGATAACCAATCTACTTTATAAACTTTATTTCATTTAAATCGATGCATTGGAACAAACGCTATGCTACATCGAACTCAAAGAGCTGAAAAACGTCTTGGGCCACTTTCCTTGAAAGTGAGAAAGCGCAGTTAGAGAAACACACAAAGGATTTTTTCCTTTGTTCAAGAGTAACGTGTGAGTTATTCTACCCGCTTCGATATGTAAACTTGATAATAAATAAATAAATAAAAAAGTGGCCGAAGTGGTTTTTCAATTCCCATATTGTGATTACCGCATATCTGCTGATCAAAACGTAATAATGAAACCAACTAAAAGCATTTGGAAGACCATTTATTCTACTCAGCAATACATCAGACACCATTTTGAATACTACCCCCACCTTTCCGAAAACATCCCGATTTGACTCAGATCTTTTGTGGGACAAAATGTTTATTTTCCGTGCTTTCAGTTGTTCATTGTTGTTTCAGTATTAAGACAATCAGCAGCATTTGGGGTCTACGATTTGAAGAGAAAAACCCTAATCTGTGTTTCAATTATGAGTGACATCACAGGAACAGCGCCCTCATTTGTCAGGAAAAACACGAAACATTTTAAACATTTGAAAAAGTGCACTTTGCAAACATTTTAAAATTCATTTCATTCACCTTTAAACTCTCCAAAAGTGTGTTACAACTTTCAACTTTTACGTTTGGTGCCCGTCTACTGTGTACCGAGTAGATATATTGAACTGAGAAATAAGAAATTAGTGGATCAACTGAAAAGTAATTAAGAATATTTGCCCCATAGAAATGTTGAAAAAGAATAATTACAGATCATTCAAACAAAATTTAGGACTACAAGTTCTTCAATACGATCCGAAAACGGATAAAAACACTTGTGAATGCTAGAAGTATTTGTTAAAATTTGATTTTACTTTATGTAATATAAAATAATGCTGTTTTAATTAAAGGTCAAACAATGTTGAGGTCATTAGCGGAAGTGTTCATGCACTCTGTGTCCATTCCAACGTTGTTACCATCAATGTGATACATCTATGTGATTTCATTTACCTTATCTGATTTCACCGCCAACTTTCCCTGGCCCTCCTTTGTACCGCTCTTGGCCGGGTCGACCAGTGACGTTCCTACAGTCCCCCGGCCCACCACGGCTTCGATTCCATCGGCGGCAACCTGCGCCGTCTTCTCCAGCAAAAACACAGCCAGTTGTCCGGGCCGGGAGTGCAAGACAAGCCGAATTGGCCACGTCAAAAACTTAAATCGCAAGGAGATAAAAGGTACCGAGATGGATTATGAAATGCTTTAGAATTACAAACAATTATGATTACCGTCTTGAGAGCCCCCACCAAAAAAAAAGCCACGGTAAACCTTAATTTAGTTGTGCAATGGCGGTGCACAAGACAATCAAATCCGAGCACGCTAACAGGAAAGGTAGACGAATGATTGGCGAAACCATGCGCTAACAATTCAGATAACCCGACACGGGGCACTTGCTTTGGTTTCTCTATTGAGTGTACTACAGTGATCACGCGTCCGGATTCCGCTACACAAACTCAAACTGTCCCACGTTAGAGACGGTCATTTGCAATATTGATTTTACCTCATTAAAAGTAGTAAATGTATTATGTAATTATGTGTACTTCAAAAAATCCATTCAACGAACTCATTTCGGGGAAATATAACCATCGTAATCAGAATGGTTTAATACTGTGAGAACATGGGCGTCGCCAGGATTTTTTCTAGAGGGGGGCAAAACATATTTTTCCCAAAAAATTCTTGTATTTCTCTCGATTTATCAGTTTTAGGGGGGGGGCAGGGCCATATTGCCCCCCCCCCCCCAACTCATTAAATTTACACCACTATGACTTCGCACCTCTTTTTCTTTTCTTTTTTTTCTCTTTTTTTTCCCCCCTTTTTTTTTTTTTTTTCTTCCTTTTTTTCTTTTTTTTTTGCTTTTCCGGGGGAGGGGGGGGCAAGCGCCCCCTTGCCCCCCCCCGCAACGCCCATGTGTGAGAACAGACATGAACATCCAGGTAATGAAAAACGCAGTTGCATTCTTTCAGCTCTAGAGTTCATTCAAAGAAACTGCACTGTATAGGACCTGCAGTAGTACACCAACCATACGAAAAAGATACTTTAACTTTATTCTGCGTAACAAAACGATGGCCATGGACAACTAAATTTAGGCTTCACAATATTTCCATTTTTGGAACTACAAATTTCAACACAAAATTGGAGGGAGGGGTGCATTCAGCAAGCCCAGACAGTCCTAATACCCCCCCCCCCCTCCCCAGTTCGATCGACGAAATGACCTTTGATTACATAACCATTATAGTCCCACGTTGTTAGGACAATCACTGGAAGGTCATTGGCCATTGTGTGCAACAGACGGTCATCGACCATCTTCTTTAAATCCGCCAGAGACTAGCACGTACGCTAGTCTGGCGTGAAAGGCACATAACAGCTGTGCTATTCTGAGCCGCCTCTCCTTATCTGTTTCAATGGTTTGGGTGCATTGCGTTAAGCCTACGGGTCTAAAATACGCAAGTGATAACCAACAAAAACGTGCAGGTAGAAAAGCAGCTGCACAGTGACATACACACACATTTTGAAGGTATACAATTGGATTCCTAATTTTCCAACCATAGAATCGCATAGAGGTTTAACAACTGGTCCCAACTGGGTAGGCCTATGCACCGAAGGGCAGTTTCTAAATCTAGCTGGACTGTTGACTTAGGTTGATGCGTTAGTCACTGAGATAGTTGATCTGTTCACTGAAGATGGTTTGTCTGCTCGTTGACTTACTTACTTTACTTTCATCGCATGGCAATACAAAAATATACAAAGAATGGTTGTAATGGTTTCAATTCGTCACCGTTTTCACGAAGAGCCACATATCTCCAAAATTACAATTTTTTTCGATTTTGATTTTTTTCGATATTTCGCATTAAAACAATGTACTTAACCATTTTGACATGTTTCTGTAAGCAAAACATCATTAATTTCTAAGTTACATTAATGTTGCAAGGGGCAGAAATCTCGATAACTGCATTTTGCGTTTTCACGAAGAGCCACATACATTTTGGCCCTTTGAACGCGTACAAAACCCATTGCACGGAAATACGTAAAAGTAGGTCAAATGAGATTTGCGTTTTCACGAAGAGCCACATATCTTTGTTACATTTTCAGGCGTGCGCGCGTACTCACGCGCGCCTATGGAAATACACGTTGAACAGAAAGGGCCAATATGTCGGAAACGTGAATTTGCGTTTTTACAAAGAGCCACATATCTTTACTAATTAATTTCCACTAATTAACTGCTTTATTAAGTCTTATTACCGGGTTTATGTAAAACTTCAGCTCACGTAGAATCGTGTGATGGTTTTCTTGCTGCACAAAGTTGTTGCAAAGTAGTATTTCTTGCAGTTTTAAAATATGAGAAACTTCTTTTGTGATTATCTCGAAAACACTTTACTTCAAAATCAACATAATATATATAGTATGTGGCTGTTCGTGAAAACGGTGACGAATTTAGATATACTCTCACCGATAATAGTCCCATGGTCTGGTAGTTGATTCGACCTCCCTTGTTATAGGCAAAGACCAAATCGTCCTCCCTTGTTATAGGCAAAGACCAAATCGCAGAACTTGGACGCAACCAAAGTTGCCACGACCTCAGCTACTGCACTATGTGTGTGCAGTCTTCGTGAACAATGTCACCTGCAAACGCAAGACTGAGATGTGCGCGAGGACTTAATCTGTCATTCAAAATCGGCCTTCAATCTATATATGGAACGCCAATCATATCTATCAGCCTTGGGCCGCATACGATTTTTTTGTATATAGAGCTATTGTCGAGTTCTTCACCCATTACAGTTATCTGGGAACACACTGACAACAGTCGCAATCGTAGCTGTGGAAGCCGTTTCGGCCACGCCGCAGGTCAATATTTCTTTCTTTGGGACGTTCAGAGAGCCAGGGCAATTGAAGCAATATCACGCGCGAGTTCAACCAAGGCCAGTAATGCCTGAAAGTATAAGGTCACTCGGCGAGCTTCCAGACCCCTCGCGCGGCCCGCATAATGGGCATTTCACAGTGGGTTACCTCTTTTTCTTGCTACAATTTTGACAAAGTGAATGCTAACCGTACTCACCCCAAGAAACATTCAAGTTGGAATTTTACCTTGGTCTTCCTGAAGAAAAAAATGTGGAAAAGTCACTTGGAGGTGGTTAAAAACGAATTTTACTTACGACCTTTCACAACCAACATTTTCGTTCCAAGGTCTCGTTTTTCGTTCACGTTTGTTTTCGCATGGCATACTTGCGTGAAAACGAAACTGTACAACGACGTGAAGATTTACCTACCTACATCCGATGTGTTCCAGACTTATTCGGGCTGGCTTAAATGAAGTTTTTATCAGCGGTCATTTTATTTATTTATTTTTGTAAATGGTAATGAGTCCTTTAAGTTACAAAAAAAGGATATCCTAAAAGATTTTTTAGTCTCCTTTTTAAATTTAAGTTTTCATCCAATGACCGCCACAAAATTATTTCATAAATTGTTATCTTTGGATCGTACGAGTACACCACGTTCCACTAGTCCACATGTATTTTAGATTTTCGGAAGTAAGAGGTCAATTTTTCTCTTTCAATATTTCCTTTTCAAGGGTTAGGCGATTTTTCAGTTTCAATAAATTGAGATGCTAGCAACAATTTTACAAACAGCTTTTTCGAGGGAGATATTCATAAGAAATCAAGTTAATTGCTGATTTGTGATAACCATTATGTTTGTCTTCTTGGTATTGATCATTAAGCCCCTCGGTGTGCTGGAGTGTTCCACGCGGCTAAGCAAGTCCGGACGGGCGATCCGTTTCGTCCATTTTTCGTAACTGCGTTAAAACAAACACGCCCTACCCAATCTATGATCGGGTAAATCAGCTTGTAGTCGATAAAACATAGCTAGGTAGAGTGATAACCTATATGCTCTCTGCACTTCTCTATGATCAGCCTCATGTTGACGGTCTGTTCTCGGGTTCTAGTACCCTCGACGAAACCGCTTGCTCATCAGATATCTCCTGCTCATATCTCGGGTATGCTGCCCACCTACTTTAAACTTGTGTAACCTGTTTATTTGCTGTAGCCCATGCTGTTTCCCTATTGGTAATTGAAATTAATGAAAACTCACAACCACCTTGTATTAATCTAAAAAAAACAATAACCCAAAACAATAAGAGAAAAATTGTATTTTTCGTGTTTTGATGTACTCGGATTATAGGATAAGAAATGACACACTTCAAACTATTTTTTTTTAGTAGTTGCCCAACATAGTGGGAATTATCTGGGGAAAAATAGTCTGAGAGCGTGTTTTTTCCTTTTTCCCGGCACGTTTCCACATCTACCTGTAGGAACACAATAAAGTAAACGGCAGAGACAATCTGCCTTAAGCTCTTTTTATTTCAAAACCACGCGCACACAGTTCTATTTATTTATCAGACAAAGAAGCTTGCTATTAAATGGGCACTTAGTACCAGTAATTTTCACATCAAACATAAAACACAAACATGAATCTTTATCTTTGTGAAGTGAAATTTAACAGAAAAGATGAAAATATACATACTGCTCATTTTAATACGAGTACAAAAAAGTACAAAAGCAAACTTGCACGTCACAATACCGTCAAGATAGCCCATAGAAGTGCATAGTACTTTCACATTCGTTTGCTGCCATTAATATTGTTTCCAAAATGTGTGTGTATAGACGGTGGACTATTCAAGCCTGTTGTTTGGGTTTCAACCCAGCAATTTCAGCAGGTTTTGTGAAAATTACGTTTACATTTTAGGCTATTATTTTTCGCTCTCGCATTGCGAGTGTACTTTTTGAATGGAGCACACATGTACATGTAAATAATGACACATTATTTCTACTATCACATTTTGTGTTTTGTATACGACGTATAAATCAAGCCTTAATTTGAACAAGAATTATTTTTGTCTGTTTTCGCGAACGTTGTTCATTGTATGTGAAGGGTATTCATCAATGCACATCGTTAAATAGTCAGTGGTGGACAGCTGAATTTATTTCCAATAAAATAGAAATAACGTGTGAATAGAGTATGCAAACTACGTGAAATGTTATTCAATAGCATGTACTTTACTCCTGTTTTATTTTTTGTTTTATTAAATGGAGCAAACTAGATATATTTTTAATGTTTTTTCTAACTCGGTCCTTTCTTTTTGACTCGCCATGTAGACTTCAAAGTAAGTTTCTCGAAAGCTCAATACAGTGAGAAGTTTTGTAGATAAGCGAGATCGTGTATCGTTAACCGCACACAACTATGACTGTACGCCACCGTGTTTGGTTTTTGTTAAATGCCTCGCTTTGATTTCCAAGATTGCGTCGCATGAGTTTATCGCACGCAAGTGTGTAATTAAACCTGGTTGATTGCACGGACACGTTAAGCAGAGGGCAATAGTAGAGGGGAACTAAGTGTGCCTTTAGCTCCATTTATTTCAAAAATACACACTTCTGTTTATTTATCAGCCAACTTGTTTTAATTATTATTTAGACACTAGGTACACGTGATTTTGACATCATGTGAGTAGATTTACACTTGTTAAAAAAACACTAAATCTCACAACAAAACAACTGGACATCTCGTGTGAGCAATAAATTGTGAGACAGATGTTTGGCTGAACAAACAAACGTGATGCTGTAAGCTTGCCGTTTATTGGACTAGGACCGCGTGACGTGTATTGTTTATATCAAAAATGCACCGTTCGTGAGTTTGCGCATGCGTGAATGAAATGTCGACTTGGATTTTTAAAATAAGTTGGAAAAAATGGCATTCGGTGGTCCGTGTAAGGTACTACGTGTCAAAAAAAGAACATGTCCTACTTTTGATCCTTAATAACTCAGTTGTTTACAAACGGAATTAAACAAAAGTTCAGATCATGTAAACATTAACGCATGTCAAATGTTATAGCGAGTTTCATCAGCTTTGTGCAAGAGGGTGAGATTTAAACGCCATACGAAAAAAAAAATCGCTTTCAGAATCTGCCACTTTCGACTCGGCGTCCTCCAATGTCGATACAGTGCTGGAGACGGTGGCGGAAGGCGTGTGCTAATCAGGCGTCCCTTTGTAACTCCTGATGTGTTGTGCCAACCGATCGAGGTGTGCAATGACATCAGGGGTGATCCTGCATTCCTTCAGAAGCATTCTGCCGCAGCACGCACCTTCCGCCACCAGCACTGTATCGACATTGGAGGACGCCAAGTCAAAAGAGGCAGATTCTGAAAGCGAGTATTTTTTCGTATGCAGTTAAATCTTACCCTCTGATTTTGCACAAAGCTGATGAAACTTGCTCCATATAATTTGCCATGCCTTGTTTGTATGATCTAATTTTTTTGGTTTAATTCCATTGGTAAACGAGAATCAAAGTATGACGTGTTATTCTTTTGACACGTCGTACGTTGAATACTTCTTGCAAAGGTGATATGCATAAAATGTTTAATTTCGGATAATCTATTACGTGTGTAATATGTATATGTATTACGGGGCTCCAAATAAGAGAGACTAGAGATTGTTATAGTTGAAAAGCAAACAGAATTTTAATTAGATAGTCATCTTTGGATTTCATTTTATCCAATTGTCAGCAAGATAACATGACAAGGACATTGCTACAGCAGAACTAAATTTGAATGTGTAGGGCCCTAATGGTGCAATCGTGCAGAATACCTTTGTGTAATCATCTTTTATTGCAGTTAGTATTTTTTTCATAATTTTTTTCACTTTATATATTAATATTCAAAAATAGTTAACAATTTAACAATATCCATTCTGTAATGACTACACCAGATTAATAAGAAATAACAATGTCCTTTCTTTTCGTTAACAACTTGTGTTTCTTTTAACATCTTGAAGGGCAAAACCTACTTTGATTTATATCACCCCGACGCAAAAAATTCCATCTTATAATAACATCTTCACTATTTTGACAATGCTTCATTCTGTTATTAAATTATTTGATCGTGAAAACTAAGTGCTTTCTTTTCGGTGATATCAACTCCCATTAAACTCTGCACAACAGGTTTTTTTCACGGGGTTCTGTCTGATGCAGGTAGATTCTTGTTCTTTTTACCTGGATCGATTTTTGGGAGGTTTTTGACTTGCTCACCATTCAGATCTCTGCCTTTTGTTTTGATTTTCATTTTACCAGCGGCGCCTTGGGCAATTGCTGAATCAACCTCAGACACCGACTTGGTCTCAGGCTGGGATTTTGCGGTGATCGTGGCGGAGAGTATGGTGGTGGAGCGTATTGTGGTGGAGGGTGCGGCGGTGCTTCTAGCAACGGACTTGGGGATGTCTTGGTCCGGGGGATTGCCTTTGGTGCCGGGCCTTGCCGGGGCAGAACCATCACCATCCGCATTGCGAGTAGCAGGCTTCACCTTGGCAGCCCCGGTAGACGGCTTGATGGAACGGCGAGCAGGGAGTGCTACCTTGGCTCCCTCGTCCTCCCCACTCTGCCCCGATTCCTCGCTCTCTGTCTGCCCTTCCTTATACTCCTCCGAGTCGGTGCTGAGCTCCTCCTCACGCGGTGGCTGAAAAACAAGGGGCAAGAAGCACCTCGAGAATTGCGAATGACCAAGATCCTATATGAACTGTTCTGAACATTTTATGTAAACTGTGAAGAAAAAACGGCATCAAGAAACCAGTGTTGTAGTCGATATACTTGTTATGATTCATAACTCAACACAAGTCAATAAGAACGGCTAACCAGTCCCAAATCAAGTCACAAGCTTTCAAATGAAATGTGACAAACACATTCTTTTCTGGTGAATTGACTTGTGATTTCATTGTGTCCACTAATGATCTATCACGATGTAAAATACCAACCTGATAATCCACATCATCTTCTGAATTGTAGCTCTTATTCAGCTGCTCCAGAGTTCCAAGATCCTCCTCCTGGTCGTCTCCCTGATCGTTATCGTCCTCCTCACTCTCCTCGCCCTCCTTCCGCTTGCTGGGGGAGAAGGCCGACCCCTCCTTGACCGAACTGTGGTCTAAGGAATTTGAAATGAAAGTTTAACAAACATTTCATACTCTTATTAGTTTTTAGCCAGTCAGCCGAGATAAAAAATGTTTTTCCATTTTAGACTTTTGGTTAAAATGTGGATTTAAACGCAACAAAATAATGCGTCACCCAAAATAAATAGTGTCTTCATACTGTGCCTGTTACATCTTTCAAAGGAGGCTGGAGGGCAAATTCGCGTAACATTACGTCAGCGATTTTATCCTGCATGACCTTTGACCCGGACTAATTCATCGAGATCCCGAACTTGCTTATTATTGCAGAGGTCAAAAGCATGAAATGGTGAATTTCTGATAATGTATTAGGTATGTAATATGTGTGATGTATTACGGGACTCCAAATAAGAGACAGTATAGATGTTATGGTGAAAAGCAAAATGAATATTTTATTAGATGATGCAGGTTCAATCTTTTTCTTTTTAGCTGGGTCGATTTTGGAAGGTTTTGGGCCTGCTCACCATTCAGATCTCCGCCTTTTGTTTTGCTTTTCATTTTACCAGCGGTGCCTTGGGCAATTGCTGAATCAACCTCAGTGGTGGAGGGTACGGTGGTGGAGGGTACGGTGGTGGAGGGTACGGTGGTGGAGGGTACGGCGGTGCTTTCAGCAACAGATTTGGGGATGTCTCGGTCCGGGGGCTTGCCTTTGCTGTTCGGGGCGGAACCATCACCATCCGCACTGCTAGTAGCAGGCTTCACCTTGGCAGCCCCGGTAGACGGCTTGATGGAACGGCGAGCAGGAAGTGGTACCTTGGCTCCCTCGTCCTCCCCACTTTGCCCCGATTCCTCGCTCTCGGTCTGCCCTTCCTTATACTCCTCCGAGTCGGTGTTGAGCTCCTCCTCACGCGGTGGCTGAAAGGCAGCGGAGAAAAGAAGCACCTCGAGAATTGAGAATTGTTCTGAGTTCAAAACTTGGGTCTGAATAAAATTATCGTCAGAGTGATTCAACATCGTAAAACATTCTTACATCTTGGCATTTAGGAATGCGTCATTTTACACAAAGCTCTGCATTTGACTGCACTGTAAACGGCAAGGAAGAGACATCAAGAAAACCAGTGTTGAAGTTGACATACTTGTTATGATTCATAACCCATCACATAGTCAATCTCAGCGGTCATCCAGTCCCAAGTCAAGTCACAAGCTATTCAAAGACAGACGCATTCCTTTTATTATTCATCCCTTGTGACTGGACCTGTTATTAAACTCGTGAATGAGTTTGTAACTAGTCTTGCGATGTACTTGTGATATATCACGAGTAGGTCTATATGGACTATAACACTGTAGTGTACCAACCTGATAATCCACATCATCTTCTGAATTGTAGCTCTTATTCAGCTGCTCCAGGGTTCCAAGATCCTCCTCCTGTTCGTCTTCCTCATCGTAATCTTCCTCCTCACTCTCCTCACACTCCTTCCGCTTGTTGGGTGAGAAGGCCGACCTCTCCTTGACCGGACTGCAGTCTATGGTCTCTACAATGAAAATTTCAGACACAAATTTCATACCATTTTTGTAAACAGTCAGCCGAGATGAAACATTACATTTTAGCCTTTTTTGAGATACGGCGGACACAATATGAGAGCTTTATTTGGCACCCAAACCACACAGTGTCTTCATATTGTGTCCGCCACATCTTTAAAATCAGAATTGAGGGTAATGGATAATGCTCATTTTGTTTGATTGGGGTGAGCAGTCAACGAGGGCGAATGACCTTATAATTTCGCTGGCGACCCGAATATTAGTCTTTAAAATGACAAATCTGGAACCACATGTGTGGCCTCGGGCACTGAATTTCTAAAAAGATTTTTGTCGTCATGGCTTCATTAGCATTTTAATGATGTTAAATTCCGTTTGTAATTGTGCCGTTCCGAAGGCACTACCTCAGTTATTACAGGTGTCTCGCTCTTCAAAACTTTGAATAACTTCAGTAGGCCTATTTGCATAATTAATCAATATGACCTCGGTGTACCACAAAAAAAGGTCCTTGATAAAGACAAGATGGCTCATCAGTGAGAACCCCCGCCTGGCAACCAATTTGAATTCCGTCCATACATTAAAACTCACTGTCTCCAGATACACGCAGTGTCCCCTTGGCATACTCCAACAGGCTCACTTTAACCCCTACGAAATCAAGAGTGTCCGTCAGGGCGTAGAGGGCGCACCGAAACACCCTAGTGACGAAGCCAAGCTCGTCCAGCCGTTTCCTAGCAACCAGACGTCGCCGGCCCTCTATCGCGGGGCCGGGGGACGATATGGAGACGGTAGGTGGCTCCTCGGCTTGCAAGGAACGCAACCAATTTTGAAGATGTCGGAGATGTTTTGCCTTAAATGTGAAAGAAAAAATCAGGATAAATTCTAGGCATTGATAAAACATCAAAGCAAGATACAACGATCATTACATTTATGTGAGAAACAGAAAAATGTCGAAAACACTGAGTCAAACAACCCGGACTTATCTGGGATGGAAAATTGGACTACTAAAAAAATAATACTACATTATTACCAGTGTCAATGCGTCATAGTTTTCGGATTTGATGAACAAATATCATAATTGCGGCAAATAACCGACCTATTGATAATTTTCAGGGGGAACAAATTGATAAAGTAAGCGTGATGCTTTTATAATGCCAATAGCAGAATAATGAAACCAAACAATTCAATATCAGCACTAAGGCATCGCAACTAATTTAAAACTTAAGAATGTTTTTTTTAAGCTGGAATCTAATACAATAAAATTATACTCACTGGAATTCGAGTTAATCGAACCAGAAATCCTTCATTCTTCTGTGTAGCATTTGGATTAGTCACTTTCCCAGGCTTTAAGCAAGAAAAAAAATGAGACAAATGTTAAAGTTTTTAAACAATATAGGTTCCCATTTACATGTACTTCTATCAACTATCCCTTATCACTCAGATTTTTTTTCAGATTCATAGAGAGAGACACATCAAGTTCGTGGCACTATTACGTACTTGATGGTGTATAATAAGTCTGCACCTTCATTTCAGCATTATGTGCTAGTTTGTTTGGTGAGAAATTCGGAAAGATTCCTCCCTTCAGTGACCTATCAGCCATCAGAAAGTGATAATATGTCCTAAAAAGTCAAATTTAGCAGGGAAAATATTGAGGTATTTACTGAGAAAACACTTAGAAATTTTCAGAGCAGTCTCATAGGGTTTGTGCACAGGGTGACAAGTGATGGCCAGATATGGGAAATTTCCTGATGCAGTCCAAAATGATGGTAATTCATTGAAAATATATCGTTAACAAAATTTTTTTTAGACGGAGCAACAGTAAAGTTTTGTCGCTACTCCCCACAGACTTTTTTCACAGCCAAGTAGCTACACTATACACTCCATTCCATGTAAATTTTACCTCAACTAATTTCTCCGACTCCTCAGAATCCACGGGTTGGCTTTGTCCGTCTTTCTCACCCTCCTTCGCACTGCCCTCTGATGCCCCTATACTCTCCCGGCCCACCAGGGCTTCGAATGCTTCAGCGGCAACCTGCGTCGTCTTCTCCAGCAAAAACACGGCCAGTTGTCCGGGCCGGGAGTGCAAGACAAGCTGAATTGGCCTCGTCAAAAACTACGTTTGGACAGGGGAAAAAAATATTTATTTGTATTGCTTGAAACTCGGAGTCATTTAGTTAAAGCCTAGCTCCGGTAGACTTTCAGATTTTGGGTGTCTTAATTTTGACATATCTTGCTCTTGTAATCGGCAATCATTTTGCAGCCTCCTTTTCTCCAGTAGTAATTGTTTTTTTTACCAATTTCCTGTATTTTCAAAAATGTTGAAAAGACATGAATCTGGGACTGAGAAACATCTCCAATTTTGTTGGGAAAAAAATGACTCTTCATAGACTCTGTACACAACTGCTGAATAGGTGCCTGGATACATTATTTCCCAATTGAGTAATTAAAGACTTTTTCTCTTCCAAGAGGGTCGGCCAGGTGTCTTACGTAGTTTTTGTACCTATAGCTCATCGACTAACTCAATGACTGACTGACCCGCTGAATGACTATCACTTGTATTCAGACTTGCTCACCTTGGCCGAAACATTTGACTGAGATGACTACCAAGACACTCGGGACCAGCTTGACTAAGATTGTTCAGTTAATCCAAATCACTGTACACATTCAATTCAATCTATCAAATATCCAACTGTCGCATTGAGAAAGAAGAGTGTTCGGAAAGAATGTTGCAACCAGACGCCACTTTTTTTCTTCATATTATCGGAAAGAATTCCATACATGGACATCACTAATTTTGCCCTGCAGTGACCAATCAACCATCAGAAAGCGATAGCATGTCCTAAAGAGTCAAATTTAGCAGAGAAAACATTGAAGCATATACTGAGAAAGCACTTTGAATTTTTCAGACCAGTCTCGGGTTTGTGCACAGGGTGTCAAGTGATGTCCAGGTATGGAAAGGTTTCCTTAATTTTTTGAACAAATTCAATTCAATCTATCGACTATCCAACTGTCACATTGAGAAACAAAGAGTGTTCAGACGCCATTACGTTGGTTAGGACCAAAGTCAAGAATGAGTCATGATAATTTCATCACAATTAGAAATAATTTTCTTATCCCCACATTCATGTCTGGTTTCCACATCATGTGCCATACTAAACCTCCATCGTGGTTTTATCATGTTAAGATAAATACTGGAGTCAGGTTCCTGCATGCTTTCTAGGAAACCGTGTACCCATCAGTCACTGAAATGTACAAGAATCTTACCGAAAGGGAGCCCATGATAGAAAGGGTAGCTTTTAGCTATTTGCCACCATTGGAAGAGATGATTTTTCCACAGCAAAGATATCAGTTGCACCAAACCGACTGTCGTGACGGCCCACGGCCCAGCAACACGTACCAGCGGTATACGGCCTCCCTGCTACACTCGCTGTACACGCTATAGTGTGTTGTCTCGTAAAAGGCGGGAACTTCAGTGCTTTGAATTTCATTCACGCATATTGCTCCAGTTGCAAGCCGGAATGCCGATGGCGTAACCTTATAGTGTTGTCATGCAAATCCATGAATGGTGGGCTTCATTGAGTTGCATTCGAACAAACCGAATCTGTGTTTTGAGCCTGAGACTTTTGAACAAATACCAGGAAAAGACGATATTTAAAATAAAATGACATTGAGCAATTGGTTTTAAGGTTTTCCTTTTATTGAAAGTTGGAGGGTTTCCCATAAAATGGCGCAAGTGAATGTCTCATTACCCAAACAAATCTAAAAGGTGTTTTTAATTGTCTTTTTACCTTAAATTTCGACATCACATGTGAAAACAAAACTTGCTTTATTATATTATTTTTTAATTACAATAACATTGTGCAGAAGACATCAACAAAATAAAACTGCATTGGCATTTGTTTTCCAAAAATAAAGACTTTACTTTTTTTAAGTTGAAAGAAAACTCATTTATTCGAACACGATAATATCGGTTTTGAAAAGCGCGTCAAATTAAGCAACTTAAAGCCACAAGATTCGAGAAGTTCATTCTTTGAAATGTATGGCACCGACACTGTTTTTTGCCGAGCTTGAGGGCGCTCGATATTATGGCTTATATACTGCGTTGGTCGGGTTTGAAAATGTATGTCAATCAAATTTCTTGGAAGATGCTACTGTAATACTGTAAATTCAATATCTGAACATGGGCGTCGCCGGGATGGGGCAAGGGAGACACTTGCCCCCCCCCCCCCCCCGGAAAAGCACCCCCCCCCCCCCCAAGGAAGGAAGAAAAAGAAAAAAAAAGAAAAAAAAACTAAGAAAAAAAAGAAGAAAAGTGTGAAGTCATTTTGCTATTACTTTAATTTTTAAAAAATTGACGTCTGCAAGGGTGTCAATGGGAGTGGGGTGGGTGAATGTCCCCTTGCACACCCTCGAAAAAATGATAAATTGAGAATATGCCAGAGAAAGTACAAGGATTTGTGGGGGGAAATGTGCTTTGGCCCCTCCTAAAAACAATCCTGGTGACGCCCATGTATCTGAAAGAGATTTAAATACAAGCAAAGCAGAAGCAATTTTAGTACATACCACAAAACATGTTAATACACACGGGTACTGCAGGTCACAATTTACAAATACTTTGTTGACTGAACAAATGAGGCGCGACTGACACGACGACTGTTTACACTACCGGGCCTGGTCCTATGTTTCTGAGCTTCAAAGTCTAGTGTCATGTCGTCTAGTCTCGGTGTCGTCTCGTATACACGAATGCTCTGAAAACACTCTAGTTAAATTTGTTTTTAAAAAAACAGTCAAACTTACACCCAGCTGTATCCAGCGGGGTGCAAGATTGAGTTTTTCTGTATCGAACTACGTGTTTCATCTCGTCTCGATCTGTCATATGATATCAGACACTTTGTTTTATTGTTTTAAATATCAACCACGTGTATTTATATTCCCCCTAGGTGCCTGTCTGTGTCCTCTCGACATCCTCGATTGTTTGTGGTTGTTTCTTCCCCAGCGTCTCGTCTAGTACCAAGACGCTCAGTCCCGCAATGATGGACGTACCTCCAAATATGACCAGGGGTATCCAACCCGTGAATTTCTCCTGAATTGAAAGAATTATATAAAAAATAACGAATGTCCAGCAGTGGCGCACCTAGGATTTGGCGTTTGGGGGGCTCACATTTTCTTAAATTTTTTTTTAGAAGTTAAATTGTTTTCAACAAATTTTTGCCCAAATTTTTGGGCCGCAGAAAAAAATACGGGTTTTTTTTTGGGGGGGGGGGGGTTGGACAATTTTGACGTTGGTGGCGCCACTTATAACCCTATTATACTACTCGAAAATAGGCCACATTCATAATCACCAAGGTCAAATCGTGGGTCTAAAAAAAACTTATAAAAAAAAAAAACTGACAACCTCTTGGGGGGGGGGGGGGCTCAAGCCTTTATATTATATATTACATGCTGTACTCAACGTACACAACTCAAGTTGAACATTTTGACTTTTTGAGAACGTAAGCATTCTGATGTGCCGAAAACAATGAGAGAACACAAAGCAGTATTGTGAGCATTCATGAAGGGTGAGCAGCCCCGATTTAAAGAGTAACAAATTATTTCTCTCTCATCCAGGAAAAAGAACCTGTCATGCTGGTATTTATATTTGGCCTAAATAAAAGGTGTCTAAGCTAGCACTTGCTGACTTCTAAGTCTGACAATCTACCGTGAGGAATTGAATCCTGTCAATTAAGATATAAACCTATAAGCGTTAACATAATGAAAGTGTTTGTTTTCTGTGTATTTCAACTGCATGATTGGAATCCAGACTTACGAGATACATGATGATTGGAGCCAGGATACCACCAACACGTGATGAGAAGGATGACATACCGACTCCCAGATTTCTAAACAATTTAAAAATAATAAATTCAGAAATGGAGAAAAAATCCAGAACTCAAATATTTGTATGTAAAGACCGTCGGATTTAAACGGAACAGAGAGCTGGCTAGATTATGAATCGACCTAACATTACACTTATGTTTCCACCAATCAAAAGAGGTCAAATGTCAAATGCACCAAGTGACTGGACAGTTACGTCATTCGCGTCATTCAGTACCGCATCTTAACAACACGAGGACATTTTCCGAAGCATTGCAAGTAACTGTTGAATTTAACCAACACAGTTTTCAAGTTAGAAACTCAAGACCTTCCCAGCATAAGAAAAGTGTTTTGAGAAATGCACAATTTACCTGGCGACTGTGGGGAAGAGTTCTGTAGCATAGAGAAACACGATAGCGTACGAGCCAGCAATGCCAAACTTGCCCAACATGGCCGTGGTCACAATAAGAGCTGACAGATCAGTGCCGTCCGCTGGGGAAGAAAATCTCAGGAATTAATAGATTCTCGCACTTCCAACTCTTCATCCAAACCCTTTTATTCTACTCTTCTTAATGTCCATAACCCATACATTAGGATGTTTTGCGATTGCGTTGGCATTTCCTTAAAATTTCATTGTGGCTTGGGTGCTCTTCTTTCGATCACATGCAACTATTAGACAGTCTGTGCTGATATTGAGTTCTCAGGGGGACGTTGTGCCGGCCTTTTTCGAACACAAAATTTTCTGGGTATGATCCTACCATACCCAGATCCTAGGGCGCTATTCAGTTTGGGCAAATACTATAAAGAGTTTACCCAAATCAAACAGCGCCCTCCTATTGTGTAAGCCATATCTCAAATATGCTAATGGAGAACCGGCCAAGATAAAATGAGGAATGTCCCCCAAAACCTTGTTTGGAGTAATCGACGCCGGAAGTTGGATAAACATGTACTGGAAATATCATGTCAAAATCTTTATTTATTGTTTTGTATTTTTGAGTAGCCAAGGTAGCAAAGATTCAAACTATGCATTTTTATTGAGGAAAGAATACCCACAAAGGTAAAAAAAAAAACTGAAGAACGTTTTTCACTGCTCAGTGTTGGCGGCGCAATGCGCGTCTTTTTCTTCAAAGTCATTTGAAATGAGGTTAGAGAAACTTGGCAGGACACTGTTAAAGTTCCTGCGTCATATCTTTGGAATAAATTAAACTACAGAAATAAATTTGGTATCATTGGAAAGCCAATGATTTGCGCTTTAGCATGATGTGCGTAACGTAAAAAGTCAAAGGTGGGAATTATTCCTCATTATGCTTTGGCAGGTCCTTTACATCCCCAGGATTTACCCACTTCAATGTACGTAGGCCTAACGACTTGTGACTTGCGGGGAAATGATTTACAGCTACCTGTAGTTGGAGGGATGAAGGCGGTCACGATGCACGCGATTCCCCCTGCGACATGAAAGATGCAGAGGGGCAGCCGACGGCCAAACCTAGTACACAAAGAAGGGATAATTCCCATCAATGGAAGCCTTTTACGTTGGAAGGAAAATGGGTTTGTTTAAAAAACAAACAATTAACATCACTATTCTCTTTAAGAAATTGACGTTATCCTTAAGCTCCATCCGAATTTTAAATGGAATTTTAAACTTGAGAAAAATAATATCTCTTTTTTGTGTAATTACCTTCACTGAATGATATCTGTCCACTCAAGCTACAGTCACGTGTTTGAGAGAGTTTTGAAGACCTACCAGTAATTTGGTATCTTTTTAATTTAATTTACAAATTATTGTATGAAGTATTGATAGTTATTGTGCTGGTCAGGCTTTTCTTCGGAAAAAAACTGGTACATGGGCAAAGACTGAATCGAAGCACTTTTGGTACCTTTGTTATACTTGTAAATCCATAACTAGTGTTATATGTTGTGTTCTGCAAACGTCAGTCACTGACATGCACAGAAAGACAACTCGATACCTGCAATGATTGAAAAGATATAAATTACCAGGTGACGACTGCAGAGGAAACTATGTAAGCTGGGATCTCGACCGCACCGCTGAGGAAGAAGTTTAGGTAAGGATTGCCGGCTAACGAATCCGTGTTCAGTGACAGACCGTAGTACACCAGACTATTGACAAACCTGAAAATAATTATATACCAGATTTTAATATTACATCACTGAAAAAAGCGTGAGTTGCTTTAAAACAGGACTGCGTATGGTGGCCCAGAAGGGACATCAAACATGAAAAGAAACGCGTGCTACGATATTCAAATCTAAACTTGAATAGATATTTGCGATGTTCGATCTTTTGCAAAAAAACCTTTTGCACAATGAAAAACTGCTGAATCACCGTAAGATGGACACACTATCACAATGTTCAAGTTTATAAAATCCACGTAATAGCTCCTTACATTCCGTTTAACTTTTTTTCATGCACCCAATTAGCTGTATAACTATAGCTGAAATTGTTTTCATCGTCATCTTCTAGTTCTCAGTCTCTCTAGGTTTCTCCAGGCTTCCGGGAGATTTTTTTAAAGGATCCTTGGTTTCATATACCGAAATTATGAAAACAAACGAATGAAGAGTCTCACCAAGTAAATATCATAACCAGGGATATTCGCCTGATCTTGGGTGTCCTGAAAAGATGCCAGAGAGTGTACACCCTGTCTTTCCCCTCCCCAGCCGGCCTAGTGCTGTCTTCCCCCTTAGGACCACCGTCCTCCCCACCAGTTTGGACAGCGTCGATGGCGTCGCATCCTTCCCCCGACGCCTTGACCGCGACATCCGCGATTTCCAGACCGGCTTGATTCTTGGCCTCCATCACGCTATGACCTTGAGTGTCGGCGGAAGACGAGGAATCGTTGGGCATCAGAGATTTTTCTTTACGCTCCAATTCTGAAATGTCAGGAAACAAAGACGATATCGTTGAAACTTCCACGGTCTATCTCCTCTTTATCTAGGCCCAAGGGTCTCTTTATATAAGGACATGTTGTGATACATGCAAATGCATCATCATTTGCATATCTTCTAAGCACACTGTTGAGGAGTTGGGCTAAATCATGGAGCTATGGCTAGAGTATGTCAAAAATACTGTGAGAATAATTTCGAAAAATCGAAGCCTGCAATTTGGAGATGCTGGAAAAATGATGAGAAACTGTTGAAATTTAACATTTGAAGGCCATAATCCACCAGTTCTTTAATTTTGGGAGGTGTTAGGTACTCATGCTTCTAATTCGCTTTTAGATTTCCTATATACGATATTTTTTTCTGAAAACTGCGAACAAAATACGAGACAATGATCACAAGGCGATATCTTATATTTAATGGTTTTGTCGAGATTTCGTTTCTCGTGACGCCGCGGGAAAAAAACAGTTAATTATATCCAATCAATGGACCCTAGGTACCCAGCTCCCTCAAATCGGCATTATCCCAACAGCTACCCATGACATTCATCTCACAAATGGGGAGAAACTTCCTACCTGCATACTCCGGGGGAGGGGTCGACCCGCCGTCTTCTGTCAGCACACCGTCCGGTAGATCCACCTTGTTGAACCGCGCGATGCGCCGTAGGATGGCCTCGGCCTCCCGTACGCGACCTCGTGACATCAGCCATCGCATCGACTCCGGAATCACCCTGAGGAAAAACAGAACATTGGACATTTTCCAAACTTAGAGAGTATAATTACAATATTTTAGCTAGAGTGTGGGGCCACTATTAAGGTCAATTGTTATTAATAATAAAATCGGTGAGTTGTGCTTGCCAAACTCAACTTCGCATTTTTCTTTTGGCGACTCCATTTTAGGGCTGAACGCCACATTCCATGTCTTTACAGGACAAGCTTATCGATCATCTTAAGGCGTCAAGAAAGATGAAAACAAAGTGCATGTACTGAGTTTGTTTTTCGTTTGTCGACATACAACTTTAGAAACTTTTTAATGGCAACTAAAAAGTAAAGCTGCATGTATTATATGAAATATGCGCACTTGTGTACTCCAAACATACACTGAATAGCTGGGAAAAGTCTTGACGTCAAACACGTGTTTTATAGGTTTGTGAGTGGTTTAAAATTAGGCTTGAAAAATTGCGGATGTAAACGCTTGTAAAAGTTTTTCTTACTTTGGGGATTTTTTTTTAAATTGAGGAGCTCAAACAAAACCTTACCACCATAAAGGAATGGTAAGCAAGCTCGGTAATGTGATGGTGAGCTGTAGGTGGCGCCAGTCACGCAGTAAGTACGCTAAACCAGCCAGGGACATGATACCACTGGACCAGAACAGGGTCAGCAGGATACCAGCGAAGGCACGCCTAGACGGCGAGAACATCTCGGTTACCATGACGTAGGAGGTTATGTCCACGCCCTGGATAGACAGGTTGGTTAGTGGAGGAAGTTGACAACAAACAAACAGATATCACATGGGGATGTATAGGTTGTAAACCCTTTGATCATTATCAGTAAATTTGAAAAAAAGTATCGCTTAAAAGTGGGGAGCAGGACCTAAAGTGGTTTTATGGTTCGTCACTCATGATCAGAGGGTCAGGCGTTCGAATCCAGTTGCTGGCGATGGACATATGTTGTGTCCTTGGACAAACCACTTCACCCCACTTGTTTCTCTCACCAGCATTAGCTGGGGAGTAACCTGCGATGGACTAGCATCCCATCCAGGGGGAATAGAAATATTCTCAGCCTTTTCATGCTACTGAAACCGGAGATAAACGCCGGCTTGATGGGCCACATTAGTTCCCTGGCGCATTGGCTCGTGACAGACTTTTATGGCTAAAAAGAAAAAAACTTTAATTGATGATGCGCGGTCACAGAAATTAGTTCTGTAGGCCTACAGTGAACATTACCGGCTAAAATGTCATGCAATACTTTGGCACAGCACAGCACATACATTTTTTTTCTTCTAAAAAGTACTTTGATAAAATAGGGCCATGTCTATGTTCACTTGTTGGTGACTACTAATTTCTTTCATGTCTCATTAGCCTTTAGAGTCAATGGTGGACACAATGGGATGGCGATATTTGGGTACATTTCGTTGAATACAATGACTTAAAGCGTTATTAAGAGTAATAGCGCCCTCATATTGTGTTTTAAAAAGACTAATTGGACTATGGAAAAATAGTCTGGCTCCTTTTTGCATAAAAACATTATCATTCAGTACTGTTTTTAAATACAGGGAACATGACTGAAATGGTGGCAGCATTGCTTTGCGGAGGCTGCATCGTATAGGGCGGAGTTTATACCGTCTTAAGATTTACCCACCTGTTCGATGACGCCCACCGCAAACCGTACCGCCATGAATGCGTACAGGTTGCCAGTGAACGCCGCGCCCACACCGAAAGCCACCTGTGCCCAGAGGGAGAAGAAGAAGACGTAGCGACGGCCGAAGCGATCCGAGAGCTGGCCGAAGAGCAACGATCCGACCATGACACCCAGCATGAAGATGATTTGACTCAGCTCAACCGAAGCATCCCTCTCACATACAAGGTCCCACTGGATGAGAAAAAAGAAAGGCTTTCTTTCAGATCCAATGCATTTAAATAAAATGCATTGGATTTAATTAAAATTCTTGAAATGTTTCTTTGTGTCCTTTTGAACTTCTGTGCAGTCTTTGTTAATGCAAATGCGAATTTCAATATTCGTACGAAAACTAGTTAACATCTCAGCTGTTCTCGGTCGGGTAGATCACTCTGTTTTTAGGTTATTTATTTGATTTAGAATCAGTGAGAGATGCGATCACAAGTGATTTCCACCCCTACTGACCAATTTTGGGCTGCCATCATAATTGCCGACAAACGACTCATTTAGCTTGATTGCATCACAGTAAGCTTCATTTTAGATTCATACAGCTTCTTAAGAAAAATTCCATTACTACAAAATAATACTGAGCAGCTACAGTGGCATCACAGCAACAGCGCCCTCAAATGTCACGAATCAGCATGGATACTTAGAAGAGAGAATATGCGCATTGAGAAAATAAATAATAAATACTATTTTAGACATGTTAATTATTAGAGGTTTCTCTTCTGGTGTTAATGTTCATATTATTGAGGTGGTTTAATCTTAGTGTGTATCTGTACCTCGGTAGCAATCGTCTTCCCGTAATAGGTGCTATCGTAATCCCATCCATCATCGCACGGGATCGTCTCATTATACGCAGATCTGTTCAGGTACTTCAGACACTCCGCAAACTCTTCACCACCGTCTTTGCCGACGACCGTCGGTACCGTCTCCTCGAGGCTCTGGCCCGCCGGCACCTTGCAGCGGTGACCCGGTACGGCCCCCAGGAAGGATATGGCCAGCATGTGCCATGCCGACGGTACCTGACCGGCGAGGCAAATCAAGACGTAGATCAGGGTCTGGTAGCGACCGAAATCGCCCAGGAAAACTAGTGCCTCGTCTAGTTCCATCGCCATTGCAAGCAATTTAAAGGGCAGTTGCTACTTGTGCTTCTTCTCTAGTTCTTGTTTTGTGCGTCAGTGGTGTGACATTTACTGGGTTAGGCTTAATTTATGCCATATCATCAAAACACACATCGCCGTACACGTACCCTTGGCCTTCCACAATATGTAGTCTATCGGTATCTGTGCTTTTATTATGACACGTGGCTTGTGGACCTTTGCCCCTTGGTGCTTATCGCTTATCAATACTTTTATCTGTACCAATAATTATATATTTGCACGAATGGGAACTGTGCCAATAATCGTTTGTATATTTTGCAGTGCTGGTTTCGAAATATGATGATGACATCGTAATATCAAGTTTTAAGAGACGTTTTCACCAATTTTTCAAGTGAAGAGGGATTTTCTTTATAAAAGAATACTCCATGTCATATTTGAGGGCATAGCTGGCTTCGGCAGCAAAGTTGGGGTACATGTTTCAATGAAATGTTCATATTTGTGAGCACAGCAGCGAAGGGACACCTTTTAACGTTTCTCCATCAAAAAAAAAATGAAATAGACGTCTTTGTATCTCCTCTAGACAAGTCCCTATCATTTGGGATTTTTTGGGGGGGGGGGGGGGTTGATGATTTGATAGTTTTCAGGTGTTTGCTGGCTTTTAAGCTTGACTGCATGAATAAAAAAAATGTGTTTCTAGAATTTTACCATGTTGGCCAAGGGTTCATAAATGTAATTCATAATTGTATTCCTGCAAAACGCCAAGAGGGAAAAGTGGATTGTATTTTCTTCGTCGGTAAAAGTAAACTGGGTTGTATCCTGATGGTTTACGAGCGTCATATACGATTAGATTTCACCTCGTGGGTCACGAGGATCATAATGCTATTAAAGCGGCCCACTGGAGATTTCTGTAACCTGTTAATGTTATGGCTGGCAATCACTTGACAGGCACCATGCATGTCTGGGGGGAAATGGGGGCCTTATGTATTGGATTTAACCATAGAAAGGACACTCCTGTCCCTTCTCTATGATTTTACTGCACACCGTTAATTGACTGATGGTCAAAGTCTCCCTTCTTGCGTTCATCTCACCCGTTTTCTCATTTGTGGGTGGGGTCGGGGAGGGGTACATCCCCGGTTGAATCAAGGCATGTGGCACCATGTTCCTCCTTCTATACTCCGCTCAGTGTTTGGGGAAAGAAAGGAGCCTTATATTTACTGAAACGATAACCAAACCGATTGAGTGCCCCACTCTCCAGAAAATGAGTACCCGAAAGCCTCCCCTCGAAGGAGGGCGCTCCTATAGATCTAGACGTTTTCTTCGGTTGGGGAGGGGGTGGACATCACCTTCATATAGGGGGCGCTGTTCAAAGCGGGCTATCATAGACAGTATCGGACATAGTTGGCGCTCTTCAATCCGGTAAATTTGCCGCCGGACACACGATTTTACAATTTGACCGACAAAACTGTTAATCTCCAGCGACGCCCGTGCATGTTGAGCGCAATATAGTACCAACGTCGGCAGAAATAATTACTGGTAAGGTTCTGGAAGCCCTCCTAAATCATTATTGCCCTTCTGTTTCAGCTACCTGGTGCCCTGCTAATCGATTGGGCTGGGTCAAAACAATCATGGAAATTATATCATGGAGCCATTTCACCAAAGTTTAACAAAATCTCGGGCACAAGCATCAACTGCATCCACCCGTCCTAAAGGGGAAGAAACTGGGCCGTAATTTATAGCCTACACTCCTCCTCACTTCCGATCTGCGTAATGTCCTCGAATTATTCCCCAAGCTCGGTTGATGACCGCCCACACTCTCTATGCCCCCATTCTTGGGTTCAACCATCCCCCGTGGACGGACACCTAGTTTTGCAAAGCTCGCCCTAGTTTTGTCCATCATTTGGGTTCTTGCCAACCCACTTTTGGCGCGAATGTTGTGCTGGTGCAGGGCACTCAAAGGTCGTGGAGTGTGCACTTATTGCCCGCTTTCTGCCTATATTTATAAATCTGCAGAATCGAAATCCGTTTAACAAAATGCACATTAATATCTGAATGTTGCAGCAGCAATGTGACTGGGATGTTTCGGATGTTTTGGTATATGAATTATTTTTACGAGAGATGATACGAAACCATCACTGTAACAACATTTCCGGCACATTTTTGTTTTCAGTAGTATTTATGACCTCTTTTACAGTTCTTTTAAAGTTATAAACACACAATTGTTATCCCTAAAACCGTTTAAGTTTACAGCATTCAGTAGATTCCCCTCTGGCTTTGCTGAGGGTACTTTTACCCATCCTGAAATGACCCAAATTAAACAGTGCTGGCGAACCCAGACCAGGCAGGCTACCTTCTAATGAGAAAAGTGCTCATCGACCGTAATCAACATTCCAATCGAAGTCCCAAACTCATGGGGTTGTATTTTTTGAGTGTAACCTTTACTTTTCAACGTCAAATATTTTCGAACTGAAGATATGGCAAAGGCTATCGCATTTACTGATACCATAGCGGTTGCGGCCTTTTTTTTCTTGCTCCGTCCATGCAGATAATTCCTTAGGATTTTCATTTCATTTCATTTCAGAAACATTTATTTCCACATGAATAAGCACTTTAGAAAACAAAACAATTGTTACATAAAAACTACTAAGTGGAGGCATTACACAAGAAGCCGGAGCTTATAAACGGAATGCCTTAAACACAACAAAAAATATAAATATATACATATAAACAATACTGAAAAAGGAAGACTAAATTCAAAGACAAAACACAACAAAACAATGAAAACAGAAACAGACAAACAAACGAAGTGGACATAAACTTAATAAACTATACAGACGGACATACGAAACATACTAGTGATACAACGACACAGTTTATATAATGGATGATGTAAGCAAAAGAAAGCACAATTAAAGCAAACGGTATGAATGTAGAAAAACCAACAAAAGACAAAGCAAACTATGCTATATACTGGGAGATAAGATGGTTCTTGAAAGTGGTTTTAAATCGGCCAACAGAGGACTGCGATTTCATAGACTGACTGAGTCCATTCCATAGACGAGGTCCATAAAAACGAAGAGTGTTCATTAAATATGATGTGCGTGCAAGAGGGATGTAGTAGTTATTATGTGATCTAGTATGGTATTGATGAATATCGTTAATTGAGGTGAAATATGAGGAGAAAGTGCGATATATAGGCCTATCCCCTGCTTTGACCAGTCTTTCAAAATACTGCCTTAGGGGCCTACATCAAACGCTCCTCGCCTGAAACGGAAACTTGAAAAGTCGATATTTTATGTACCAGGCCTATCCCTTGTAAGCTGTGAAATACGCACACAATTTATGCAGAAAAACTTCATGGAATTGCACCCATCAGAAACCATTCAAGGCGGTGCCGAGCAATAAACATCTGCTTAGCCGAAGAAGGTTAGGCCTACATTCGAAAGAGTGTCAATATCATGGACTGTGTATTGTAATCGACTGGTTCCTGCAAAGCAATGAATTTGATGAGCGAAAATATTCTGCGTAACAGCTCCATACGATTGCCTCAGTACAGCCTTGTCGTTTATAGTTTCTGTAAAACAGAATTTCATAAAGGAATGTCCGTTTTGCCCAGAATGAGCCAATATGAATGAAACAAAAGTTTGAGATACATCCCAGATTTTCGTCATGAATTCAACGAGATCTTCTCTCTATCACCACTTGAGACATGATGAACGCATGAACTCCTGGCCGCCAAGTTCCCCGAAAATGATATAATCTCACGTCCCTGGACGATTTCCAAACACTCGATCGCGTACCACTCGCCCACGAGCGAGTGATTGGCCAGGACCGAGTTGCTCATACCGCCACCATGGCGAGATGTCGTCCTAGATGTGAGCATATAAGCCCCGGTCAACCTCCTGTTTGATAATACCTCTCATTCAGCGCACAGACTACACGTGCATCTAACCTACCTCCGTCATCATGGGTACGATAAGGTGGCTGGTTGCCTTAGCGACTTGGATCTTACTGGTTTGCGAGCCGTCATGTGTACACGGTACGTAGCAATAATAACCTTTTCTTTTCATACATCTTCAGCTTTTATTCGGTGAATATTTCTTGTGTTTCTGCTTATCATTACTTGTTTGACGATTATTTTTGGCTTTTGGTTGTGTTTTTTATTTTCGATGTAAACTGTGCTTCGATTCATTGATTTGTTGTTTTTACGTCTGGCGAGATAATGATCAAATGTCTGGTATTGTACAGTTGATTAAATCAGTATGTTCAGTGATGATGTTCTCCTTATAGGTTTCAGACTCATCTTGGAGCTTAAGAAAGCTCTATGGTATAATCGAGAAAGAAACCTTGTGAACCCTTTTGAGACCGAAAGCGACACCGAGATCTTTCGATTCAGGGGCATCAGAATCGCTCTCGCTGTCTGTCGGTTTTCGTGCCATATCCGAAACGGATACCAAATAAGTGCCCACCGTGCAGACAAGTATGCGTTCTGCTCTTCAATTGTTTACATGAAACAGGTGTTCAGACAGATCATAGACGGGAACACAATGAGGATCTGTAGGCCGTGATAATTCTCACTCTCTTATTATTATCCCTTTACCCGAACCCCGATAATAAATAATTGTGATGAAGTGGCAGGGTGACTGTGCTATGCATCAAGACTTATTACTTTGTGATTCTGAAGTCAGGTAATTAACTCGTAACTAACGACATTACGTAGTAGCAAAGCCTGCAGGTACACGCTCGGCATATCTTAATTGTCTCGCTCCCCATCCATTGTGTTAACTTCTTGTTATGCTGTTTCTAGAACATTCTTAAAACTGTAGTCAGCTGTGGTTAGACAATGGTCGAACTCATTGGCTTTTCATGCCTTTTGTTTCGTTTCCAATAACACCACTTAAAATCCAAAGATTAATGTTTAAACCCTAACCTGTTGAAGTTTCAGCTGAGTGATTTTGTTCGTTTCAGCTAAGTTGGTATAACAGTGAAAATCATGAACACCTTTTCCTCACGATAACACTCTTTATTTCCAAATAAATAATTCAATGAACTGATCGTTTGAAATCACCTACATTTCTTGATTTCTTCAAACATTATGATAACAGCCAGGCAGAATAATTTCACGCGGTGTTTAGTGCCAGTGCGATCTTTAATCCAGGTAAGCTTTTCAGTATAGGTTACTTTTCGGATAAGTGCAAATCATATATGCCTTTAAATAGCCAGTCAAAAGAGCTGATTGTTTCTACCCGCGATTATTGAATGAAAAATATCCGGTGTGTAGCGTGTGTTTTGTTGTTGACATTGCCAGACAGATCTTATGAGGGATAACCAGTCAGTATTTTGACTATGGCCGTATAAACAAAACCCAAACTCGAATACATGTGTATTCCTATGACAAAACGAATACCTGTTTTGGAAGTTGACGTTCTTTACTTCAGACTTTGATGAAAACACGTTATTAAAAAAAGTTATTAATATAACGTTATTAATATACATTTACAAACATAAAAAACCACCGAATTATTATGAAATATACCTTACTTGACTGTAAGTGAATAATAGTCTCAAGCATCCTGTGAAATCATGGCACCCTAGTGTGCTGTCAATTTCCAACGATGGTCGGCCGAGAATCGTTGGGAAAACAACTGACTTTTTTTTCCAATAGTGCCCCAAATTTACCAAAATAGTTAGTCCACATTTTGTTTGCAATCGATTGCACATGGTTCCCTGACCTGAGAATTCCTCGACGTCTGTAAATTGCTCTGTTTCGTCTGAAGTAGTGTCAGGGTACCAGACTACAAGAACAACGTTTTTCTTTGTTTTTCCAGCATCTATGAAATCAAAACTCGAAAAAGGTCAGTGTAACAATATTTGCTATAATACCAATCCCCAAATCCATCCATTTCTGAAAATTACAGCACAAACAAATGTTGTATACCTTGAAGTAGGAAACTGCATTTAATAAAAAAAAAAAGGAATAATTTAGTCAAAGGATCAAAATCAGCTTATTTTATAGATGACCTTTCTAACAAACAAAAACAGGTGTAATCGTTTATATGAAGAAGTTGCTTAATAAGAAAGCAGAAAACCGGAAAAGAATTAAATGTTTTTGCTTTGACATGCCATTACATTTCCGTTACATTTCCCATTCAAACAAAACCGCACTGTAACAGTTTAAAGGGAATATACATCATTTGCTTTTGCTGTAATTTTCAGAAATGGATGGAATTGGGGGGTTGGAAATATATAGCAAATATAGTTACACTGACTTTTTTGAGGTTTTGGGTTCGAAAATGCTATAAAAACCGAGAAAAACAATCATTTTCCTGTAGTCTGGTTCCCTGACTCCATATAAGAAGAAACAGAACAGTTTACATACATTGGGGAATTGTAAGGTCAGGGAACCAGTCTAGCTGGCTTGTACCCGTTCATAGGTGTGTAATCGATTGCAAACAAGTGCGATGGTCAATTGGGGCCAGTATTTGAAAAAAAGCCAGTTTTTTTCCAACGCTGGTCGGCCGACCAGCGTTGGAAATTGATACAAAATTACAACTTTTCTTGAAAATGACAGTATACCAGGTGCCATGATTTTACAGGATGCTTTACACTGTCATTCACTAACAGTCCAGCAAGGTATTTCAAATTGATTTGGTAGTTTTATTTTTTGATGTTTGCAAATGTTGTATTTTCCCTTTAAGTGAACGTTTGACAGGTTGAAAGTGGGTAGTCAAAGGCGGATAAATCACGGGGCCGTCCAACATACAACGGCGGATGAGCAGAACAATTCGCCCCGGGCGTTTGAAGACACCGAACTCCAATTACAAGCTTTTTGGACAGACACTACCCGCAAGGCGGTTAATCGTTTCTGGCCACTGTCTCCTCATAAGTAAATTAGTTGTCTAGTCGTTAATAGGTCGCTGTCACCACTTTGCAAGGTGTGGACTAATTGGAATTATCCGATCCCAACACTGATGGCACTTTAATGACCATGCTCATGCCTTCAAGGACATATCATTCTCAGAGAGACCATCTCGCCTGGTACTCACTCACTGCTTGTTGGCAAATTTCAGTTCTGTAATAATATTTTAAGCTTTCCTCCACCAAAAAAATGTTTGTTTTCATAAAGTAATTATTGCAAAATCAGCGAGATTTTATTTCAAAGCAGTCTCAGATTTCGTTTTTGTCTACAATTTTGCGTCATTAACCTCCCATGTATTGGCACTAGCATGTTTTGAGGAGCACTAAGGGAGGACCCAACAACAACATTTCCCCCGAATTTCCAGGCCACCGCAAATGCTACTAATTCGAAAAGTGGGGGAGGGGGCAGACCTCTTTTCACGCTAGAGGGCGCTCTTTTTTTATCAAGTTATTAACAATAATAACATTTCATAATGCCGTGCGGTTAACTCAAACAAATACTTCAAAAAAGACCCTTAGCCTTGGCAAGCGGAATTTTTTTTGGGGTGGAGGTGGCACCTGGGGGCCACTGGGAATCTGGGGTGCACGTAACCCCCCCCCCCCCCTCAGCTCCCCTCCCCTTGGCTACGCCCCTTCCCCTCTCCAATGAATTCAAAGGCAAGCATACCCAAACCTAGAATATGTACATGGTGTGCGACTCGAAAGGCCACAACGGGGTTTAGCCAAAATATCCCAATGCTTGGATTGCGCTTTGAAACTTGTTCAACTAAAATCAATATTTTTGTACAGTGTAGTATTAGTATTCATTATTCTAAAACAGACCAAACTAATTGTGTACAAAAACTATAAACCAATAATTCACCACCAGTATATTCAAATGGCAAATGCGCCACCTGCTGTCATATTCTCAATCAACAGAAAAACAGATGGTCGTGAAACTACAACAAAACCCGACAACTTCTTGTGCTCAAAATAGCGTCACTGTTTTGCTCACGAATAAAAAAAACATTAAAAAGGCATTAAATCACAAAGCTACACCATCTTTTAATATAAAATGTCAGTAAAAACACTACTAATATAGGCCCTATAATTATCAGAAAAGTGGGACACAAAGGTGCGTTTCATAAATAGGTGCGCTTCATAAAGGTTCGTTTTATAAAGGTTCGAAGGCCTAGAAGAAACCTTTTAAAGCTGAGAAGACCTGAAAATGAACTTGTTTACATTATCTTCACTTCTTTGAGGTTGATGACCGTCTCTGCTCCATATACCGTGTCTGGTATGATGCTTCCCTCCCTCCCCAAGCTCGCGTAATCATTCTCCCGTCTGTGTGCTCTCTATACAAGAGCAGACACATTAATTGCGGCATGAGCGGCCTCTTGTCTCCCATTTTACTCCCCAAGCCCTTCTTGTTATTAACTGAACCTGGTCTAATACCCCCGATCTGCACGGCGCGGCACACTCGACTCATTCCAGACGTATTCATGAATGATTCGCCCTCATCAACGATTTCTCATTTTGACGATGTTGCGAACGGGGAGCATTCGCCAGACGGAAATGAGACGGGGGGAAACATTGAGAGACTTGGAAAAGCAATCGTGGTAATCGAAGTGCGGGCTTTAATTAAGAAGTATTTATCAAGGGATCGGAGTCATGCTCGCCGTGAAATGTCAAGATGTGAAGTCGGGTAGAGAATTCGCGGAGTCAAATTATATGGGACAATCCACATAGACAACATGATGTTACCAACAGTGCATATTTTTCACGAGTTGGTCCCGACAGACCGACAGGCGCGGCGTGAATTTCGTTCACGCTGATCCAATTTCTGAGTAGCTTCAAAATTACGCTGTAAACAAATTCCCGTTTCCAGAAAAAGGAATTATTTTGTCTCCAGAAAAAAATGAGTGTGCTCGTGGTGTGCTAGTAACAGAGCTCTTTGCGAGCGTCACAGTTGTGGACGTTTGGGAGTCGTAGCAATCAGGTGGCATCTTTAACTAGGACAGCGGTGCCTTTACGACAACGATTCATAAATTTAATGACAGATTACGACAATGACATAAATTGACATTAAGAAATTCGTTGGTGTGAAGGGCAAAACCCAGTATTGAATTGACAATTGATAATTATAAGTCAAAATGTACAACCACTCAGATTCAGATTTATTTGTTATATCGAACTTGTTGGTTTGCTGGCTTGTTCTCATTTTTGTTTTAATGGCGATAATCTATCTAAATCCAAGAGATAGATCTTGCATTACTAGCCCCTGCAGGAACACCCACCAGGACAAAAGAAGGGGCCTTGCCGGGCCTAAGGAGGGGGTTGGATGCGGGGATTAGGACCAGATGCCCGAGGCCCACCCAAAGAGCTGCAGGTGCAGCCGCACCTGTCGCCGCTTGGTATGCTAGTTGGATAACCCGACCATAACCTCGCCACACTAATGTGTGAGACATTGCACCTTCGCTTTACGGCGCTGGTAGTGAAATGACATATTATGATCGAATGACCAGGGTATGTTACCCATCAACTTGAACAGCCGGGCAATTCCGTTTTCCCAAATGGTTGTTTCGGGAGTCAAGTAGGAGTCAAAGTAATTTTCAGATGCTAGAGTTTACGGCCTTTAATTTTCTTTTCAGGAGAGCAAAAGACTGGCCCATTTATATTGAAACCTCAAAGCATATTCTGAACAGTCGAGGCTGTAATGTACTTCTGTCGTTTCACTTGGGAAAATATTGGTTTTGTTTCTCAAGGTGGGCATCTGTCATCTGTCATCTGTACATAATTATGGTACAATCTAGAACATGAGGAGCAAGTTGTTTCAAATGTTTATGGTGGAGCGTGGATACTGACTGACACTATTTAGGAACACCGCCATTGTATTCTCTCCGGTGGCTGACAATTATTGACAGTGCGTTTAATGGTGGCGTCATTTTAAGGAATATTCATAAATACCTCAGACAGTTTAGCCATTCCTATTGGTCGAGAGCCCGTCACGTGGCCGGTATTAAACGGATGATAAAGACATGGCTAGCTGGTCTTAAACACTTTTCCAGTGTCACAATAAAATGTGGACTCCTAAAAATCCAGTGCCTCTTATCGTTTCATTGGTTGAACGTTCACAATCCTCACGTAGGCATGCGCAACACTACCAGGTAGTTAGAATTTTATAGTTCTAAATTCAAAACGCAACGCGCCAGGTGCGTTCTGCGCGACATCGCGTAGAACATGATACGCGCGCGTCAATCTCCATAAAAGGGTTGTTTTCATCTTACTCGCCAGCTGAACACTCCATTATTTTGCAGGAGGGATGTTTCAAAAAGCATAAAGTGAATTTGTTGAACAAAATCGGGATGTTTTGAACGAATTAAATGATTTTTTTTTACCGAAAAGGTATTTATGAATGGGAATAAATATGTACTCCGTCGGTATTTATCACTCTGTTTAATACCACTTAGAGTCTGGGTGCTGATAATTACCCTCGCCTCCGGCTCGGGTAATTATCAGCACCCAGACTCTAAGTGGTATTAAACAGAGTGATAAAAACCTCCGGAGCACACATTTATTCCCTTATTAAGGTAAAATCTGGCTCATTTCGCCAATCCTGTTTCTTTATTACGACTCGATCAGGCGTATGGTTTATTCCCCTCACCCAGCCCCAACAAGGTCGACAAGGAACTCTTGACCAATCTGAGTCGTCCAGCTCGCTTTGGTATTTCTCACAATGCAATCACCTGTAGGCTGTATTGACTTGTTCTCAGCCTGACATGGACACATTTACATAACGAATAAGGCAATGGACGCTTATCGGTAATATACAACATTTTGTTTTGCTGTAATTGTTAGAATATAGAAGTGCCGGGTGGATTTGGGGAGTTAGTATTTTATAGAAAATATTGTTACACTGAGTTTTGTGTTCATAGATGCTGGAAATCCCAAGAAAAAAAATCATGTTCTTGTACTCTGGTTCCCCCCGACCCTACTTCAGACGAAACGGAGCAATTATTTATAAACATCGGAAATTGTCAGGTAAGGGAACCAGTCTAGCTGACTTGCACCCGTTCGCGGATGTGTAACTGATTGCAAACAAAATGTGGACTAACTAAATGTGGTAAATTGGGGGCAGTATTTGAGATCTGATACACTGTGCCCTCTGGAGACATGCACACAATAGGGAACAAAAGATTGTAAACGTCTCCACAGGGCGATTTCTATAGATGAATACGTCCCCACAAGGTTTTCACGAAATAGATATATGGATTTTACTCAAAACCTAGGAATTTCCAATGTATGTTGATCCGTCGCAAATGGTAGAGTTTTAGAAAAGGGATGTTAAGTCCGAATTTCAGCCAAGGAAATTAATCCTGGTTAAAACAAGAGCATTTTGAAACTGTACTTTCAAACTCGAAAACTTTAGTACACGAGAACAAAGAAATGTCGCAACAAGGATACAAATTTCAGTATAAATGGAAAAAAGTCAGGTGTCATGATTTCACAGGATGCTTGAGACGTACTCACTTACAGTCAAGTAAGGTATTACATAATAATTTGGAAGTTTGTTTTATAAATGATGTTTGCAAATGTATATTCAGGGGCGTAGCACGGTTATTTTTATTGGAGGGTTAATGTTTTGAAAAGGGCACTTGCACATCCGTTGTGAAATGAAGACAGGGTTTTTTTTCTCCGGATACTTGGCCTCCGTGAAATCAAAAAGTGTGGGGGGGGGGGAGGGGGGGAGGGGGGGCTGGGGCTGGTACCATCTGTCGATGGGGGCGCTGTTCAAAACCGAAAATTATGCACACAAAGGGCCCATATATGGTGCTTTTCAGGCCGATACATGTGCGAAATTCTGAAAAAGGCAACCAAAACGGAAGATGCCAGAAAAAAGGGCACGACTTCTTTTTTGAAAAGGGTACTTGTTCAGAAAAAAGGGCACTTCTTAAAAAAGAGCCCCCCCCAAAAAAAAAAAAAAGCCTACGTTAATATTTAACATTTGATTCGTTTAGAGAAAAAGCACCATGATGATCAGAAACTATTGTTGGAAATGTAAACTTCAAAGAGGGAGTCTTGTGATAGAATAGAGTAGGATATTCCATCAAACCTAGCTGCTAGTTGAGTACTGGTCCATCGGGGGGAAATGCAATTTGACGTATGTGAAACGTACCTGTCCTGTCCATGAACCACGCTGACGCGGTTTCAGCAAAGGATCCAAGAATTGATGTCTTCGCGCCTGTGAATTATTTGCCTAATTCAATTATTCTGTTTCACACTTGCGCAGCCTGCCAACCATTACCCCGGCACGTTTTGTGTTGTTCGGGGTTGTCAGTCGGCGGTGATAATCCGAGTTGATCTGGGCTAAGGTTGGGTGGGATTTCCCCGTACGATAGGCTCCCTGTGGGACTATCTTAAGAAGTTCCTTCGATTCCCGTCACCAGGTCTTGGACCACCCAAAATAACCTAGTTTCACTTTTGGTCGCTTCAAAGCAAAAGAAAATTGAAGCTAGTTAACCTTAATACACATATTGGAAGATTGATGATCAAATGTTCCGATTTTTGACCAAGGGACAATCCCGCAAATTTCAATAAATCATCCCGGATCGACGCAAATTATGTTTAGCGATCGTAAACAGGGCCAATTATAGTAATGCCCTGCCATGTGCGAATGTTATTTCGCTTGACGTAAAATAAAATCCGGTCAGTAGCCACTATACATCGCCTGCATAAATCCCTGTCATCTGATTGGTGGGTATTGACCACGTGTCATTGGATTATTCCATTGCACGGTCACACTATTGCCAATCAGATGACGAGGATCTATTCAGGCGTTGTATATAAAACAAGTAACGAATGTTTAACATTCGTGCAATGGCAAGAATAAATACGTTTGGTGACAGATTGATTAGTCCATTTCACGAGGCGAAGCCGAAGAAATTATTTTTACCATTGTACTCATAAACATCCACTATTATTTGCCTGGCTAGAATATTAGTTAGAAGGACATTATTGATTTCAAGATTTTGCCGGTTGATGAAGGCTAGAGCGCCTGTTTAGAGCATTGTGTATTGCCTACTCAGCACGGGAACGTACGGTACGTGTTTCAGATGTGTTAGCAAATAAAAACGCTCGTGTCATGGCATTTTCAAGAATTAAGAGCTCATAAAAAATGCCTGATGAAACACGCGGAAAAAAAGGCAACCCCAGAAAAGCAGAAAGGATAAAAAAAACTGCTTCAATATGACAATTATAAAACAAACACAACACAAAGAGACAAACGCAAACAGACAGACAAAAAGGTTTTGATTTTTTTTATCCACTTGGTAACAATGAAGGCACATAAGTCCTTACCCACTCGTTCTCTGTGGAACTAAAGCACTGCACTTACAATATGGCTGTCGTGCGTCCAAAGTGTCTTTTGGGCAAAAGTTATTCAGAGAATAAAATCAATATTTTTATGTACGTCTTAATTTTGAAGGTCAAATTACCAAGCGTTTATTGGTCTGTCTGCCTGTCTGATGTTTGTGGGGTTTTTTCATTATGCTGGTGTGTCTGTCTTTCTTTAATCCCATTTTTGAAATTTTAAGAATTTTAATGTATATTTTTCAGTGTATTAATATAAGGAAAGGCATACCCTTAATAGATCATGCCTCTATCTTACATGATAACGTATTGTATTTATGATTACCCTGATTTTGATGGAAAGAAATATTATTGTAATAAATTGAATTGAATAAGTTAAATAAATAAGTTAAGTAATAAATTGAATTAAATCAGTAAAAAACACTGCTTTCCATAACAGCCCTGGTTCATATTACATAAACATTAAGTTCAAAACAGTATAGGCAATTAAATTAAAACAAAACAAAAAACATAGATATCATTAACAATACAAAGATTAACAATCAAATTAAATTAGACATATGAAAGATTGAAGACTAAAAAAAAGTCAAATTAAAACAAATCCTCAATTAAAAGCAATTGATATATAATTGCTTAAAATAATGGGACAGGACAAGAAAAAAAGGTTAATTAATTAACAAGAATTAACAAGAAAAATAATAATCAAATGTATCTCTCTCTTTTAGGTGTTAGTTGTTGGGCCGAACACGACAGCACCAGCGCGACGTGCGGCTTGCTGGTCGCCGAGAACGTGACGGTGGAGGAATGCTGCAGGAATATCGGCGAGAGTGTGTCCTGGTCCACGGTAGATGACATATCCCCGGAGGCGATGCTTAGATATCAGACAATTTTCGGTGGAGTCCCGGAATGCCACCTTTGTGAAAGTAAGTTTGTGGGAATATGCCGGTGTAGAGTGAATATCTGACTCCATGAAATATAGACTCATTGGTAGTATTGAGCATGCGTAGGTATGATCCTATTTATAGGGCTATTATAGGAGAGTGCCTTGTCACGTGTGAGGGATTATTAAACCGATAATAGGGAAAAGGAGTCCGATTTTCATAGGAGTCGGAATTTTATATGACACCGGGACAGTTTTGCAAAATGTGACACGTACCTATACCCCAAATCTAGAGCATGCTATCATTATTTTTATCTAGTTTTTTTCCACATGGCAGTGTACTTCATTTGCTCAGGAAAACTGGAGAAATGGTTAAAATTGGATTGATTTGCAGTGTTTTACGCGGGCTGATGTGAAGATTTTTTTGTAAACATCGTTATATTTTTGTCCTTAAAATTCTTCTCTTAACAGAATGCTTTTTTAAAATTGGACATGCTGAGCTCATTATAATGATGAAAGACTTCATATTTCCGGTTCTCGGGTATTTTAGGAACTGTGTCCCTCTGTGGGTGTGGAAATGTTTATTTAGGAAACCACCCAGTGCGCATGCGCGTTCTCTGAACTAATAAGTGGTGCACAGATGCATTGGAATAAACATACGTGTGTTGTTGGTGTAGTCCGGCTTGCACACCACGTATGTTTATCCTAATGAAAAAAAAGTAATGTTAATTTGAATTGAAAAGTTTCTCTCCTTGTTTAGTTGTTAGTTGTTGGGCCAAACGCGAAGAAGGCAGTGCGACGTGTGGCCTGCTGGTCGCTGAGCACGTGACGAAGGAAGAATGCTGCAAAAATAACGGAGAGAGTATCTCCTGGTCTACAATAGTCGACATATCCCCGGGAGAGATGTTCAGATACGAGACCATCTACGGTGGAGTCCCGGACTGCCACCTTTGTGAAAGTAAGTTTGTGGGGTTATGCCGGGGAGTTTTGCAGGCTGTGACAGCCTCAGGAGGAAGAGATCAGCACAGAGCTCAAACTTTCATTACATTAGGGGGGGAAGGGGGTATTTAACCCCCCCCCCCCACCATATTTTGTAAAGACTGCCTTTCTCCATTCAAATGCCCTTTTTTTCACCGGGCTTATCCCCCCAATAATTTGTTAAGAGTGCCCTTTTTTACGAGGTGCCCTTTTTTCTGAACAAGTGCCCTTTTCAAAAAAGAAGTGGTGCCCTTTTTTGTGGCATCTGCCGTTTTAGGTGCCTTTTTCAGAAACTGTCGGTTTTGAACAGCGCCCCCATCGACAGATGGTAACCCCCCCCCCAAGAAAAGTGACCGTGCTACGCCCCTGTTGCAAGGCAAGATTCTATGATATGCGAGCAGATTCAGCGATTAATTATGCAATGAACAAGACTGCGTCTTGACCTCCAGACTCTGACCATTCAGCGGGCGCCTTCTATCGGGTCTTTCGTAACAGCTTAGTCCACATTTCTGATCGAAATGACACTTCTAAAGTTGACTCCGATTTTGCTGCGCGCAGGGTTGCATAAAATGTGCATGATGAGACATTCGTCGTGTGGTTCTGCATATTACATTTTGTAACTTTATTAGGTCATGAATTTAATGTAATAACATCTATTATTTATTATTGATATCTCCTTGGGTTAAATCATGAATTGTGTAACAACATGTATTCTTTGTGAAGGGGGAAGACCCAGTACAAGCTTCGGCTTCTTGACTGATCTCCCCAACCTCGTCCCCAGGGTGTCGAGCAGTACGCGCCCATCACTACCTGCTCTCTCACCCTGGTATTGGATCATTTTGCATGTACACAATTTTTGAACACTTATGCAAATGAGAAATAGTCTGGTGCTTGCATGTGCGTTACATTAGCGTTTGTTTTTGTATGCGGTGCCTTGGCTAAAACCAGAATCAATTCGTCGCGTTACAAAAACACGATTGTTTTCGAAGTTAAAATGTTACAATCTAATCCCGCCAGTATGCAGTATCACATTTCATATTAATATGATCAACTTGGAAAGGAAATGAGTTGGGTTTGTTTTTAGAAGGCGTGGACTTTATAATTATAATGATTGTGAAAACACGTAATGCACGATGGAAACAACAAGTACACGATATAAATCCATTACTAGCCAATAATTGCAGTATCGAATCAGGATACAGGACCAAAGTTTTCTATTTAAAACGATGTTGGAAATAAAGTAAGCACGGGGGATCGCGGGACGAGGTTGGACCTCCCCGTACTATTATTTCAAGTTCCGTTAAGTTTGTCCCCATGTACAGTATTCAACTTACCTTATAGTATGGACATAAACCTGAAACCTGAAACCATGTCTGATACTCAGACTATTAAGCAGACAGAGGCGCTGTCAAAACGTTTCATGCTATGTCTTTATTCCTTTATTTACTTCACCACTTCACCTCTCCCGCACTTTTAGCCCCACTGCGTTAAATTGTTTCGAAAAAAATGATGCCTTGTGGAGACCCGGGTATAATAGAACAAGGTATTCCTTTCGGTCGCAAATTAAAGTATTTTATGGAAGGGATATTTGGTCGGAATTTCAACCCAGGAAAGCAATTCTGGTTTAAATAGGAGCACTTGAAAATAGCTTTCGTCCCTATCACGATTTTGTACACGAGAACAAAGCGATGTCTCCACAAGGATACAAATTTGAGTATGTGTGTTGACAATTTTATTTTCTGAATCTAATTCCTTCATGAGTGGTTGCCGAAACACCGCTCTGACATTAAACAGGCAAAGTCATTAACGTATTTTTTTGTGTTTCTTGCGTTTATGTCAAAGTCATTAACGTATTTTTTTTTGGTGTTTCTTGCTGAAGAAACGTGCGACCAGACGATATGCCCAGACGGCCGGAAGTGCGTCATGAAGAGCGGTCGGCCTCGCTGCGTATGCAAGCCCGACTGCACACACAACAGCACTTCGCGTAGGGGCTCCGTGTGCGCCACCAACGGCAGGCAGTACAAGAGCATGTGCGCACTGCTCAAGATGAAATGCCGCCAGGAGGATCATCACTATGAGTTGGACGTGGCGTACTACGGGCCATGCCAGAGTAAGGTGTTCTCATTAAAGTGTGTACAAACTTGTCAAAACTCTTGCCCCTTAGAGGTTTTCGAAACCCCGGCTTCTTCTTCAGCATCGGCATCATTCCTAGCTTTAGAACCATTTTTCAAAAGCCTCTTACTACCACACAAAATTAAAATGCCTCATATTTTAGGATTTGCTTTGCAGCAGAACTTGGACCAATTGTTGGAGATTTCCAGGTCAGGGGTATGAAAGTCTTCTGAAGCCACGTCGTAGATGAAAACAAGGTTTCGAAAACCCCTCATGGAAGGCCAACTTTTCTTTAACCTGAAGGAAAACAACACACTGTCGATAAGTGCCTTGCTTTTTAAATTTTAAGGCAATAGGGACATTGCCAAAGGGATATATAAGGGGCCTATAAAAACGTCCCAGATAAAATGCATTTCAAAGGGGTCACCAAGTGCAGATCTGCAACAAAATGCCCACAAATATCCAAAGTCCGACATGCCGATTAAAGCAAGTTAGAGAGAAAACAAAGTAGGGGATGATTGGGGAGTTGGAAGGAGCTGGAACTCAAATAACGCAATGAGGGCGCTCTATAGCCGGGAATGTGCATAAAGCTGCCCAGGACTGATATCGACCTCAGTTATTTTTTTTCCCATTTTTTTGATGAAATATGAGTAATGGATCCTACCTCTTGCCGGCCGTACAAAATGGTGTTCGCAGAGCTCATGAATAAAACTTACGCACTAAAATTATTCTATAATAGAGAGTTGTGAGAGCCATGGAAGTGGAAATTTGAGGACATAATGCACATGCAACTCCGACCTGAACTTGGGGCTTCCAGTTTTGAGCAGTTTGGATGCAATTGGGTCCGAAAGTGGCGCTATGATGTCGTGGAGGGATCCCTTTGTATAATGGCCACTTTCCAGTTTAGGAAACATCGTTTGTTTTAGGGGTGGTCCTCTTTGGGTGGGAATTCCATCAAAAATTGAAAAGAAAATGAAAGATGACATGGTAATCATCCTTTTTTTTCTGTGCAGCCTGTATACCTGTGAGAGTTATGAGTATTTTTAAACCAAAATTTGTGGTCATGCAATACCACATTTAATTTGGTCTTGAATGACTACACGGAAGTGTTGACCCGTGTTATTGTTCAAACAAATTCTATCCAATGATCATGAGGGCTCGAGCCTCGAAGAAATGACGTCATGCATCCTAAAGGAATAGTAAGCCCTTCCCATCGCCCTGTTTGGGCGGTTGGTACGAGCGAACGCCCACCCTTAACAGCGCCCCCTTGTGTCAGATGATATATTGATATACATGTATTTGATGTAAATTTTACCTTTTAATTCCCTGATCATAGACTCATGCGACAGCGTCCAATGTATCGGCAACAAGTGTTGCGTGGAGGACCAGCACGGCCGGCCGCACTGCGTGTCCTACAGCGCTATCAGCTGCCCCGGACCATTCCGAGATGAGTTCGTGTGCGGTGCTGATGGCGTGACCTACGAGACGCTATGCCAGCTACGCAGGACCTCGTGCTCTAGAGGCAACATCATCCCAGTGGCATATGAGGGTAAATGTGAAGGTAAGACTACCCCAGAAAAATAGGATTTGTTGAAGCTCTGCTTTGTGGAATTATCATGATCTGGTAATGAAACAGCAAGGATTCCTCCAATGCGCACTAGGTGTACCAAGCCTGAAGAAACGTATGGAAAGCTTGATAATACCAAATCCATGTGGACCTGGAGGAGAATCGAACCCGGGCCATAGAGATGGAAGGCGGAGGAATGAACCGCTGCGCCAACCATTATGCTTTCTTGACGATTCTGGCAGTATACCCCTGTCCATCCTCTTGAGAATGAGGCAAAATCTGTCCCTACCACACTCTTAGTACACGTGTGAAACTTGTGAAAGTCTGAATTCAAGCGCCCATTTCAATGAGCTGTTGAGTACAGTGAGTACTGGAAAGATTTGATCGGTAATGAAATCGACCGAAAGTCATGATGTCGAAATTGACTCACGTAGGCCTATTTTCCGCCAAAACGTATTTCGGACACTGAGCTGAGATTGGCAACAACGTGATTCTCAGTCAGTTATCTATTGGTTGCAAGGCGGCACATGTAGTTCATTTCACTAACGGTTCTTGCGATTTCCTTTACAGGTTTAGCCTCCTGCAACGACACGAGGTGCGTCAAGAACAAGCAGTGTTTCTGGGACAAGCCGGCCAACACCTCCCGGTGCATCCTGTGCAACTACACCTGCAGTGGCTGGGCCGACGAGGTGGCCGTGTGCGCCTCGGACGGCCTGACCTACCAGAGCTGGTGTGCGATGCAGGAACACATATGCCAGACGGGGATATACGTGGAGCTCGTCAGCTGGGGAACCTGTGACCCAGGTATGTTTTTCTTGAAATTTTATGAGTATTGGAAATAATGTGATTCGAGTTTGGTTTTTGGAGGATTTGGTAGATGTTTCGGACAGGTTTACCTCCGTTTTTCGAAAATGTAGTTTACAGCTAGGCCTAAAAAGTTTGGGTGCATTTTTCATTGCGGGGGGGGGTCGAAACCTTCCCCCTTTGCTCTGACCCAAAAAAATAGTATAAAAATAAGTGCATCAGTAACAATGTGCTGGATTACATACGTCTGTCTGTCGGACAATTGAACGTATACAAATCTGACCGGCCTAACCCCCCCCCCCCCCCGCCCCGAAAAAAATCTTGGATCCGCCCCTGAATGGCGACTTTGTTTCTAGGCAGCATTTCTACTTTTACGAGTGTCCAGCGCTTGGAATTTCAACCAAAGATTTATTAACCAAATTTAAGGTCAGGGTATGCCATTTTTTATGTGCACCGATAATAAACGATCAGATTTTTTTAGCCCTGCCTGCCGTGCTGCATTTGACAATATAAAGAGCGCCCTCAAGTCATATACATAAATATGTATCTCCGTCTTTTAAGCATTTTCATCACATCGATCTCAATGTCCAATTCCTAAGGCAGTTCAAAATTGTAAGTAACATTGTTTCAAATGAAAGATTATCATGTCATTAAAAGACAAGTCCTTGGGAAAAAAATACATGTTTTTCTTTTTTTCTTGAGTACGCGGACCCCTCAATAACTTGGCGGTACTTTTTTTTTTATGATAGATGGCAACAATGGCATCGAACCTGGGTCCGGGGACTACCGAGGCTACGACCTGATATACTTCACCCCGAGCAGTAGGCAGGTTCTGTCCGAGCTCCGCTCCAACATGTACCGCAGCCATGAGCGCGACAGCGGTAATGCCACTACGACCGAAGTGGTGCCGACCACCACGCAGTACGGGACTGGCGGTGCAGACGCCCCCGCCCAGCCTGTCACAGGGGTTGCTAGTTTCCTACAAGGGTTGATCAACAAAGGTGTGCCGAATCCAAGTGGCGAAGAAGATGATCAAAACTAGACACTGTCTCTTGCTGTGTCTGTGGGTTCTAGAACTTCGCAGGGACAAACATAAAGTCTGACGATATAGGCTTTAGCATCAAGACTATTGACTTCAGTCTCCGCAGGGCTGATGGCCAGTGGATCAAGACAAGTATAGATACTCGCTTATGAAAAATCCCATCTCCACCAGTTTCCTACCTCTATATTATAAAATCATTGCCCGCGCCAGAACCTAGCTAGCTCCTAAAATTGGAAATCGCTGCACTTTCCTATTGGCCACTTCATAAATTTACGCACGAGTATTTGATTAAATAGCATCTTAATCTCAACAAAAGAAAATCTGCAGACCAGATCTGGAAAGGGTTCCTATACCGTGTAAAGGGTTCCTACGTGTTTCCGCGCTCCACTGTACCGAGATAGTCCAACAGGGCGTCGTGTACAGTATACGAGCATAAGCAGAAACAGAAGAAGCAGAAGAAACCGTACCCTGAGCCCATCGACATAGGCTAACTGTATGATCCCGCAAGTATTGTTCGGTGATCAATCCAGATCGGCCCTAAATTTCCATTCAAAAGCTTCCGTCAGCCAAGAAAAAAAATTCATTCGTTTTACAGACGTTAGCAAAAGTATTGTCTGAGGACAAGCGTCAGGCCCATTATTAGTGTCTTTTGCTCAATGCGGAAAAAAACAAGATTGATTAATAAGTTAATATGAGTCTGCCTAAAACCTTTTCAACCTCCATCTCAAATACTAATTTGCGTGCCCAGAGATCGCACTAAAGACCGCAAGAGCTCATGGATCTCATAAGGCGCATGCACACTGGGTTGTGATCAAATGCAGAATGCGATACTCACAGAACGCCCAATTTGACTTGATTTTCATGAGTAACCCAATCGCAGGCTAAGCTCGCTTGCGCATTCCCTATTTAAATGACGTGATATCTTGTGGCAAAGTTAGGGCGCCCTCTGCGTCAATGTAGATAATGTCTCAACTATTGCATAACTATATCAGTATTTATAAGCAATGAGTTATGAGGATTTATTTAGATTTTTGAATGTAAGATTGACGACTCTGCAGAGTACAATTTAATATATTGGTAAGCAGAAGACATAGTTTTTACTCGGTACCTAGGCTAGCAATTCTGGCTAGAAAGCGTCAGAGATATATTAGACTTTTAGCAGCTGTAAAGACATAAGCGTACGTGCTTAATGTGCCGCCCTTGTAATATATGTTTTCCCGGCTATTTTAAAATGTGTATCATTCAAGTTCACCAATTCTAATATTCAAATTCGTCCAGTAAAACGTACTAGTGCACTTCCAATGTTAATTTTTCCTTTATCATATAATGTCAATTTTAGTTGAAGCAAATTCAAACCATGAGCACATTATTCGTCAAGGAGTATTCATTTTCGTCTCGTCTACGCCGAACCGTGTTATTATTCAGAAAGCGAATTCGTCCAGATTAAGTTACTTAACAGAAGTAGTGATTGATATAGACGAGGTCGACTCTGAATGCTGCCATTCGGCAACAGCTGAAATGACTCAATTCAATCTGTAATTACGAATATTCTTAACAAAGAAGGCCTACTCTGGTTGACTAAACTTTGGAATGATAAATGACTGAATTGATTTCGCCCAAAGCATCTGAAAATCCTTGGGACAACTTGGAATATAAGAATCGGTGAATTGGAATGGAAACAGTCTTGAAATGGCCCGGAGAAACATGCGATCGAGTGAAAGATCAGACAAAAAACAGCGTTTGACAAACCAAACGATATGAAGAAAAGATGTATCGAGATCCGGTCACAATAGTCATAAGTTTTCCCGGATATTTTGAAACATTTATCATTCGTACTCACCGATTATTATTCAAATTAATCCATCAGCATGATTTAGTGCACTTCCAATGTTTAATTTCGTCTTTTGTCTGACAATTTCAAATTCAAGTCAAGCAAATTCAAACAACGAGCACACGCTTTCGTCCCGAGTACTCGATTTCGTCTCGTCTACACCAAACCTTGTTATTCAGAAATTAAATTCGTCTTATTGATTTATTTAATTAAGACGATCTCTGAATGCTGCCATTCAACAAATGCCTAGACGAATTTGATCGGTAATGACGAATATTCTCGACCCGGTGACTAAAGAGGATGACCAAACTTTAAAATTGAATGGTAACTGACTACATTGGTTTTGTTCAAAGCGTGTGGAAATTTTCTAGGACGAAATTGAATGTTAGAGTTGGTGAGTTTGAATGAACAAAGTGTTTCAAAATGGCCGGGGAAACCCATTATATAAACTGCTCTCTTTGTGTCGGTTAACTGTTGTTTGTATAGTACTTTTAATCATTCTACAATGTGTACAATGCTTATTGAATGAAATGTTATTATACAAATAACGAATGTTTGTGAGTGCGATGGTAAGAATAATTTCATGAGGTGACAGATTGAATGTTCTATTCCACGAGGCGAAGCCGAGTGGAATAGAACATTCAATCTGTCACCGAATGAAATTATTCTTTCCATCGCACGAACGTAAAACATTCGTTATTTGTTTTATACAACACCTGAATAAATTCTCGTCATTTGATTGGTAAATTATAAACTACAATTTATTTTGATTTTAAAGATGTTGAACTACCCCTTCACGAAAATGTTTGAACCCAACGCTGTAGCGCTGGCTCTTTGGAACAATACGCGCTACGCTGAACGCGCACACCAGCATGCATTTTGCACGCAAATACCGCATCATGGAACAAGCGCAAAGTGAAACGGTATAACGCATGGGTATAACACATGGTCGCAACGTGCATTATACCGAATAATAATATGTCACGTGATCTACAATTCACCAATCAGATGACGGTGATTTATTCAGGTGTTGTATAAACAGTATTGTTGAATATCTGATCATTCTCGGTCCTACCTCAATATGTGTTCTATCAATAAAATCAAGTTACATACTTGTGTACACTCTACATTTGTGCCGCGTGAAATATTCAGGATACCAGATCGCGGCCTGTTCATTCGAGGATTTGGGGTATATGCTGACTCGCTTTAATTCATAGACAAGAGGTATCAGCTTTCACTTCAAACATCGCTATACAGGGTGAGTCAAAAAGAAAGTGACATGTATTAATAATTTTCCCCTTTAAATACAGTTACATATGAAGCATGTAGGCCTATTAAACGAGCATGTTCTTCTTTACTCATGTTAAAAGAGAATTACTGAAATTGATCCATGCTATCAGAAGTTACGAATGTTTTACTAAAATAACCCACTAATCATCGTACATGTGTCAAACACCGTAACCACTGGACCATGGCATTCTCCATTGAGTTTGTATCGGTGACTTCAGGGAGTTTTCAACTTCGTCCTCATCAACATCGATTCGCTGGAGTTCGATTGTTGCCAAGTGCCATGCTCAAGGACAAAAGCAGCAGAGTGAAGCGCCCCGATTCTTTTTCTAGGGACCATTTTTCTCTGTTACGGCCGTGAAACTGATGTGCGCCCCTAGCTTTGGAAAGCTGTGTTTATATGCTGTAAGTCCTACATTTCTGAGCTAGTGTATTGAATAAGAAAAATTGTCTCGGAAATTGACTTTCAGAAACCCGAATTTCCGTTAATTGCCGTAATTAAGGGTACAGATCTCTAAGGGTGGAGTAAGGAAGGGGTGTGGATGGGTGTATAAAACAACGCCCTGCGCTGAACGAATCTAAGTCATCTCCCCTCTCCCACCCTCTCTTTAAAAAAAAAAGCACCAGATCGCTAAGGCCAACAAAAAAAGTCTCCGGTTTCTGGTACGCGAGCGCGTCGCCGTAGCCATGCGCGTCGGCAAAATGGAAAAGGTTTTTTTTTTCAATGAAAGATGATGTCTCAAAACCGCCAAATTCACTGGTTTGACTGGAATCCTGCTGCTGCACAATTTTAACATGTTTTTAGATTGGGTTATGATCGAGAATAAGCTTTATGTGGCCTCTCTGGACTCCCATATATTTGCACTAAGTTTAGTCGGCCACCATTTGCAGTCATCAGCCGACATTTGAAGCAAAAAAATCAGGTAAAAAAAAAAGAAGCCGCGTCGCCGCACCACTTTTTGGGCAAGCTCCATACCAGAAACCGGAGACTTTTTTTTTTTGGCCAAAATCTCTCTTTTTAAAATTAAAAAATAAATTGTATAGGGGATTGACCGTCTGCATTATTGATTGGTATTCCCGGGAGGGATCGCATCATTCTCAAGTTGGGATCGAGGCGTATGATTCATGCGCGTCAGATAAAGAACCACATTCCCGGGGGCGAAACTGAAGGGCGAGAGGCACCCCTCGCCATCAGTAAATAGTCAGTAATCTTCGTGACATCAAGTCGCCAGCTTGGTGATACTAAAAAGAAGTATAGGATGATCATCGAAACAACTTTAGAAAACACTTTGAGAGATTAAAAGTCAAATTATCGCTGTTGTCTGCAAGCTTTCAATCGAAAATTACTGCATTAGGTTCAGGTTTTCGAGACCGAAGATCTTTTAAATTAAAGTCACATTCAAGCAAATTATGAGCAGCAAAATCCGGATTTTCTTTAAGCCCTCAGGCGTAAAAGAGGATATCTCGGTCTTCCCCGACTGTAATATCTCAACTGAAGCCCATCAATCTTTTTAGAACTTCTCCTCTGAACAATCTGTCATTTTAAAGGGGTCCATGCCATTTTTTTATGCTATCTTGATCTTTTTGTGTTGCCGTTTTGAACGGTATTTTTTTGCCTTTTCGGTTTTTATGCTACAATGCAAATTTCCACATTCATTATCAAATCTGTGATGTCATTCCGGGCAGAAACCTCAATGTTACAGCTATTTCAGCAGTTGCTATAATTTTGGATATTTTGCTGTTATAAAGTTTCTTTCTTTGGTGATACTTTCTTGTTTAAATACATCCCAGTAAACCTGCAATGAGCAACCCTTTTTCATAAATGTTTTCAATGAGCAAATTGTGGGTTAACAGTTTGAACAGGAAACCCTTAAACTGAACAGTGTCTACCTGAAATGACACCATAGCATCACAGCCATGGACGATTGTAAATGTTTAAAGAAGTGCACTTTTCCATAAAATTAACCAAAAAAGGAATAACAAATAGTTTTCATACATTTAAGCGTAGTAAAACTGTGTTCCTAAGAAAAAATTCATCGTATGGACCCTTAAAGAGCCCTCCAAATTGCAACACCATTTTAGAATTTGTGGTCGTTGTCCACATTTATTTTTCTGCCACAGGATATGGTCTGAATTTACGAGGTGAATCCTCCACTTACAGGTGGCATCGGTGCGATTGTCACGTATAGCCCATTCCGGGCACGCTATCAAGGAGGCCCCCCTTCAATGGCGAAAGCATTGTGCTAGCTATTGTTCAGATAATCCGTCATGGGGCAGTTGCTTCGTACAATAGCATGCACAGTGGTTTCTCCATTGACGACTTTTTCATTGGCACATGTAGTAACCGAGGGCCCCAGCGCTGTGTTTTGTTGAGAGGACTTAAACAGAAAAGGTCCTCTGTGTCAGACAATCATGGCTTAGCACCGTCTGCTTCGGTTTCAATTCCAATTTGAAATTGTCTATTGAAGGTGGCCTCGTGACGTGAGTCTACAGTGATCACGTGCCCAGATTCACGTGACAATCTGGGCATGCGCACTATCGATCTTCGGTGTGGGAGGCGTGTGTCTCCAGACGTTGCAGATGTACTTTCACTCATAATTGACTCAATTTCTTGTTTACACAAAACGGAAAAGTCATTTACTCCCGCGTCTCGGATCTCAGCTCTAGCTGCGACAAAACAAGTGGCGGAGATGTGGAGATAAGAAGAGTTTTTGCTAAGAAAAACAGAAGAAGACGAAAAAAGGGTGGGAATTATTTTGAGCAACAGAAGTGATGCTAATACAGATCCTTTAGGAATTCGATAAAAACAGTGGAATTAATTAATTAAAAAGAGAATAGTTGTTGAAAATTCAAGATTTTGTTTAACTATTTGACAAAAACAAAAGCAAAACGCGGGCGTTATAGACATTATTTTCATAAAACAACTCAAAATTGTTGTTTCAAAAATAGATTTGAAAATTTGGGTCACACGGCTTTCCATTGTTATCTTATATAGCAACGCCCCCTCTCAGTCCTGTGCATGGATGAAGTTCCCTTTTCCATGCCTAATCGTTTCCAGAAGTATAGCTCACATAGGTTTTAGAGAGTGACCCCTATGTTGTTATTCAAATCGACCAATGAACGTCGACCGATGCCATTTGTATCTGGTTCTATTGGTCAACTGCCTAATTTTGATTGATGTTCCCTTCCACAGCTGTGTCCTCCATTTGTCGCGAGATATGACATTTCCTCTGCCTATACCGGAATCAAAATATGAACCGCCCATACTTCAAGGCCACCAGGGAGGGTTATTGGGTCAAAAATATCAACCGCATAATTATGCTCACTCGTTCCCACCGATCCGTCCAAGGACATGGTAACCTCTAATTTCTGTGAGCTCCCATTGGACAGATTTTGTTGCACGACAACAGATTTTCATTTTGAAAGGTATAATCTGCTGGTTCAAAGTACCATTCGGAAGTTACTTTCATGGAAGGGCATGACTGCAAAACCCGCGAATTGACAGTCATATTTTGTGAAATGTCCCACCCTCAGGTTTGCCGTCGGCGTTTGTCATGATGACGTTCAGTGGTGTCTAGACTCTGACCGCTAAGAAACAAGGATTCGCTGGACATGACTGGTCAGATCTGATCGGTCAGATCTTATTAAAGGAACCCTCTTATTACGCGAATGATGCAGCATTATGGCTTGAAGACGATGTACAATGGTTATCGTTAAAGAAAAGATTAAGCACTCGGAGCGGATCCAAAAGTGAGGAATATTATTCAACATGTGGACCAAAATAGAACTTTTTTTCAACGTCGAACTTGAAGGTTTGCATGGTTAAAAGGAAACCGCGAGTTGAGGATTTTGCGGTAACAGATTCTTCAGGAGACAAACATAGCACACTGCTCGAAACGTTGAGTAAACTCAGAAGAGATACACTTGCGGAGCGACCAAAAAAAAGTTTACTTCAGCGAAATAAGTTTCCGTTCGGTAAATTCAGTGACACAGCCCACTACTCGCAGAGCTATATGTGCTGTCTTCGCTTGTGAGGGAAAAGTGTTATCTTCATTTGTGAGAGAAATAAACATCTCCTTGGGTTTAATGTTTTGTTTATGTAAAACGGCTTTTTTACGTTTAAAAAAAGGAGGTTTTTCTATGTACCTGTATCGTTTTCATATCCTCCTTATAGATGAATTAACACTGTAGAACATTTTTAAATAATTATATTCAGTGGCCTTGAACAAAGAAGCAAACATTTGACATGATTAACGATGTGTTTTGTACTAGAATGAAGAAAACTTGGCTGAATATCCCCGGGGGAGTGGAGTGAACCAAGGACACGGAAGTACACGACGAGTTCCGGAGGAAAAAATGGTGGTGTTGACGCAACGATTATATTTTCCCTTCTTTCCAAAAGTTTGAAGTTGTATCCACAACAAACCTGCTCCTACAGCCGGCTTTGGGGTTATTTTTACCCCTAGCCAGAGTCCCGTGACATGACCCTCTGACTCCTGAAGGAAACAGACTAATTCGATTAGCCTGGCCCTGGCTGTTTTTCCCCCTTTACTCTCTACCCCCTTTTTGATAGGTCCTAAGGTCTTGACAGGGGGACGGGGCCGGCCTGTCAACCTGTGCCCATGCGTTAATCATCAGCAGTTCCTGAACCGCGTGACGAAGCAGTCGGCTATTGGCTGGTGCGCTCAGCAGGAACCCCGTGTACTTGTATCTCCCGGCGTTCTGACTCAAATGTTCCGAAGGTAAGCGCTCGCGCTGTTGCTTTTATAATTCGACTGTCAGACCGAAAGCCCGCCATTTTCACTGACGAATCTGACGGACAAACTTTGCCTTTTCTTCGAAAGAGGATTTGTTATTGTGCAGTTAGAAGTAACCTTAAGATTGATTGACATCGTAGATTGATAACATGACAATGTGGTCGCCACGCGCGTGGTTTGTTTCTGCCGTCGCGGTGATAGTTTTAAGCCAAGAGACACAAGCCATTTTCACCGTTTTACCGGCCAACATATCGGCCATCGCAGGAGACACAGTCACCTTCAGGTGTACGGCACTTAGCTCTCTGGACACCTTTTTGTACTGGTCTAAAGGAAACACGCACTTGAGTCTCGGCGGGAAACTCCTGCACAGTCTGGACAATGACTTACGGGAGCGGTACTCTCTGGGCGGGAACCAAAGCATCGGCGAGTACGATCTGAGAATTGAGAACGTCAAGAAGACCGATGCGGGCGATTACCAGTGCTCGTACATCGGCTCGGCGGGAGGTAGGGCTTCCCCACCGGCCACCATGACGGTGTACGTACCGCCACTTGCCAAGTACCCGCTCTGCAAAGTCCGGACCCAGTCGCAGACATCGGAGACCACGGGCACGATGTGGCCGGGAGATGGTGCCGAGTTCACCTGTCAGTCCTCCGGAGGCGACCCGCCGGCCTTACTGCAGTGGCAGCGGATCAACAACACCATACTGGAACCTCAACCATCACACATCGTCTACGCGAGGATACTCCTGCCGGAGGATAACGGGGTGAGGTTCACGTGCGTAGCGACCGGCCCTGCACTTCGTGAACCTAGGAGGTGTTCCGTGATGCCCATGAGGATCCTTCCCGTGGTCCAGGTCAGACCCCTGACTCGAATGATCATACCTGGAGACAATGCCACCTTTCATTGCGAGGGGAGCGCTATCCCGCACGTGGCCTCTTACTCCTGGCAAGTGGCCGGCAATCACATCTCTGATGGCCAGGCTGGGTTCTCATTCGCCAACCAGAAACAGCTTCTGACCATCCACGACGTCAAGCAAAGCCACGATCAAATCGAGGTTGCTTGCGAGGCAAGCACTCCCACCGGTATCGCGGAGAGTGCCTCTGTCAAGATGGTGGTCACGCCGATCTATGTCCCACCGACTCTCCCATCTGAAGGTACCCCAATTGATTTCATCCCAAGCGCCCCTGCAGGTCCGGATGACACCAGCGTTGACGAAGAGGAACCCGGTATAATCGACGGCGATCTCTTCATGATCACCTTGACGATCTTTGGAGCTCTTGTCATTCTACTCCTCGTCGTGGCTGTTGTGATGGGTTGCTGGGCACTACACGCCAAAGGAAAACGACCGCAGACGCTGAAGAGACCACGAGTCGAGTATCAAGAGTCGACAGCGACAACCATTGACTTGGAGCCCTTACCTCTGCCCACCCAGCTTGCCTACGAGCCCCCTACCACGGTGTCCTCGGACCCGATGGCTATCCCTGCCCCTCCCTACACAGCTGATAAGGAGAACGCCCCTGGGTACATCTCGCAGCTGTATTCCACGCTGGACAGCTCCCGGTTACCCGCCCGGCCTGCTTTTAGCGGGTTCCCCGAGAAGCCGGTAGCCTCGATTACCCCGACGCAGGGAGTAGCCTCCACGCTACCGCGCCCGGGCAAAATCGACAAGCCGTGCGGCACGGGCAAGCCAACCGTCAAGGAGTGCCCGGCATCGTTTAGTATCCCGGAAGAGAAGGTGACCTCGCAAGAGGATAAAATGAATGAGGAAAACGAGGACAGGAAGAATGGCAATTGAGAAGGAGGCACAGACAACGAAAATTTGCAATTGTCTGCGACCTTAAACAATCAGCTTATATGTTTTTAGCTTCGCGATGAAAATAATGTTTTGCATCAAGCAGAATTGCGATATTGCCGTTTAGTTTAATACTATCGGACCCTGGTGGTTGGCAACTTTAAGGTCCTTACGATGCAAACCAGCAGGGTCAAAAAAATAATCTGTTTTAACATGATGCTTATATGTGGCACAATCACTTTATTTATTGAAACAAAAATTACCACAATATCGAGTTTATATTTGTCTTTCAAGTAGGCAGTCCTTTTAACTATAAAAACCCAGTGAGTCTTGGGCGAATGCCTTTAAGCATATATGATGACAAAAGTTTATGTCGGAAGCTTACGGTGCCCATGTGACATGACATTGAGACCGTGGATCTTCCTATTATAGCCTAAGTGACAATAACACTGACTCATGTCTCGCATTTGTAGTCTCAGCGATTCCCTTAGACTCTGGAGACCCGACGGCTTCATTTCTAAGACAGGAAAATCTGTCATTTTCCGCCGACGATAGGTTGGATCACCCTGGCTCTAACCAGTATTTAGTCTCAAAAGAAAGTGCACCAGACGGTGTACTATGTTGACTCACCAAAACCTGTTTACCAGTAAACTTTGTATGGTTGTTAACACCAAGTTCGTTTTGAATATCGTAACGAACTTATGTTAAAATATGTGCAATACTTATGTATATTTTGTTTACCAAATTTTGCTCACAAAAATTAATAAAGCCAAATAGCATAATTACGCAAATGATTCTGACGAAAGGCGGCAGTGCCGCACGCGCACGTCTTGCGCACGTTTTGACTATACTTCTTGCTTGCATGAGTAATTTTTTTCTTTCTTTTTAATTTTGAAAAATACAAAAAAAAATATATTTTAAAATGTTTCAAGAAATCTTTGTCAAATACAAGTGCCACATGCGCAATTTTTAAAACTTGATTTGTAAATGGTATTCAAATTAATTAACGAACACTGTATTCATACCATACCACTTCTGTACTTTGTAAAGTAAGCGAAAAACATTAAAAAAAAAAGTTTTAAGTTTTACTGTCAATTTCCTCTGAAGCTACATTATACATTTTCCTGCCAAAGACAAAACTAGTAAAATAATTTATCATTTTTAAACAAGCTTCCATAAACATTCAATCGGTGTTATTGTTTTATTAAGGTCAAACTGTATTCGACAATTTGTGTAATATTTCGTCCAAAGAAAGTATTGAAATTACAAACAAAACATATGAAATTCATGTCGCCTGGCTTGGCAGATTACATCTTGCTATTGTGAATGAACAAATCAATAAACTTTTAAGGGCAATACTAATTCAGCCATGCTTGCTTTGCAAGTTAACGTGATTTTATGGAAAATAGCAAGCCATGCGCCAATGGTGTAAATATAATTATTTGTGTAAAATAAAGTTGTCAAATTTTCTCCAACTGCATTTGGTCATTGTACATATTATGGGGTTTGTGCAATAACGAAAAATGAAAATAAAAAAGCAGTGAACTACCGAAAGAAATGCAACATTTGGTGTTTATTTGTGTCATAAAGCGTGTCTATTACTTAAAAGTCCATACGGTAGTCCTACCACCTTCGATTTCCGAACTTTTAAGAAAGTAATACAACTTGAAATGACTTCCAGAACAGAACTGATTTTGTAGGATTAGTTTTCAAAGTTTAGATTTTAACTATTTTGGAACTTTTAAGATTTTAACTATTAAAGGAACTTTCCTTTAAATCGAACAAAGCTGGGAAAAAAAACTGCAAGGTTTTTTTCCCCAGCTTAAGATTTTAATAAAATAATGATAATAAACACCTGCTAACAGCAAGCGTTACGGCGGAAAAGTACTGTACCTTTACAATAATTTGGTGAGTTATGTTATTTCCTGTACAAACACAAACACGGGAAACAGAAATTTATTAATTGTTCCGATGTGCTGTCCATCATAATTATTACATGACAACTTCTCAATCGTGACCCCACCTGACACTGAATATTTATAATTCAGATATCTGGGTCGATAGATCCAATGTCATGCAGGAGATAATCTGCATAAAATATCTAAAAGTTTTGATGACCAATAACGTAAGCATTCATGAATATGCATGATTGGAACGAGCCAATCATAGACGAAAAAGCGATAATTAGTATTCAGAGTTCCCTAGACTGACACGCCATATGGGTGGGGTTTAATAGGAAGGAATACGCATGAGTCACGGCAGCACAGTCCTAGGCGTATGAATTTTGAATAGGGAGCCCAAATGTGTTTAATGTTCTAAATATAGACGGACACTATATACAATTGAAATCTACGTATGATGCGCTACCGACTTGATCCCGAGTATTGAAGTTAACATCGAGCAATATTAGAACAAAAATAATGTGCACATTGTTGATGTTGATTTTGAATGTCCTTTGCGGGTTGAGAAACTATGTTTGTAATTTCTCATATATAGTTTTAATAGATAAACGTGCTTGTTGAATATTAAACAAATATGTTTTATTTCCAAATCCGCAAATTAAGAAAAGGTCAAGCGAAAACAATATAAGGACCTTTCCGTTGTTCAAGACAATTTGAGACTTTTGAGATGTTGGTGGCAGCAAACAAAACGGTCTGTTTCAATAATTATTGTTTACGCCATTTTGAACATGCGCACGTTAGCTTAATTAAACATGACGTAAACAATAATTGAAAAGTACCGTAGTTTTTACTGCCACCAAGTCTCGAACGTTTCCTGTTCAATATCACGTTATTTCTATTCTTTTACGAAAATAGCACTTTGAGCACTACAATAATACTAAAAAATTACATCATAAACAACTCTTGGAATTGTCTCTATCAAGAGTCGCCAGATTGTTGTGACTATTTTAGGCGGTAGTAATTGCTCACGTACGAAATCCCCACTGGGAAAATATTTGCCTGTTTTCTTGAAATCGTTAGGGAGAAAAGAGGAAATTTGATAATGTGTGTGACATTAGTTCGTAGGTCAAGGCAAAGAGTGCATGGCAACAACATCGATCACGTGAGCAGGCATGAGATATATATGTCATTTGGACTGAGAACTCTTGGGAATTTTTTTTTTAGTGCAAATCGGACAATAATCATCGGAAACAGGAAAGGCAGGGGTGTCTACTTGTCAACACACCCAGGAATCTTCAGCAAGAACTTCCCCGCCCCTGCTGCGAACTTTGGAGGCAAACCATTTTTTCACCCTTCATTGAAAACAAATAATCACAAGAAAGCCCCTTCTTAAGCTCCTTCCTTATAAAATGTAAACAAGTTCTGGGTGACCGTTTTAGTTTTAAGGAACAGATACTACCGGAACCATTTTCGAGCAAGATTTGGAAGCATCTTGTGCCAGTGCCGTGGCACTTTATCTTAATCTATCTCATATGTGCGGAGTGAAAAGTTTGTATAGTTGATGGGAAATCCCATCTGGTCCAAATTTTCTAATTCACGTTGTTGCAATTATGTTTTGCGAGATTAGAAGGAGAGGTCATGGACAAGTGTGAATCGACAAGTGTGAAACATTTCAAAGGCATATCATTTGCGTTTCATGCATTCGGTTCGTTTCAAACACCACTCAAATCCAAGGGCGGATCCAGAACACAATATTTTTTTGGAGGGGGGGGGCAAAAAACAATTTGGTCCCCCAAAATGTGGGTCAAAAACATTACGGCGAGCGTTTGGGGCCCGCTTAAGGGCCCCGACCCGACCATTTTTATTTGGGATTCTGGATGCTCTCTGGTGCGATCTGAGGCAATTTCTGACCACTTAAACCATTATTTATGGCCCCCGTTGCCCCCCCCCCATCCGCCCTTACTCAAATCCAAGGAAGATTCAAAATCTAACCTATTGATGTTTCAGCTCAGTAGGTATATTTATACACATTTCGACAAAGTAGTGAAAAACCATGCGCAACCTTTTTGATCACGCAACACAATTTTGTCAATAACACTCTTTATTTCCAACGAAATAGACTGATCATTGGGAATCAACTGCGTTTCTTGATTTCTTCTAAATGACAGCAAGCCAGTCGGAATAACTGGCTTGTCGGAATATCGGTTTTTTTTGTGCCAGTACAATCTTTTGTCCAAGTAAGCTTTTTGATACTAATTCGGTTGGTTACTTTTGAGATAATGCAAATAATAATGCCTTTATGGCCCTATAGCTTTATGGTGACCTCGTACCCAGGGTGTCGAGCAGTACGCTCCCACCATTACCTACTATTTGAAAATGGAAATGAGGTTGGAAATAAAGTAGGCCCTTGGGACGAGGCTGGTGAAACCGAACCAAAATGAAACAACAGCTGAGTCAAACCGAACCATATACCGTGCCAAACCGAACGGTGCCGAGGTGAGCCGAGTTACAGCTGCATGTTGCGCATAGTCTCGTTCCAGAACCGAGCCCAATCGAACTACCAAACGAACAAACGATTGTGTCTTGAAGATGATCTCATGCCAATACCACCTCCTTGAACTCCTTTGTGGTTAATACCACAATCAGCCAGACAGCCGCGGTCGGGCTAGGTAACTATCGCGGAAACGATATGACTGTGCGGTTAAGGTCTTTGGAAGGGCCGGGAGGAGGCACAAGATGACTAAACAATATTTCAAACAGGGAGGCCGCGAGCCGAACTTCTGGAGGCAGACTCAGGTTGATATTACTCATAAGTTGAAGGTGGAAATGAATGCCTTTATATAGTGGCCACCTGGACAGTTCATTTGCGCGTTATGGCACAAGGTATACCGACCCCGCTGTGTATATGCGTGACTAATGGCTTCCATTTTATTACTAATATCAGCCGCTTTTTCGTAATCACCAATCTCTCGATTGACCTTAAAGAATATAATCACAAGGCAATCTAAAATTTTTGTTTTATGTATTTTTTTTACCTCCATTATGACTCTCAGTAAAAGAGAAGTTTATCTCAGAAAAAAATTAACCAATTTTGCCCTCGGGCGTGTGTCTGTCTGCAAATTATGTCGCAACGATAACGTCCCATCTGAACAATAGCGAGATTGGTCAAACCCCACACCCTCCCACCCCACCCCTTTTCCCGAGGGTTTTGCGGCTTTTTGCGGCTGTCGGGTGACCGGAAAAAAACCTGGGTACCCTTCAACACTGAGTGGTCTGTCGGCAAATTTGCGAGGCTGTAGCGTCGGCTCAGAAACACGTACCGTCAATATTTTTATACCATTTTAAAGCTTGGAATCTTAACTTTATCCCTGGCGAGTATTGGTATGATATTTAAAACAGTCTTTAAGTTATTCGTGTTCAAAATAAAGGCATGTCGAAAACAAATGTAACCGATTTCAAGGAAAATCGATGATGCGGTACATCAGATGCAAACTCGAGTCAACAAGCTGTTGCAATAATAAACAAAAAAGTTGATTTATGTTAAAAAAGTAGGGGAGAAGGGCGGATACCAGACTTTGCCATAGGTCTGGGGGTAGTACAGGGCCAATGGGGAGAGGGGCAGGTACCAGACTTTACCCCCACCCGCCCCCCTCTCAATGATCTCTGCTCCCTCCCCTCCCCCACCCCCTGATCCCTCCCAATGATCTCCCTCCCAATATCTCAGTCTCAGCCCCACGCCAAAACCGGGGACTAATATCTCTCGTCTTGAAGATCTCTCTCTGTCCAGCTGGTGAGTCTGATTGCTTATAAATCTAAAAGTCTGACCTCTTAAAAAAAATTAAAAAAAATTATATTGATATATATAAATGATGAGTATGATCAAGCCAATCGTTAAGGGATTTTCTAGATGGAATAAAGCCACGCTGCGCGATTACGTCCAGCGATATAATATACCGTACGATCAAAATGTTGCTCTTACGCGTAAAGTCTACATCAACGGGATAAAAAAATACGAAGCTCAATTTAGAAACTTGAGGAAAAAGAAGCTACATGAGCTCAAACAGATTGTAGACGATTATGATCTAGAATATAACCCGTCGGGTTATAAGGGTCGATTTTTGAAAAAAGATTTACTCTCGGCGATTCAAAACTCTAGGCAACCCGAGTATTTTCAAGAGGCTGAGTTTAGAGCGACGAGGAGATTTAGAAATAACTTTAGAAACTGGGAACTGATTCCTAGACTTTTTAACGACGATTTAGTCAAGTTTTTTGATACGCACAAAGATCAAATTGTAAATAAAATCAAGTCAGAATTGAGAGAGCTGAGAGGTTTAAAAATGGAGCTCACAATCAAAATAAAATACGAAAAAAACAAACCCGATGGTACGATCGAAACGATCGAAGCTACACATTTTACCGATCAGAGAGTCGTTTTAAATCAAAGTCAAATAAAACAGGTTTTAAAAGAAGACATCGACCAGATATTTAAAAAGGATGAAAGGTATACGAATCAAGGATCGGGTTGGGTTTTAAAAAAGATAATGGCGTTGTATATCAACATCAACAGGTTTAACCCTGTGAGAGGTAGTTCTTATATTGACCTACCAAAATGTATCAAACAGAAAACGGCGATGATTAACATTAAAAACAAAGACGACGAGTGTTTGAGATGGTGTTTGAGAGCTGCTCTTGGGTTGTATACGGATAAAG